GAATCAGACATTTTCTAATGCAGCAGCTTCTAGTATGGGTTCGGAACTCACACCATCTGCCAAGTACGACTTCAAATTCAAAGACTACGCCCCTTGGGTCTTCCGACACCTGAGATCCCGTTTCAACATCGATCCCGGTGACTATCTCATGTCCCTTACCCACAGGTACATCCTCTCCGAACTGGGTTCCCCAGGAAAGAGCGGCAGTTTTTTCTACTTCTCCCGTGATTACAAGTATATTATTAAAACAATCCACCATGCCGAGCACCGATATCTGCGACACATCTTGCGCGACTACTACAACCATGTCACAAAATACCCAGATACCCTCATATCCCAGTTCTTTGGTTTACACAGAGTCAAGATACCATTCGGCCGGAAAATCCACTTCGTCATCATGAATAATATCTTCCCCCCGCATAAGGACATTCACATGACCTTCGATCTAAAGGGTTCCCACATCGGCCGGGAGTACAAGGAGGTTGGTCCAGAAGAAAATCCAAAGGCCGTTCTCAAGGATTTGAATTGGGAAGCCCGTAATATGCACTTATGCCTGGGCCCGAGGAAACACGAACTTTTTGTGCAACAAGCCAAGCTTGATGTGGCGCTTCTACAACGCCTGAAAATCATGGACTACTCGTTGCTCGTTGGAATCCATGACGTGCACCGAGGCAACAATGACAACCTAAGAGAGAAAAACCTCCAGGTCTTCCAACCCGGAAGTTCTTCCAACGAGGACATGGGTCCCCACCCTCTTACCAGGACCCCATCCAGACTCGAGAGCGCTCGCAAAAGAGCCGAAATGAGGAAACTTATCAACAGCGAGGTCCCCGTGAGTCTAGAACACAGCGACACCCCTCTTCCAGAGGAAATGCTCGCCAGGGCCAAGTACTACACCCCCCTTCAATCCCTCATATCAGACCTGAGACTATGATGACTAACATAAAAAAACAGTGAGGAAGGGCCTCGAAGCATTTTCAACCAGGATGAACATGGATTCCGCGCCACAAATGAGAACGATGAACCAGGGGAAGTTATTTACTATCTCGGAATCATCGATTGTCTTACCAAGGTATTTTTTCTCCCTGTTAACTAACCCTGATTATCGGGACCAAGTCTCGTTCCTATTGGGACCGCCTGCTGACCCTTTTTTTCCCTTTCAGTACGACTTTATAAAACGGGCTGAACACTTCTGGAAAGGCCTCTCACAAGACAAGACCGAAATATCTGCTGTACCACCACAGGCCTACGGCGATAGGTTCTTCCGATATATTTCAAAAATCATCCAGCCTGCTAGCGCTAATGATCGCGGAATTCCTCGGGCTGCTGCAGCAGGCAGCCAGAATAACAATAACAATAACACGGAGAATCCACCGTCTACGGAAACCGGATTACCAGACCGCGTCCGATCAAACGTTAGGTCTCCGTCAACCGAAAGGCCAAGCACAACAATCTTACCTGTTGTCGAAGAAGTTGGAGAAGGCAGCAGTGGTGCTAGAAGTCGAAGCAGAAGCGACAGTCCAGAAGCCGCCCACCACCACCAATTGCATCATCAAACCGAAGTTCCAGATGTCCAGGTCCGGAACTAGAAAGGATTCTAGAACCACAATTTTTCTTTTCTTTTCTTCTTCTTCTTCTAAAGTGATATGATGACGTACGAAGTAACTCAGCCATCCCTTCCTTGGGAATACATCTTTTCCTTTGTTGCTTCTTGTATTTCCTCCTTGTTTTTTACGCCAAACATACAGTTAGTTCCGGCCTACCAGTCTCCTGGATCTCTATTTCCTTTTTCCTTTGCGTCTACTTCGAGTGCTACCTGGGGGGGATTGTTTTATCTTCTGTTCTTTTGCGCAATACGGTTGTCTTGTCCAGCTGCCTCGTTTTTTCGTCCACACGTTCCCATCTCCCGTGCTTCCTTTTTTGCTTATCGTCGGGGTTCTTCCTACTCTCCAAACGCTGGAACCGGTTTAAGGTAGTGGATTAGCTTTTTTTTTTTTTGCACCGGTTTTTTCTGTTTGGTCTGGAATCTGTTGGATTTTTGTGCTTTTAGTCGAGCGAAAAAAATAACCCGTCGAAGTCGAACTCTCAAGCAAAGCTGGCTTGTGTCTTCCATATTTTTTTTACCCATTCTTTTATAACACCCTTTTCTTTTGTATTCTATTGCTTTCTGGTTTCTTGCGAAGCGAAGCCTGTTTAGGTGGACCTTGCTTTGTATTGTATTATTTTTTTTTATCCTCCCTGATGAAAGTGTTAACGAACTGTTAGCTCTTTCACTCTACTCCTCTTTTACAGGCTTCTTTTTCATTTTCTTTTCGTTTTTCTTCTTCATTTTTTTTGGTACTGGCCTTTCTTCTTCTTCTTTTTTTTTTCGACTTGGACATATAATAGATGCTGTAATATGTACATAATATATTCCCCCTCAAACCCTGAAATCTTTTTTTTGATTGAATTTGCGAATACCTCTCTGTTTTTTCAGTTCTTTGTATAATCGTTGATATATTTTTTTTCGGATTTGAATTGTGTTCTTTTGGATATACATATACTACTTATTTGCTATATGGCATGACTTAAGCTTTTCGTCTCTTTTTTTTTTTTTTATACTCTTCGGCGACTTGCGAGTTCATATGCATGATTGAATTTTTTTTTTTTTTTGATTTGATTTTGATTTGATTTGATATCATTGTTCTTTTTTTGGGGGAGTGCATGCATGCATGATTGAAAATAATATATATTAGATCCATCCTTATCATCGTCATCATCATTATCAGTATGCTTTGTGGTTCTGAAGTGTTAGATATGTACCTTTGAATATAATTCTAGTAATTAATCGTTTTTTGTTCCTTAAGATCTCTTACTTTTAGATCTGGTGGTCGTGTCGTATGATTTATATACATATACAGTTTTATATTTCATAGTGATAGGCGGTGGGTATATGGTATGTGTTATATATGTTATATCATATTATAAGTCAGATTATATCTATACATATTATGTGCCGGTATGTATTAATATATTATGGTCGTATCGGTATGATTATGAGGAAGGAGGGTGTTCGAATAGTGGTGCCACTTTAGATCTGCCCCTGTTTTGTTCCGGTTTTATTTTTGTTTTTTATCCTTTATTATCTTAGACTTTTGGACAACCCGGGGGAGGGGGGTTAATCGTCATGATAACTAGGAACTATTAATATTGGATAAGATGTCGCGGGGTTTCCTTTTGGGGTGTTATATATGTTATGTCGTGTAAGGGGGGGGGGGATGTCCTTTGTTGCAGTTCGAGATATAATTTATGTTATATTTCCTCAGCTTCTTCCCCCACTTCCTACTTTCGTAGAAATTTTGTATCAGAAGGTCTTATAATTAAGTGACTTTTTCTGGCGAGCTAGACTCGAGTCTACGGAGACAATAGCCTCACGTTTATGTTCTACTGAATAATAATATTAATAATAACAAAGAACGAAGGAGAGGGTTAAAGGATTGAAAGGGAGATACTAGGACAGCTAACGCTTAATGGGTTTATAGGAACATCGAAAGAAAGGAGAAATCGGAGTGGGCGTGGAGGAAGAGAAGAGCTCTGAGCATAGTATCTTGGAGGAGTGTACATGTAATGTCATGTGCGTACGGTTGAGATAATAGAATACGATATGAAATCCCCAACCGGTTACGTTGATTCTACAGCTCTGGTAGGTATTTAACTACTTCTGCTAGGTTTCTGGACAGGAAGGGCGCACTGAACACCGGATTAAAGAGATAAGATTCACTTTTATTATAGAGACCAGCCTTTAGTACGACAAAATAGAGTTGGTGTCATGAAGCAAAGGAAAGATTTTTGGAAAGGAAAAATAACAAACAGCAAATAAGACGTTCTCGTTAAGAAAGGTTCTGATATAAAATATAATAAAAAAAGTCGAAGTGAAACAAGATAATTTTTTTTGTTTTGGAAAGGAAACTCCCGGTGTCCCGGGGGAGTATACGTACTCGTGTATCTCGAATAAAAGAAAAAGAGATGGAATAATAATAATAATAAATGAAGATGAACGGAAATATAGTTGAGCACCATCTGACGCCATCAAACAAAAAGACGATAGAGTAAACTTAAAACGCTGCATGTTCGATCGAAAGAGAAGTAAAAAAAAGTACTTCAAACGTTAAAAGGTTTCGAACATTCATCCGAAGTATCTCATAAAAACCTCCCAGTTCCTCTCCCCTTTCCCATCAGCCACTGCAAACAATACGTTCCTAAACCATCCTTCAAATTCACTACCTCTTCCCAACAACAACTCCTTCCAAATCTGACATACTTCCTCAACGGGGTTCTTATAACTCCCACATCCAAAGGGACTTAAACAGATATCCGAGATCCCTTGATAAGCTGCCATTCTCAATACTGCTCTCATCTTCTCTCTCTGTAGCTCTCTTTCCTGAGGAAAGCTATAAGAAGCCCCACTTTCATCCAACTTTGGCCTACGAACCGGTGAAACCGAAATTACCGCTACAGACCTCCAATCCGAATCAGCCCATAATGCATAATTCTGTTCAGGACCACCTCTTATAACCGTAACTCTGGGACTAAACAACCCCCCTCTTTCAGGTAACGGGTAATGATGCGGTGCAGAACCACCGTCATCACTTGTCATTAACGCTGTAACAAGATTACTCCGTCTTGCTAATGCTTCTTCCGGTGCGAATACAGCACCTTGCCATAATCCGCCCGGTGTCTTTTCATTAGCGGTATTTAGAACGGCAACGTGTTCGGGACAGCCAAGACGGTCGGAGCTTTGCATGCTTAATGCTACATCCACGGGGTCTGAGGAGGCTACTACTGCTATTCGCGGCCAGGCTTGGGCGGCGCTGTAAGGACCTGGGTAGGGGAGGGAGTCGGTGGATTGGTAGTAAATGCTGTAGGATTGGCCGAGGGTTGCGGATATGGAGGGCCAGAGATCTCGGGTTTCTGCTGAGGCCGAAGAGGCACGTTGGCGTAGAGTCGGCATGGTTTTTTTCTTCTTTTCTTTTCTAGCTAATGTGTTGTGGATGGGGTGGGTTGTTGTTGCGGCGATGTTGGATTTCCGAAAGAGGCAATTCCTATAACGACCAGGGTTGGAATTGGGAAATGATGCCGAGAGCGGGAATCGGCGTGATGTCACTGTTCTTGGAGCTGGAACAAGATGTGTTGTTTCAGGACGCGAACACCCTCGGCTCGAAAACTGGATTTTAGTGCCCTGACACCAGATCGGTAGGCCAGGACCTAGATTGCTAGATTCCCAGGTGGTCGTCTAGATCGAGCGGTTGGGCTAGTCAGGACCCTCGTGATTTGCAGACAATTTAAGGGTGGATTTTCGAAATTAGGCTACCCAAGCCAGCCTTATGGTTTGTTTAATAAATTTAAATAGAAAAAAAATAAAAAAAAAGAAGAATGGCCTATGACGGAAGCTTCTGGATAGTTGGAAGCTATAGCGCTATCTTTTGTTCCTTTTGAGCGGCTGAAAAGGGTCGGTCGAGACTCTTCTTGTGGGTATTAATATTATAGTTATTATTTAGTGGGTATTAATCTATCGTGGTATCAAATAAAAAGAAACGGGAAAAAAGGATCCGGGTATACGATAAAGAAGAAGTAAAAAGGGTATCGGAAAGAAGGTAGGTTGCTGATAGAATCGAAAGGGCCTTTTCCTCCAATTGATCAATGCTTGTAGATATAAAAAAAAAACCGTTGGAATCCTAGTATACGTAGCGTTCACATCAGTGTGGAGTAGCAATGGTCATAGGTAGTAGGTAGTAATAAATGTCAATGTCGACAATCAGAGAAGATATTTGATGATAAAAGATGATAAAGATGATGATGATAATGTAAAAGATCGATTTTCTTTCTTTGCAGGAAAAAAAACGCCACCGTTTTCTTAGAGACCTTTTTGTTCGATGGCGAAAGATCAAGGAATTTTGATCCGGGACAGTCTTCACGGTTGCTTATATACACTTATGATCTCACCTTTAATAAAAAAGGAAACCCACCATTATCACTGTTCTTAATCCGAATAATCCACCTTTTGGGGCGTAAAACTCTCGGCCCTTATTCCTTTTCGTTACGATACGGGAGAACCGCCAAAACGGAGCCAGGGAAAGAAAATATGAGTTTGAATCACTTTAATCACTGCACTTCTTTTTCTTATTTTTTATTTTTATTTTTTATTTTTTTTGTTTAGAGATCCCGTCCCCGATTCGTGCATTTATGGTTCAGATCGTCCCCGGATATAAGAGGGGGGAAAGGGCAGGCTGAATCGAAGAGATCCGAGTGGGTACTGTACACTGCACTGGACCTCTACGGAGCACTGTATGGGTTCCTTTTTCTTTTTTTCTTATTTCATGGTTTTCTTTTCTTTTTTCCTTGTATATGAGGGTGGGGATTCTTTTTGCATGATGATATCGATGGTATACCAGGAAGGGTTTTTTTTCTATAGATCGGTGTGTGGACATGTACAGGGGAATCTGGGACGACCCCACAGGGCAGTTTAGTTAGTGGACATGCCGGATTCGAAGAGGAAAAGGTTGGAGCGAAAATCGCACACAGGAACAACGTTAACAATTGAAATTCAATTCCTTTTTCCGAGTGGAGCTTTACATAGTACACATCCATTGCATACATACATAACATAGCTGGCGACTTCATTCTTTTTTCTCGCTTTGTTGTATTCTTTATTTTCTTTTTCTTTTTTTTTTCTGGGCTTGCTAATGCGAAATTTCGAAAAGGCTAACTACCGGAGTAATTCGGTGTTTAATCGTGATATGCTTGAATGGGCGATGAGATCGAAATTCAGGCTTTATCGCTCTCTTGTCTTCAAACATACCTAGGTACTTCTGGCGTTTTTTCGGGCTGGGAAGATGGTGGGCTTGCGATTTCCGAGCTTAAAAGCTAAAAACTACTTTATGATTCACACACACACACCCACAAACCGAACATCCCTATGATAATTTGGGGATTAATTCGATCCACCATGTCGGGAATCGTACCTAGTACATCGTTAGTTCGGGGTTTCCTTTAGCTTGATTAACAGATACGTATACAATTCGTCGAACCACATTCAGCTGTAGTAGCATGTATTGGCAGTCTACTTTTTGTGTGTGGGTTTCTCTTATTCCTTTTCGGAGAAGGGAACGAAAAAAAGGAATAGAAAGTGGGTCTCGATAGTTACCCATGGGCACAGGTGGGTTTTTTTTGGAACGTTCTGGCCACACGATAGACTATTCCCCCAAGAGGACGGCGTTCCGGCGCCAGGAGGTAAATGTTTGTAGTGTATTGTGTACGTAGTATGTAGCTAGGCACAGGGCAAGAAAACGACGAATGGTAGCAAGTAGGTTGGGTCTCTTACGTTTTGTAAACTGCAATATAGACCGAGGAGATGGGCTTGTGCATGCATCTGGTTGCGGCGTCTGGGTAAATGGATTGTACAGACATATGCCTAACGGCTTTTTTTTTTTTTTTTTTAGGTCTCAAGGTTATACATAGACATAGCTCAAGCTCGGAGCTTAGAGCTTTTCTCGGTGTTCTCTTTTGAGATAAGCCATTTTCATCATCGTGCTGGGTTTTTATGCAAGTGCTGGTGACAGACAGCTTAGCTAGTTGACAGCCTTGTTTTCTTTGAAGCTTTAGTAGCTAATGTAAGCGTATGTATGTGAGGTTGACTGGACATCACGTCTCCTGGCTTTGGAGATAATTTGCGAATGAAACTTTTGAAGCCTTCTTTCTGACCTTTTTTTTTTTTTTGGTGACAAAAGGTTTATTCATCGAAAAAGTCACTTGATTATGCTGGTTATGCAGATGTGATGAAATTTTGTTTCTCCGTCGTGGCCATTTTGGGAGGCACCGGTCTGGGCGTTTTACTGGTTATGTTTCAATCCTCTTTTTTCGCAGTCCACCGGCAAAACTTGGGGGCTTTTTTCCGATTATCTCTTGGTTTTTTGTTTTTTATCTTTTTCATTTTTCATTTTTTTTCCTAAATGAAAGAATTCCCCTTCCCAAGAATGGCGGGTTATGACCGTCTATGGACATTCTGGCTTATCATGAGGCTTAATTCACCCCAATTTTTCGAAACTTCTGAGTTTTGGATTCCCGTTTTGATCGAAGGGCTATCTTTTTTTGGGTGATCCGGTGGTGGGTTTAACGAGTGGCTAGGCTCGAAAAGGCAGTTATGAATTTCCCACGCAAGCCTGTCTTTGATCGTTCATGCCAACTTTTACCAATGGGGTACGCGTTTATGTCTAAGACTGGTGTTAATTTCCAAAGGTCGACGGAGGGTGAAAGCGGTCAGTTCCTGGGCATGGAGGGGAGGGTGGGGTTTCGTGATCACGGTACATACCAACATACATATCAAATCACGGGCTATAATAGACACCTTTTCTTTTTCTTTCTTCTTTGTATTTCTTTTGAAGGGCAGATTGACCTTGCGAACGACTTTTCTACGTTTTACGTTTGATTTACGCTCTAATCCTCGTCCCACTGTTTTTTTCTTCCCCTTCTCTCTTCTCTTTCTCGCTTTTCGTTTTCTGTTTCGCACAGACGGAACGGATAGAGATTACTTCTCCCTCTCTCACGTCAGCGTGAACGCTGTCGACGACGGAATAACCTAGCCGCCCTCCCTAGTAAACGAGCGAGGGGGAGGGGGGTTTGAGAGGTTCAAGGAATGAGCGGATGTTACGGAAGTTCTGCATCCTTCTTATTTTTTCCCTTTCTTATATGTATGAGGGGGGTTTGTTGTCTGCAATGTCGATTATATTCCTATATAAGAACGCGGAATAGACGAGGGAAGCTCGAGGACACTACTGTTGTAAGTTGCTGTACTTACATACATACATCCACCTCGGGATATGATGCAAGGACGCATGCCGCAGTGCCTTCCTTTTTTTTGGTTTGTTGACCAATGAGAAGGGCCGGCGGGAGCGGAGGGTGAGAAGAGGTCACAGGTCCGATAGAGGCTCGCTCTGCTATGGCGTTTGCCAGCTTGCTGAAGTCAGGAAAACACGGATCTGTCTTATTGGGTGGGTTTAACAGCTTGATGGATCCCGCTTCGGTTTAAGCTAGGCTGGATGTTTAAAACCTGTGAGAGTTTGAACCGGACGGGAAATACTTTTTTGGTTTTGAAGGATGTGTGTGTGGAGCTGTGTGGGAGAGGTGTGGGTGGGTCTTCTTCACATGGAGCGGTGGTTGCAACCCAACAGACGAGATCTGGCGTTAGATTTGGGATCTCGACCGCAGTACCCGAAAGCCTGGGTCCAGATAGGCGAGGCGAGAGAAGGGGCTTGTACTCCCCCAACCTATCGCGCGCACCCGTCGTGTGTGTGTGTGTGTGTGTTAGGGCAATCCCTATAATGTATGCTAGTTGGTTGGGTACAAGAAAAAATAAATAATTTTTTATATGACGAGTGGTGTTAGTCAGTCAGGTTTTTGTTCTGGTTACGTGCATGTCGTCACACACCAGGGAAGGAGTTGGAAATGCTTCGAATGAGGTTCTATTCACCGGGATGTTCCTTTACTACCATGTCCCCTTGATCATAGTTAACCCGGATCGCGGGCTGGACTTTTTTGGTTGAAGGGCCCAGGCCCACAGGTAAAGAAAGGGTGGCCTAGAGCGCGCCACGAAACGCAACACTCTTTTGGAGTAATGGTGAAGTGAAGCCTCGTAAACTACCTTGTCCGTATGTCAGCCCTTATTTTTCTTTTTGAGAAAGGATTCCCGATCCTAATCACGAGAAAGAAAGAGAAAAGTGAAAAAAAAATAAAATAAAATAAAATAAAGGTATTTCGATTGATAATGACAGGCGCGACGGATTTCGGGGCTTGACTTTTGTCTCTTCTTCCCTTGGCCTTGTCAACTGGTTTTTTGGGGGGCCTCGTGGTTCAGGGTTCGCGTCTTGGCATATTGTTTACCTTAAGCGTTTTTAGGCTCATAGTGGATAAGCTTGAGAGGTTTCGTAGATGCATGTTTCTGACAGATAGACGCTGGGCTCTTATCTGCACTGTGCCGTTCCGCCCCCCGTCGTTTTTGTTCTTTAAATTTTATTACTTTTTTTTTTGTCGGGGAACCTCCTGGGCTAATTAATTGCTGGGGAAGGTGTCGTAGACATTGGCCGATTATCCTCCGTTAGAGACAAACATGACAAGATTGAGTTAGATCTATCTCTTAACAGGAAATATATGGCGATGTGCGTTTATGGTGTGGGTGTGGGTGTGTCGTCGCGGAACGGGTCTATCATATGGTACTTTGTATCATATAACGATTCGTTATGCCGCGCTGACCACGGGTCGGTATGTACGTATGCCCCATCTTTGTCAGCCTCTTCTCCAAACAATTTTGTAATTTTTCTAATTGTCGTGATTCAATCGGGAAGTGGGAGAAAAAAGACGCGGATTGTTTCATATGGAGGGTTTGTTGGTCCCTGGCGAAAAGGCTCCACTAAGCCTGGCCGGTGCCTGAATAACCTCAAAACTTCCAGTTTTGAAAGGCATTTTTTTTTCTCTCTTGACGGCACTACTCCCCACGTATCCACTTTTCGCACCGCTTAGGTGAATTCGATCTTTTGGATAAGCTTCTTTTCCGGCTTGCTATCCCTCTCTTTCGTCAATGGAAATTTGGAAGCATCTGATTCGATGCGGAGGATACATCCGTCCAGCTCACCGGGGTGGTTTGGGGGGCACCTGCTTTTTTATTAGTATGGATTGATGGTGGCTTTTCCAGTGACTTCATATGCATACCAAGCTATAGTAGCTCCGAGCTATAGACCCTGCAAATCGGGATTTTAGGAACAGCAAATCCCCAAAAAGCCAGACCCAGACCCATCGAGACTAAGCATCAAGATAGTTAGAGCAGACATGTCATCTGTACTTACATATGTAAGTATGCACATCAATGTCCATTCCACAGGAGAGCAGAAAAGAAATATGATAGAAACTAGTATTCCCGAGATGCTTATTGCTTGCTGCATCTTATCACATAGGACACCACGTAGGGCGTGTGATAAGTCGCTAGAAGAGGAATAACCTTCCGATGTACATGTAACGTATACGTACTTATGTATGTGTATAAGTACTCGGTCCAGGTAATTTCACCCCCTGCAACTGAAGTGCCGTCGATTCAGGGCATCCATGATTGGTTCAATTGAAGAATGTCTCAGATCCGAGATCTTAGATCTATATCGAGGTACTTTACTTAACAGGGGGGGTTTTCTGATATCATGCTGGATTATGTACCTATGTTCTTTCGAGTAGGTCGTGTCGATGGTTAGTTCGGCTAGCGATCATGCAATGTGCGCAAAAGGGTGCCGTATGCTGCGAACAGATCATGGTTGCTTACCGTGTAGTGTGATGGGATGAGATTTTGGGGAGAGTGTTTCGTGCCTTAACCTTTGTTGCATTTGCTTTTTTGGTATGATAATTCTTTTTTTTTTTTTTTTTTTGGCCTGAGCTTAGCTTGCTTGCTCTTCTTTTGACATCCCAACAACGCACCCGTTTTTCTCCCACATTTTGACTAAACTCTTTCAATTTTCCTTGCTTTAAGAGTTTCGAATGTATTTTACTCTTTGGCCTTCTTCTATCAATTTGGGAATTATTGGACGGATTGTAAACGGGAGCGGGAAAACCTTGCGAGGAGAGGGTCTCTTTTCAAGCCACTGATGTAAGTTTGCATCTCAGGTCTCCGAGAGGAGCTGTTTCTCATAAATCTGTCCTTGGTATATATGGCGGGAAGGTCCACGATGAACGGTAGTCTAGTTTCAGGGTGTGAGTGTGTCATCCCGACAAATGAGGGTTAGGCATAGATGTGTGAGCTGTCCCCGCCGGGTCGATACCCATTCGAGTCGGGATGGATTAGACTTGCGTCTAGCTCCACCAAGCTCCGCATCCGAGATCTGATATTTTGGTCAGATGCATACTGTCTTAGCTTTCGGAATCGGAGCTACGGCTACCCCGATCGCGACATGAATAGTCCTGTTTTTTCGGGCAACTTTTTTTAATTGTGATTTGGTTTGATCCTATTGGTTTGGGGAGATCGATCGGTCTATTGGGAGCAATCGTTTCTAATTCTGATCTGATGTGTCTCTTTGCGAAAGTATGTATACTTCGAAGTGTAGTCGATATGGTCGAGCCTCTGATCATGCGGGACTTCTGGCGCTTACGTTCTTGGAGTTGATATTATAATTGCCCTTATTCTTTTTTTTTTAAAATTTTTCCTTCCCTTCCTTCCCTCCCGTCCTCTTCTCACATGCCAGGGCGTAAGTCAGGAATGCGGAATGCAATGTCGCTCCTGGCAAACTCACCTTGCATTTCGGTCTCTCGCTGCCGCACTTTTACTTGAAGTCTGTTGATCCATTGCGTGTATAGACTTCCCGCGCGAAGATGCACTGTGAGATTAGGTAGCATGCATATTCAGCTTTGGCATCATCGAATTCTGTAGCATCGAGACCGAATTCTGGCCTTTTTGGCAATACCGGTATCGTGCAGGGTGAAAACCGGATTGGGATCACAGAGCTCTCCTTGGGGACATATACGTCCCGAATAGGACACATTATTAAAATTGCAAAAATCCTTCTTTCCGATTTCAGCTCCTTACCCCTCCATCTTCGCCTCTTTCGTTGTATGTATGCGGAGTACCTTGAGCCGCAGTTTATGCATATGCACATATTTCTTTTACTCCGCATATTGCGCTGCAGATCGGGACGATTGGATTTTTCCCCGGTTGGTACCCCGGGTTTGGATACTTGGATGCTTCTTCTTCTTCTTCTTCTTCTTCTTCTTCTTTTTATGCATCCTGTGGTATTTTTGTTCCTAACACCTGTGTGATGATTATAGCATAGATGTCTGCCAGACCTCGTTTAGTCTCTTTCGTACGGCTGGGAACCCGTAACAGTAGGATCCAGACTCTTTGCCGCCGATGTCTTGATAAGAATGCTCGGCTGTTGTCTACAAGCCAAATATTCCGGCAGGAGAATAGTGATAATCATTCTTCTGGAGAAAGTACTGCTACACAGACAGCTAATGCTCTTCCGACAACCGTGAGAGAACTTCTCCTCACTCAAAATGATATCAAAGATCAAGCGGCAATCAAGGGATGGATCCAGACTATTCGAAAGCAGAAGGGAGTATGCTTCGCGACTGTGACGGACGGGTCAACGGCACAGACTGTGCAGGTTGTTATGACCCCAGAGCAGGGGAGTGCGTAAGTATCTTCCTTTCTATATCAATTCTTTCTTAAGAAAATTAATGAACATACGGTTGATGGTATTCTTTCTTATTCGACAGTTTAACAATTGGCGCTGCTGCAAAGATTACGGGTTCATGGCAGGAATCACCAGTAAAGAAGGCCCAGCAGAAAGAACTTCTTGCTACAGACGTGAAGTTGCTCGCTGAGTCTGACCCCGGGGTAAGCCTAAAAAAACAGTAAATTTTATGAATACTACTCCATACTTACATGTTCACCCAGACCTACCCCCTCCAGAAGAAATCCCACACATTTGAATACCTTCGCACAATACCCCATCTCCGTCTACGCTCTTCAACCTCCCGCTCAATCCTTCAACTCCGCTCAACAGCCCTCTCCCAAATCTCAACCTACTTCGCCACAAACTCCTTTACCCAAGTCCAACCACCCATCCTAACATCCTCGGACTGTGAAGGTGCCGGCGAAGTCTTCGCCGTCACAGCGAGTGATCGAAAGCCATTCTTTACCGACCCGGTATACCTCACCGTATCATCACAACTACACCTCGAAGCCATGGCACTGGCCATGTCGAAGGTATGGTGTATGTCCCCCACGTTCAGAGCTGAGAAGAGTGATACCGCTAGGCATTTAAATGAGTTTTATATGTTAGAAGCGGAGATAGCGTTTGTTGAAAATGGAATTGAAGATGTTATGAAGGTGGTTGAAGGGGTTATTAAATCCGTCGTGCAGGGTCTAGTGAATAACGAAGTCCTCAAGAAGGATCTGTTAATCAGAAGGAATGATGATGTTGGACTTCTTGAACCTGAGCAACTGGAGAAAAGGTGGGATGGGATTATAAATATACCGTGGAGACGGGTTACATATACTAAAGCCATTGAGGCGTTAAAACAGGCGGTAAAGAGGGGAGAAGACTATAAAGCCAAAATGAGTTCTTCGCTAAATCCTAATTCTAAGGGCATACCTGAGGTTCAGGTTCCATGGGATGAAGGCGCGGAATTCAAATTCCCGGTCGAATGGGGCATGAATTTACAAAGTGAGCATGAAAAATATTTGGCTTATGCGGTCGGGGGTGGAGCTCCTGTGTTTATCACGGATTATCCAAAACAGTTAAAGCCATTTTATATGCTACCTAATAGCAATGAGAACAAAGATGAGGAAGGAAGGGAGACGGTTGCATGCTTTGATCTGTTGTTGCCACAGGTTGGTGAGATCGTGGGAGGATCTATGAGGGAGAATAGGTACGATATGTTAGAAGCCGAAATGAAGAGAAGGGGTATGAGCGAGGAGAGTATTAAACAACTAGGATGGTATTTGGAGTTGAGGAAATGGGGGTGTGCACCATTGGGAGGATTTGGAATTGGGTTTGATAGGTTGTTGGCGTATTTGGCCGGAGTGGAGAATATTAGGGAAACGGTGGCATTCCCGAGATGGTTTGATAGGTGTCTGTGTTAAGAAGGAGGAAGTATGTATAATATTGATACATACTAGTATTGTAAATAAGACTCTATGAGCTCGGGGGGTGTGTAGCTCTTGTATAAAATTGCGGTAACTTGATATAATGGAAGTAAGATTTGTGGGAGAGACTCCGTTTAAGGATTTGTACATATTTACACACTGTTTTTTATCTACTTACACCTATCTTAGTTTAACACACACTCGCCTCGAGCATTGGATTGGATTGAGGACTAAGAAGCCTTGATGTTGAGTGTAATGGCCATATGGTGCTCCGAGCACATGGCTAACTTATGAGATTCCCAAGCTAAGCTAAGTCAAAAACGCTAACTCGACTAACACAGCAAGGATTAATTATCTGATGGTTATATTTTCAATATGACAATAGATATACAAAGATACCCGACAATTTTATCTTAGCTGATGCTTCCAAGCCCCAGAAGCTATGGATTGATATTCTGGGATCTCGAGTTTGTAATTTGACGGTTGAAATTCATCGGCGAAAAAGCACCTTGTTGTATTTTGATGGGCTAAATGTGTTGCGGATCCTGATAGCTGAACAATAATCGTGATTATGAGGCCGACTTGTCTCGCGGGATCGTGAACATGAGACTGGGCCTTAAGACACCCGATTTCCATCGCCTGGGAATGAAGCAGAACCATGATCTAACTGGCTTCGGCCTTTCCCCCTTTCCTGTGACGCTTTTCGAAATTGTCTTAAAATTGTTGACTCACAGAAGTATTTGTGGGAGGCCTGACTTGATTGTAATTGGCGTGCATCAAAGCGAACAGCCTTGTTAGAATTAGAGGTTGGAATGTTCCACAGCTTCCTAAAATCACATTAAATTCGTGACTCAATCAACCCACCCACCTTTGAACACGAAGAAACGTGATCTCGTTCACCACGGCTTTATGGACTATAAGAACCAGGCCCGAATCTCTTCTTTATTCACCTGCTCTAACAATCTCCTTCTATAGCTATTCAATCAAATTCAAGGCCTCATTAAATACATCGAGGACCAACAACCGACTACGCCACGTCAAACAAAGCACGGCTCTTTACAGCAATCTATATCTCCCCCACAGAAATGTTTCTTCCACCGGAGATCCTCCTCAGTATTCTGGAGGAGCTGAAAACAGATCGTAGTACATTACATAATCTGCGACTCGTCGATAAATACTTTTGTCAGGTTGCAACGGATATTCTCTTCGGAGATTTCAGCGTGCACTATGGATTCAGGCATTCAGTCCCTCAGATGAAGGCTATCATCAATTCCCCGGGATTACAACCATACATCCGATCCTTGGATTTGCCGAGCGAGTCTTTTTTTCCGATTGCAAGGAATTGTATGTATTGATATATTCCCTCTACTCTCTTCCCTTGGTCACTCATCCACTTTGTAACTGGATATTAGCTCAACTAGTACTAACTACGGTTTTGATAAATAGTCAAATTGAGAGATGGTGGAGGCTACAGATTCCCGTGGTCTCGTGACTTGTCAAAAGAAGTCAACCCACCCGCCCGTCGTCATTGCTATGAACAGCAAACGGACTCGAAAGGCTATCGTGGGTACTTGGAAGTTCCCACCAACAGGAATGCAACGTTTAGTTTTGGTGTCAAACGATATCAAAATGAATATGACAAATACATAAAAACCCTAACACAGTTCCTAAAAACCTGTGTGAATCTACGGACAATTCATATCACAACTGGATTAGGCTATGAGGCTGAACGTTCAGAAGCTTGGTGCACGATGATCGGAAGCCGGGTGTTCCCTATATTGGCGGAACAGGGGATCAAAAGGCTTGATATGTCGTTAGCATCAGGCGACTGCCTTTTCAAAATTTTGCAATGGTACGGCCAGGATACGGCGAATGGTCCTAGTCAGATACCCGTGCTTTCAAGGTATGTAATATCTCAGACTTTTGCCGTTGTATATTGAAACCTTAGTTAAACCCATTCTGACACAACCGCCCCAGCGTTACGTCCCTATCTATCAAAATCGATCGCGAATGTGCCGCATATCATCAATTATTTGATATGGGTGGACTTAAGAGACTAGACGGCTTTCTCTCCACCCTATCAAACCTGACTACCTATTCAATAGGAAATACAGAGTTAAGGCAACGATCAATAGAACTTCTGCCTACACAGTACACGCAACATAACATAACCTCCCTCACCCTGAGTTGCATGTACTTAGGCGAAGAGACGTTTGACAAATTCAAGTCTTCGATTTCGTCGATGCGGTTACTAACAAATCTAACACTGGACACCATCGCTCTCAGTTCATCGGCGGAATTTCAGGTAGACGACTACCCCGAACGAAAGCTTCCCAAAGCCATGTCTTCACCTTCGCCCCCCGAAGCTTCTGCCTCACAATTCTGCCTCTTTGACAGCAGTGATGACTTGGTCAATCCGTTTGGATCAACTTATCACCCTCCAACCAATTTTAGTTTTGATTTTGATTCATTTCTCAATCCCCCATCGAGGACGATAACTGCGTATGAACTCAAAAACTTTTCCGGCCTCTGGAAAGCCACCTTCACTATGCTTCGAGAACGGCTGACCAAGCTCACCGAATTCTCCTTTAAACGACTGGTATATACTACCCCGCGCCCGATCGGTGGACGGAGTGCTCTACTGTTTATCCCAGTCCAAGACCGGGAAGACTACAACAGAAGGGATTTCCAGAAGTTCGCAAGAGGCACATACAATATGGAGCTGATCAGCACTCTTGAGAGTGATTATCTCGCCCTAGAAAGCCTTAGAAATGAGGTTAACGAGCGGAGACACAAGTGCGGGTTAGTCGAGCTGAAATGCGAATCTAAATCCGAGGGTTTTGGGGAGACAAACTCAGAAAATGATTCCGACCGTTTGAGCGAAGAAATCCCGGGGTTTGAACATCAAACGAAGGATAAACGAATTATCCTACTTCGGTATGATAGTGTGTGGAATGATACTTCTTTGGAGACACCTGGTATTATCCCACCTACCAGGGATATAGATTTACAGTATTGGACGGTGTGGTAATGGAGTTCTAGTGAACCCCGGGGTGGGGGTTTAATCGGGATATTCTATAATGTTGAGCGCTGGCGTTACAATGAAATTCGAATCGAATTATGTCTCTAACACTTCAATGTATTATTCTTTGTTTTTTTCCCCCTTTTACATACTCAATGAAATACCTATTTAATCATCCTGCATAGCTTAAGCATGGGAATTATAAATTCGTTACCCCCTGGTAAACTTTCTGGCGTACATGACAAGACGTCGCTAACAGCCTAACCGATACGGAGAATTATAACTTCTGTGTCATTGACGATTTGAATGACTCAATACCGTAGTCACAAAGTCAGTCCTCTGATTCAATTCATTTTGTACATATAATCGGATGCAAGCTAACAACTGAAACCCTCCTGGTGACACATGATCACGTATCATAGATATTATAATAACGGCGCGGGGCGTGTAAAGTGTATATTAGGACTTCAAGTCGAGACTTAGCTGCCTACATAAAACCCCAAGAATTTATAAACCTCATAATCGTCAAATCCGTAATATATATTAAGTATATATAAATACCTACCTAGTAATCAATATCAATACCATTGAGGCCCTTACCCCGTACCCAGCCCTCGAAAGCTAGCTACCACAATAAACCATGTCCCTCTCTCCAGAAATCTTTCACCAAATTTTCAACTACCTCGATGGAGACCACGAAACCCTATCTAGCCTCCGATTCGTCGATAAACAGATATGTCAAATCGTAACACCAAAGTTCTGGGGAATTAATACCCTAAAATTAGCCAAAGGGATTCATAATTCAATTCCTCAGATGAGACAGATAATTGACACGGACTTACACTTACATGTAAAGTTTTTGACAATCACTTCTTCGTCGTTTTGGGCTCCGGTGTCAGTAACGCGTATGTATTTATCTTCCTATCGATTCTCTAATTGATAAAATAAAATAAATTATTACACATACATATATATATATAAAATATAACTAAAATGTGTATCTATAATAGGTTGCTCCACATCACCAAACTGCGATTGCAAAGGTATCAACTACAAACCGTCGCGAGAACCATTCGACCCGAACAACCGAAACTTTAGGGCACAAATGAAAGGATACTTAGCGACTGTTATCGAACTACTGGAAACATGTCAAAACTTAGTAAAATTGAGCATAAAACCACGATTGAGTATTGAAGGTAGTCCTCGGGATCGAAGGGACGTATGCTGGGGGAGACTATGGGTGGCTCAAATACTGCCCGTGGTTGCGAAATTGGATATTCCACGGCTTTGTATCGAAGGTGCTGGCGAACGTGCTTTTAAAAAGGCGTTCGATCGAAGAATGTTTTTGAGGGGGTTGCCGGGACGGAGTCGGTATTGTAGGCGATTGGTGGGGTTTACTAAGTATGTACGGCATATATATATATTTATCCTAAAAACACGATTGAATTTTATCGGCCGTGCATTAAGTTTGCAAATTTGGTATATATAATGATATCTGAGAAAATATTTTGGCTAACGAAATAACAATTGGACGATTTAGTCTCGAATCGCTGGAAGTCAAGATTACTGAGTCCGGGGGATTTGAGGGGGAAAATAAGTTCAGATATTATCAGGAGCGATACGAGGGCTTATTTCTTCGAGCGTGGGTATAATCCACGTAAAGAAAGTAGCTGCTCGAGGGTGGACTTAGAGCTCAAGCAGAGTTACGATAGAAGCTGGAGTGGAGGGACCTATTCTTTTATATATAATAAAAAGTTTTGAGAAACTATGTGGAATGAATGAGGATACTTATGGGTGTGTAATTAGTCTCGTTAGGGATATTTTTGTGGGTTTATATTGGGTTTGGGGTGAATTTAAAAGGTCATTTTGAAGAGCAAAATATCATGAAGCTTGAAGATTTCGTATTACCGAAGCAAGTTTTCAATATCAGTTCGTTAAGTCATAAAATCGGTAGAACATCTCGAATCTGTGTTCTCGTGTTGTATTTTCGAAGGATCCGTTCCGGGTTGCTTTAGCTGCGCTGCAAGTATATCAAACGATACTGCATCAGACAACGGTATGCACTATAGCTACCAGCTCCCAACCAGATATATCCCTGCCTCTACAGCCCCATATATAGTATTCTTGAACCATGTCACTCTCAGTGCCCACAGAGATTCTTTTGACATTCTACAAAGGTTGGACCGCAAAACACTCAGCAACCTTCGCATCATAAACCATCATCTATGCCAAGTCGCGACGGAAGTGCTCTTCCAGGATCTAAACATCCACTATGGACTATCTCGCTCGATTGCCCAGATGAGAGCTATAATCGATGCCCCGACACCGGTTTCGGGTGTACCTGTGCGACTTCGTGTTAAAAAAATATTTTTACCCAGCGAGTCTTTTTTCCCGCGGGCTCAGGATTGTATGTATGGATTTCTATATACCATCCATGTTTTCGACCTCAATTTATGAGTTAGTATTAACGGTGAACGATGGGTATGTATAGTTAAGTTCCAGAAATGGTACATGTTTAATTGGTCCCAGCAACTCCCAAAAACAGACCCGAAGCCGGATTTAGAAGATAATCCAATGTCAAGTACTGCCAGTTTACCCATAGAAGACGACGACGTTTTAAATCTACTAGTCAGACTCCGAGGTTCTCCCATTGACGAGCAAGCCGTCTGGCACGGAGATCTCCCGGAAGACCCTAAAAACAGAGATATTAAATTCGATCTTAAAGTACCCGAGTTTACGCAGCAGTTCGAACTATACGAAAAGACAATAGTTGAGTTTTTGAAAGCATGCGAGAATTTACAGCAGATATGCATCGCTCAGGGGATAGGTTGGGGGACTGAGCGGATGAAATATTGGACTTGTATGGTTACGAATACTGCGCTTCCGGTGATAGCTCCGAGAGTTAGGAAGATGAGTATTATGGTGGCGCGGATGAGATGTAGTTATATTCCTATCATCTCGGACTACTTGTTTAGTACGTCGGAGGAAGGTGGAAAAATGGTGTTCTCGAGGTAAATGAAATCAAAATTTTCATTCGAACTATATTACTTTTAATAAAAAGATACTAATCGATATTATGTTCTGTCTACTAGCCTTAAATCACTTGATATAACCATCCACTCCACGCAGAGTTCCCGAGAACAATCAAACAATGATAGAATCGCAGCTAATCAAATAGCGAATTTTCTTTCGAATATTCCAAATATTAACTCGTTTGGAATCGCAAATACCGCTCTATTCAGGAATCCTGCCCCCCAAGTCTTCTCTCCAGTGCCCGAGAGCGTGCACCTCACCTCCCTTAGTTTATGTACGATATTTATCCCCGACAGTACCAGTGATCTTCCATCTTTCGAGGATTTCAAGGCAATGATCGTATCAAGGCCTGCTATTAAGAACCTCGAGATGGAGTATATTGCACTTTATCATCCATCCATAAGATGTTTCTCCAAGATAAATTATGATCCAGCTACTGACCTTCCGGCCCCAAAGCCCGATACGATGCTACATTCTCGGGGATTCGAGTTCCCACCTTGGATGCATTGGGCCGCTGTTTTCGAACTTCTACGGAAAAGACTTTTGAACCTTACTAGTTATAAATTTAAGCATCTGATGTACGGTGGCAATTCGAAGTATCCAAGAGCTGCCGCCAGGGGGAGTAATGTATCGCTGTTTGTTCCGATGGACCAGGAGTATAGAATGATCAATTCTGAGGAATTTGCGGATGTAATGAGGATTGATGAAATAATTAGTCCTTACCTAAAGGATTATTCAGAGTTGGAAGCTTTTAAGCAAGAGATTGATAATAGGCGAAAGATCGTTGGACTTGGCGGTGGGGGTGGTTCCGAATTTTTATCAGATTAAGGAGGAGGAAGAGGTTAGAGAATTTGGATGCGTTAGAGGACAGCAGGGCCACTCGGTGTGGCATTTTTTATTTTATTTTATTTTTTATAGTTACTTTAAGCTTTTCGCATGATTCCTTTCGGTTGGAGGGAAGAGTTTTATGATTTACGTTTCTGGGTATTTATTTGCGTGGGAGGGTAGGTACTATGCTAGCATGCTTGGTAGGATGGATGTGAAATTATTGGATTCTTTAGTTTTGTAAGGTGTTGACATTTTGAAACTTTAATTTTTAAAATCTCGGCTATACTCTGGCTCCAAGACTACTATAAGAGAATGGATTTGCACCGAGGTATGGATCTGGATCATTCGAAGGGCTTGAGGAAGCAGGCAGGATGCATGCAGGTCTATCGACTTGCATAAGTACCAGAGCCGATACATGGTCTCAGATTCAAAACCTTAATAGAATTAGCAACTTCTGTATACCGTATTACGTCTTGATTAACCTAACCTAAATTACTTTTTATTTTATTTTAGTCACAACATCAATCATCTGCATCATCACAAACCAATTTCAAAGATATTAGAAAGCGAAGCGGTATACTTGCATCGTTTACTAAAAGGAGGAAGTACAGTCTATTTAAGCATTGACGCAGTAAAAAGGTGCATTATAAATCTATACCTGAAGAGGGAACACGTACGATCATATTTACGCCCTTCGGATCGTTCACAGTCAAATCGGATGTCGGACTCGAGCCCGATACCGGGTATTCGGGAGGAGAAAAAGCTTAAGGCCATGTGGCCGTCCGGGCTCCAAGGTGCTACGGTGCCTACCTAATGTCTCTAGTAACTGAGCCAATACCTGCCAATGATCTCGAAGAAGTATCGGCGTCGCAATCCTCTCCACTTGGTCGATCATTAGTGTGGATCTTTCCCACCAGTGGATGGTTCCAAGGTTGCCCAGGGACTCCCCTCCCTCCCCCCTTCGGATTAAGCTACTATTAGCGCCGCCCACGTACGATTGTTGAAGGGGCGCTAAAGAGAGAAGCATTGAGAGCCGATTGGTTGGTATAATCCGAATTTTGCAGTAGACTTTTTGCAGGCTAGTTCTGTCGAGACCTCGGTGGTAGACGCCGCCAACGTCATAACGAAGGACGCTAAGTGTGGCATTTTGGGATACAAATGCCGTTTTGAGTTGTCGTGTGGTCTGGTTTGGTTCTCGTAACACAACCGGAAGATCGGCTCCGTCCGAAAAACAAAGCAATTCGCTGTCACTGCGACGGGCAACTCCTGACAATTATAACATAGACGACTCGACACTTAGACAGGTTTTTATGGTCAGAGAAGCTGATTGTATTCGTAATCCCAAAGCTGGTGGATGTATAAAGTATGTATATTTCCATGCAATAGAAGAGTCTGCTATGCTTGTGCAGATGCACCCCAATTAATTTGCGCATTGACATTCACACACACCACAGACACCCACAGAGAAAAAGCGGTACTCAACGGCCCCCCATGGCTATTATCAGCTGGATTTCCATGGACGACCCGAGAAAAATCACGCAGCCTTCGCTTGGGCTGGATGATTGGCTCGCAGGACCCCAGGTAAGCTTAAATTAGCGTGGCAGAGCGATCCGCGTGTGGATAAGCAAAAGCCAAGATGGAGCCAAGATGGAGTCCGGAATTTGCCCTTTTCTCTTAGCTTTTCTCTTAGCTTTTTCTTGACTTTGGTTACCCTTTTTCTTCGGAAGGAAAGCAGGATTTTCCAAAGATTTTTTTTTTTTTTAGTTCCCCCATAATACTTGTTATGTAGTATGTTAGGGTTTTTCCTTGTTCACCATATTTTTTTATTTTTTTTTGTCTCCCAAACTCCCTTCTCATGCTCCCGCTTGGGGGGGTTAATTTCGTTCGACGTGGTATTTGATATGTAGATCGATCTAGGGGAAGTACTATGTAGGGTTTTTTTTTTATAATCCCGTACGGATTAAGCTTTTCCAACGGGGTCGTCATCGGCTAGACAGAAGTTTTTTTTAGTTAACGGAAAACTTTTTAGAGAGAGAGAGGTTCTTTCTTTCTTTTCTTCTTTTCATCTTTTCTCTTCTCCGTCTGCTATTTCATTTATTTCTAAATTTAATCATTTTTAATTTATTTTTTATCATCTTTATTTCTTCAAATGTGTACTCATCTGAAAGGAATGAATGAATAAATGAAAAGAAATAAGATAAATGAAAGAAGGAAAGAAATTAGGGTGCCGTCATGCGTGCGGCATATTCTTTTCCGAGTAACCGGCCCCGCCCAACCTTATCGAGGCATCTCGAGGATCGAAGCAGTTAAGGCTTGCACCATTTTGTTCCACGAAAGGACGAAGAAGCGAGGAAGCTTACGTATATGGTGTGCAGTTCAGTAGTTTAGGCTTGTCTGCTGGGTCTTGGGGGGTGGGAGGGCAAGGCAAATAATGTGTCGTCCCACCTGGTTAATTGCTAATTGGCAGACGGACACAGCCTTGGGGCCAAGAGCCAAGAGGACCGCCCAGCGGGATCCTTGGGGAAGCTGGGACATCTTGGGGTTCCAGTGATCTCTTTGATTTTACTCAGGACCGATATCCGAGTGCTTCCTTTTTTTTTTTTTTCCTTGCCTTGTCTTTTGTTTCGAATCATAGTTTTCCGTCGGTGGATATTAGATAAGTTTGTATTATATAATAAGGAATTGGTCTCGATTTATAGCCACGGAATGCGCGGAGGACACGGAGAATGACATGGACATCTTAATCAGCAAAAAACCTTGGACGGAAGGGAATGAACCCGAGACGACGTTATGCAATGAAGAACGAACTCGAAGAACTAGTTAGAAGACAGACCTACGAATAAGGTTTGATGGCATGGTTTTTAACCTTAAAATCGTGTCTTGGAGTTGGGAGGAAGTGAATCCTGGGCGGACAGTTTCTCAGCTGCCAAAACTAGCATCCAGGAAAAGCAAAGGGACCAGAAAGAAATAAAAATCTTGCGCAGGCCAAGTGCCGTTTTACAGCTTGCTGCTTCTTATAAGACCGTCGGACAAGAAAATTGCTGATTCTTGGCTTTTGATATTGCAACGGATCGAGCAGAGGCCATTAGGTCAACAGAGTCAAGACAAGCCAGTCAAGTCAAGTCAAGCCATATTAATCTTGTGCGGTTTGATGTTAACATGCTTTTTTATGCACCGGCTCCATCGACGCTGAGTTAAGTTTAAGTTTAATTTAAAATATTTAAAGTCTTCGGTTTCTATTCTTTTTCGATCTTTTGTTTTTTTCTTCCTTCTCTTTTTCCTACTTCTTTGATTTTTTTTTTCCTTTGATTCTTTTTTGTATTTTCATCATCATCAACAGCATCACCATCACCAACATCACCAACAACAACATCATCATCATAATTATCATCATTATCATATCACCAGCATCGATCGTCCCGCGTTCATAGGTATCTCAGCTGCTCTGCACTGTCCAGTCGATCGAATGCAAAATCCGATCAAGTGCCAGTCACTTTACAATTACCCGGGGATCCAATACTGCATGCGGACCGTAGTTATTATCCAGTAAAGTGAAAGACGAAGATAGTTAATTAACCCCTCCACATCCACCACCACCCTAGCACCATCTCTCTCCCCAAGATCTGTCGTGGGAGATATAGTTTGCCGGTGGACTGGGTACCCTTCCCTTCTTTCCCGAACATCCCATTCACTCATTCATCCGTTCGTTCGTTCGTTCATCCATACGTCCATCCACAATATTCGATTTCCTCTCTCTGCCGATAGGATAGGACTGCCTGCACCTTGTTTGCATCTCGAACTTCCAGATCATCACTATCACCCTCGAACTACATCGCCTTGCGCCGGGAGCTCTAAAAAAAGACGCTTTGACATATCAAACGCCCGTGGATTAGCGGCTGGCCGGCTGGCTCCTGGATCGACCTCCCTCGCTTTTCTTCCTTCTCTTTAAATTTAAATTCCCACAAACCTGTTCGCTCCTGGTCCTGGACTAAACAGCAGCAGCAGCAGCAGCAGCAGCAGTAGCAGCAGCCAACATTCCTAACTAGTAGCTTTGAGATTTTCACCGTGCGTCGTGGTGGTGTTGCTTTTTTGATCTCTCCGCGGTGCATTTCACACCCAAGAAAGAGCGATTACAATTATTCGCTGCTCGCTGCTCTCCGCCAGCTACCAGGTTTTGCTCCAACGCTTTCCCGCCCACCACTTCCAAATCCAAATTCAAATCCAAATCCACATCTACCACCGCACTCTCTACATCCTCAGCTCCCCATCAAAGGTACTCCCTGGGGATATTCAGGTATATAATCACCTCCTCGACCGGTGGCATCTTCTTTCCTGGATTGGACCTACCGAAACAGAGCTGTTCAACGAGGTCAGACCCTTCCTTCTCCCCCCGGTCAGGTGCCCAGTTGTAGTTTCAACATTGGTGGGAGGGCTACGAATCGACCTAGGTAAGCACATAGTGAGCCATGACTGACTGGCATTTCCTATTCCCAATTCTAATTCCCATCTTCCACCTGTTTCTCTGCACGTTTCCCACATGTTCAAACAGATAAAATCACTGCCGTTCAGGCTTTCCGTTCTACGCAAGATATCTGGTTAGGCCAGCCAGCGGATAACTTTGTTTTTTTTTTTTTAAAAAAAAACGCTGGTTGCCAGGATCTGGGAAAGCCAGCTGCACTGCTTTTTGAGCACAAATGCACCAATTAATATTTCCACTTCCCCCACTAACACCAAGATTCCTCTAGATCTCACCACCAGCACACAACGGAATCATTGATATATACCTATATATAGCTATATCTCAACTGAACTGAAAAAACTAGAATACATTTTAGTATCCTATTACAATTTCATACCAAAACTGATTACATATCGCCGATATACCTACTCGGAGGCAGCGACGATGGAGACATACCATGGGCTGGTTCGCTCGCCTATGGATGCGATAATACTGTTCGAAGCGTGCAGACAGGGCCTCCTCCCGCGGGTCCAACGCCGGTTATCGGAGAAAGAGCGGCAAAGCATAAAATCCGGCAGCATTTTCGTTTGGGATGAACGAGAAGCCGGCATGCGAAGATGGACCGATGGGAAATCGTGGAGTGCGAGTAGAGTTTCTGGGAGCTTTCTGTGCTATCGCGAGATGGAAGGGAAGCGGGGTGGGGGTTCCACTTTCCCTTCGATGCCCCCAACCCAAAACGGAAAGTCTCCGGATCATGGCAGTGACAGCGATTCGGACAACCGCGATGGACTGGCTGAAGGGTATCGATATAAGCCGGACGGGCTGATGAAGCAGTCCTTCAGCATTACCACTTCGACCAATCAGAAGCTTCATTTGATCAGCTATTACGCACGATCTCAGAACATGGGAGAATTAAAACAACCTTCGACGGACCCACAGCTGAAGCACATCATACCTCAGCCGGGAGTATACCCCGAGCAGACTTTATCGGATCCAACTCCACAACCAGGCCTGCATCAAGCTTTAACTATGCCGCCAGGGCAACCTCCTATGGTCGTCGCGGCTCCCAGATCGATGCTCCCATCGCCGTACTCAGTTGCTCAAACTCCTGTCCAGCAAGCCCATGCTCCCCCGGAAATGCAGCCTCCACAGCTACCCGCCGTCGTCCCTCATCTACAAGGGTTTGGTACGGTATCAGCACATGCACCTAGCCCATACGGCTGGCCACCTAGTCCAATATCTACACCTCCGACCAACAACTTCGCACAGAGTAATGGATACCCCCCGCAGGGCCTTCCAGCTCCCTTAACAAGTCCACCCCCAGCGAATACGGCAGTTACGAAAGGGCCCTACGATCCAACATTAGGTGCTCCAATTGGGTACGGTATGATGGGATCTCCATTACACTACGAGCAGGCGCATCCAACATTACAACCCCTGCAATCCCCACATCCACACCGACCTTCGATGCCATCATCTATACATCTACATCCTCCTCAAACATCGCCCGGTATCTCGAACTTCCACCATGGCCCATTGCCATTACTACCGCCGGAGAGTTCCCGATATTCGTCACCAGCGTCGAGCGTCGCCGCCGGTTATCCAAGTCGAACGCCACCACGACCGGCGGATCCATGGGAGCCTCCACCGCCAATCCTCAGCCCCGTTGAAGGAACTGCTGCTTCATTGGATGTACAAGATATTCCAAACGAGAAGCTTGGATTTGGAGAAGATGCAAGGGCTCTGAGGCAGCTTGATAAGACCTTCATGAGGGTTTAATTGGCAGAAGCTCGCAGCTGGTTTAACAGTTTTTTTCATTTGTTATCGGTGTCGTTTTCATTTACCTATCAGGATATGTTTTTCTTTATTATCCTTATTTTATTGGTTTGCCTTTTTGATGTTGAATGCTATGGAATAATTGAATGGGGAGATCGATTGAGGGGAGGCAATCTGCACAGGTATGAGGACTACCTGGGATACTTTGTGCTTTATTCTCCGGTCAGCGTGCAAATGGCGTTTTATTTGATACACGATTGTTTTTATCATGTTCCCGTTCCTTCTGTTTCTTCTTCTTCCTTTTTTTCCCCCTTTGTTAATGGTTCAAGTTAATATATCATGGTGAAAGTTTTTTTTCCTTCCCATTCTACCACGGCTCGGATAACTTCTTTTTCATAGTTTCGGATTGTTCTATTCTCTTTTCCTTCTACATTTCGTATTGTTGATTCTAAAGGGCGTATGTCTTTTTCTTCTTTGACTTCTCTTTTTCTATTTCCTCATTTCCGATCTCGTCCCTCTTCCCTAGGGATCCGCTAACTACTAAGTACCTATACTGTTATGACTTTTTCCCTCTTATTTCATTTTCTCTTTAAGCTTAATTACTAGTATCTTAACGGCCAACTGTGGGGAGATCTCTTTATTTTTGGGTGTACTCTTTCTTGTCTTTTTCAACCAAAGCAAATATTTATCAATTGAGACTTTTTTTTATTGGGGACTTGGACTTTTTTTTATACATGGTCTCCCATGGTTGTGATTTCGTTTTTAAAACATTCCTCTTTAAAATTTGAATTCCATATACCTAATCCCTCTGTAGGCGGGTTCCTATTTCTTAGATGGGTTTTTTATTTATATATATTTTTATAGTTATCCTCTCTTTCTATTCTATCTCCCCTCTTTTTCAGTCTACATTGACGATAACCATGGCCTTCGGATTTTTTTATATTTTTTATATTTTTTTATTTTAGGATATACTCGTCCTATATATCGTATATCCATGCCTGTCCCTATTGAGGCTCTTTCGGCTGTTACATGTACTATGTATGTATGTTTTTCCAAGATAATTCCTTTTAGATAAAGTATACACAGAGATATATGCAAGTTTACGTATCGATCGGATCATCCAACTTTCTACAAAATGCTAGTTTCAACTTTTAATATTAATCTTCACCCGTTTGAGCCGAAGAAGGAAAAAAAGAAAGGAAGAAAGGAAGAAAGGGGATTTAAGATTCAAACATTTCCAACTGAACCACTTTTTTTTTAAAAAAAAAAATCATAATCATTATGATGACGCTTATCGATACATCTACACTCTAACTTCACTCTGACTAGCTGAATAAGTAGTGTTTCGAAGGTCCGGTTGATACCACGTTGTGTTGGACCCTGTCGCAAGGAGGGTCTTGGTCTATTAATTCTTTCCCCCCTCTCCTCTTCCCTAGTTAATTAAGTAACCAGTCCAGTCCAGTTCGGTATGGATTGCCCCCCTAAAATCCAAGGTACTTACGGAGAGGAGGGGAACTGAATTATATTTTAAGGGCGCTGGTTGTAACTACTTAGCTAGCTTCCCTTGTCAAGGAAAAAAAAAAAAAAAACTCCCGTTCGATTATATTAAACCTACTAACTTGACTTACGCAAACACCTATTCATCCATCCACATCATCATCATCTCATCTAAGTATACTATCCTGTATAACGACAGCAACTACGACGACGATTTAATTACCTAGCCACTTAGCTACTACTATTGGAATTCGGTTATACCTATACGAATATACACCTTCCGTTTCGACAGCTAGGCCTTTTTTTTTGTTTCTTACTTTTCTCGGTCCGATCAAAGTAGAAGGGGCGTCTTTGAAGGGGGAAGGGGGACCTGCCGTTCAACTAGCCAGGCAGCTTACGACGAGACAGAGACATCATAGCAATCAGAACACCTAATAACGTTCACACTCCCAGCTCCAAACAAAACCTATCCACGAATGCCATAAAAACACCACCCCGTTCCGATCCACCGACCTAAAAAAACGCTATCCTTCAATTAATTAAGAATCAATAGAACAAGAATAAGAAGAAGAATATAAAACAAGAGAAGAGAAAAGATTACAATGGCCCGGCGCCGTCGCGTCCGTCCCGCGTCCGCCCTCGAATCCCTCTCACCGCTATGGATCCTTTCCCAAATCATCCTCCTACAAGCTGCATTCTACGTCGTCGCGGCCATACTTTTCCTCTTTACGACGTTGGTGTTAGGATCGGCTTTCTCGTTGGATCTGATGTTTTCTTGGGTTCCCTTGCAGGCTGATAATGCTGTCGGATGGACTTTGGCGATGGTGTGGATTTGTAATAGTTTGACGAAGTATGTTCTTTCCTCCCTTTCTCCTTTCGTTTTCCATTTCATCATTTCATCTACAAAGAAAAAAAAAATTCAATTGTCTTTTTGTGTTTGCGGGGTATTTAAAATACTAATGATATATCTATAATAGTGTAATATCAATAACCCTCCTAATAATCCGTACAAAATTCGTCCTCGACTTCGCGCTTACGATACATTTTATCCATTTAATAATAACTTCGCTATACTCGCACTCCCTACCTTCGAGTTGGTTATGGTGGGCCGTACAACTGGGGTCTAGTTTGATAACTATTTCTTTGGCTTCTTGGTTATGTCAGAAACGGGAGTTGAGGCCGTTGAATTGGGGCGGTGGTGGGGCTGGGAGGGGTAGGAGTAGGACTGTGGGGAATAGAGAGGCGGGACAGGGACATGAGATGGTGCCTTTGAAGGGGGATCAGGAGGTTCCGTGAATCTTCTTATTCTTCTTCTTCTTTTTCTTCCCATTATCTTAGGCTTTTTTTTTGATGTTATAACGTTTAGGAGGGAGGGAAGGGGTGGGGTTGTATGATTATTGGTAACCATTGTATTGATGGGTTTTTGGATTGTTTAACCTTTATTTGCGGGGTTCATAGCTGGCGTTCTTTTTGTTTAGCTGTCGATGGCGATTATCGATAATTTGGGTGGTTTTATTAGCTGTTATTACTACCATCATCACCACCCATATCTGCTGCTGATATTGTAGCGGTACGTTTGAATTATTTTCTTTTTTTTCCCATTCTTGTTTATAGATTTAGTTTTCGAGGTGCATTATTATTAGTGGACAAAAGGTATGAAGAACGGCTTTTTTGACTTTGGTAACCTGTCAATAGTTAAGTACTTAATTAATGATACTCCAGAGACTCCGATCCTTCCGATATGCTGACTATCCCGCTTTTTTTTGTTCGAACGATACGATATGATACCAAGCTTGTTTGTTATACATTCACCTCCCCCCGTCCATAAAGAATACCCATAAGAACATAGGTATTCATATATACACACCACTAATTCTTCCTCTTCTTCGTCTCCTTAACCTCACTAATAACCCTCCCAACCTTCTCCTCCAAATCTCTTAACGGCAAAGCCACAAACTCCTGTTTATTCCTCCACTCCGCCTGATCAGCCGCATACTCCTCCAACGCCTCTCTACTAGGTTTAGAAGGTGGAGGATCCGTAATCTTTGTGATCAAATAAGCCGTACTAGCCTCCGCAATCCCATATATCAAAACCCCCAACAACGGAATCCTCAAGAAAGCATAAAACCCAATTCCGAATCCTAATAATAGTCCTTGTCTTTCTCTGTACCATTTCTTCTTCTGGGCTGGTGTGAACGGTATACGAGAGAAATAAGGTTCTAAGAGGGTTCGTACTAGACTTCTGGATGCGTGGTAGGCTTGGAGGACTATGACCATTTGTTTACGGGGTACGAAGAGACCTGTTAGGAAGACTCCGAGGGCTGGACCTATTCCTACGGTTGGGTGGAGGGACCAGGCGCTTGCTGCCGGTAGGACGAGGATTCCGGCCCAGGGGATTAAGGAGGAGATGTAGACTATTAGGGAGATTAGACCCTTTTTGAGCATTTGTTTTATAAAGTCGGTTTGTTTTTGGGCGATTGTGGCGGCGAGTTTGGAGGATTTGGATTGGGGTGGTGATGAGGATGAAGAGGATCTTGTAGATGAGGATGAAGAGGAGGCGGGGCCGTTTTTGGGGTATAAGATGAGGTTTTGGTGGTATGGTGGGCGGAGGGTAGAGGGGTTGTCGTTTTGGTGTTTTTGGAGGTAGGTTTGGTCAACCCAGGAGAGGGATTCCATGAACCTGATTGTCATATTAGAAATAAGAATAAAACTAAATAAAGTAAAATCAAGAGAAGAAGAAGGGGATAGCATACATTTCATCCAAAGCATCCCGTTGAAGTCTTATGGTAAGTGTCATAAGAAAGAAGGGAATCTGAAGGACGTTCTTCTCGAGGAATTGAAGACCCTTGATGATCCAATCGTCCCATGATTGAGTTTTTAAATCGACAAAGAGACCGCTGAAGGTGAGAAGGATTTTGACACCGAATATCTAGATTATTGACTATCATTAGTATCATGTTTATGATCTGCTTGAGTACTATACATATGTATGAAGTATGTGTGTATGTAAGTACGTAGGAGTGGGTATAAATAATGGCTTACAGGAAGGTCAACGATAATCCTTAGTAGTAAACCAGCTGCAACCGCCAAAGCCGCTTTCTTGTAATGCGAACTTCTGAAGAGATGAGGATTTTGAAGAGCACGGTATGCTATTATTATTTTAATAATAACAATATAAGTCTAGAATTAGTTTTGAAGTCTTTTTTTTGTGTAAATGTATACAGTGTTTGTTTGTGTAAGTTGGTACGTACCACCCACGACCGTTAGCTGTGCACCCCGCAATATAAGACCGGGATCAAAACTCTGCAGGGAATCGATGGCCTTCTGTTTGAAGACCTCGGGGGTCATTGTAGTTTTAGACATTATTGGCGGTAGCCGTGGTGGTGATGGTGATGGTGGTGGTTATTGTTGATTGTACCAGCCGTGATCACCGTCAGTTGTTTGGACATGTGAAGTAGTTCAAGTCAAAACAGCCTACGTAATAGCTGACCACGACCACGGCCATAACAATAACCGATGGAATGCCGCATCAAAGCTCTTTGATCCTGAATCAATCAAATTCAAACTGACAGCCGCATTTTCTCGCTTATTCTCAGCTTAGTTTTTTTTTTGATGGCAGCCGAAAATGCAAAAAAATGCAGAATGCTAACCGCTTTCATATGACGAGAAAGAAAAAATATCCAACCAGAAACCCGGCCGAAAAAAATCCCACCTTTGAATTGTATTGCATCCCACCTCTGGTCTGGGTCTTTCTTTGTACAGGTACTTTACCCCCCCTCCATCCCTCCCCATTAACTTCATTACAATTGTCCTTACCCGAAAAGAAAAAGAAGGAAGGAAGGAGATTTAAGGAACTAACCAGGACTTTTGGACGTGAGCTCCAGGTACCGTTTGGTAATTCGATTGTTTGCGAGAGGGAGAGCTCGTCGGGCGGGTATCGGGACAAACCGCTTCAACTAGAGCTTCTATTAATACGTACCTCTATCGATATCACGACCGCTTCATTCGTTTCATAGGTTGTGTACACACCATTGAAACCACTCGGATTAGCATCAATTGAAGGTTCTAGGGTTAGACCGGGAGAATATACTGGTCCGACAAACGGAGAGGAACGACATCACCCCTTCCTGCGCCATCCGAGAAGATATAAATTAAAATCTTGAAAATAAAAATAAAATAAAATAAAAAATCATGCATTCGCATTTGCTCCGTCGTTCGGCCCTTCCGGTCTTACGGCGTACCGTTGTCCTCAGCAGAGCATATACAACTTCCAGACCGACGGCGACGACGGCGACGACTTCACCATGCATCCTCTGCTCTCACCAATTACAACCTTCTACGACAACTACCACATCATCTTCGGTACTTCCAAGGACCCGTCTGCCCCAACGGCGCACTAACACAGCATGGGCAGCAACCCTCAACAAAGCCTCAGAACTCGTCGCCGAAGCAGCGCCTTCCTTCACACTCAACCCGGCCGCCATAGTCGCCACCGAAATGAAGATGTTAACAAAGAACATTCAAGACCTCCTAAGTTCCGGCCACCCTTCACTCGACAAAGTTGCAAAATACTACATCCGAAGCGAAGGCAAACATTTAAGACCCCTTGTCGTTTTGTTAATGGCCAGAGCGACTTATAATTGTCCAAAGGCCGAGGAGGCGGAGAGGAGACGGGATAGTATATCGGCTACTATCAATGTCCCCATAACGAGTCCGAATATCTTGCAGGATCATAATCCTTCGTATCCTGATGTTGATGGTTCGGTACGACCGATTGTGGATAGCCAAGCTCTTGCTAGTGATGTTGCGACACAGATCTCGCCGAGTCAGAAGCGGTTGGCTGAGATTACAGAGATGATTCATGCGGCTTCGTTATTACATGACGATGTGATCGATAACGCTGAAGCTAGGAGGGGGAGTCCATCGGGAAACCTAGCGTTTGGAAACAAAATGGCTATATTGGCAGGCGACTTTTTGCTCGGAAGGGCATCGGTAGCGCTAGCTAGGTTGAGAGATGCGGAAGTTGTAGAACTGCTGGCGACCGTTATTGCGAATCTCGTGGAAGGCGAGTTTATGCAATTGCACAATGGAACCGAAACGATATCCGAGAAATATTCACCGGCGGCTTTCGAGTATTATATTCAAAAGACTTATCTTAAAACCGCATCGTTGATATCGAAGTCTTGTCGTGCGGCGGCGCTGTTGGGTGGAAGTACGAAGGAGGTTGCTGATGCTGCTTACCTTTATGGAAAGAACTTGGGGCTTTCGTTTCAGCTTGTGGACGATCTGTTGGATTATACGATTACATCGGGAGAGTTGGGGAAGCCGGCGCAGGCGGATTTGAAGTTGGGATTGGCGACGGCGCCGGTGTTATTTGCGTGGGAGCAGTATGAGGAGCTTGGGCCGATGATTAATAGGAAGTTTTCAGAGGAAGGGGATGTTGAGAAGGTTCGTCGTTTTTTCCTAAAAGAGAATCCGCTGGAGAAGATATATGTACTAATGGAGAAATCTTATAGGCATGGGCGATGGTTCAATCGAGCAATGGGTTGGAGCGGACGAGAGAGCTCGCGGAAAGCTTCTCGAGGAAGGCTATTGAGGCAATCAGTATATTCCCCGACTCGGAAGCGAGGGAAGGGCTAGAGCAGATCGCCAAGAAGGGACTTACGAGAAAGAAGTAGATGGTATATGTCACGTCATAGTGTCATATATCATGTAGATTATCTACGGAAATCCACTTTCCTATTTCGGCAAAAGGGCATCGACGTACCGAAGCAGGAGTTTCGCAGGTGCAAGAGAAGGCCGTCCAGCAAGGATTGCGATGCTGCATATTTTTATGTCAACATCGCTTTCTGTGGGGCCATCGGTTTGTGAGGCCTAGGCACAAGTATTTATCTACCATGCAAGGGTAGTATTCTACATACTTTTTCTTGGAATTGTATATATATTTCTTATGAAAATATTTATTTTGAGACGAGCTTTTGTATATAATTTTACTCCTTTTTTATTTACCTAGCTACTATACATATATAAAAGTATATTACTTCGAAGTTTTATTTTCTCGCACCCTGAATTGTGAGATTTCTAGATTATCGTGGTGTGTAACGTTGTGCGGTTGAATTGAAGTCGACGATTTCCGTTTCGAGCCAAAGTGCAGCCATGATTCATAATATAACACACCCAGCAGCTGCCAACTCCAATTGATATAAACCCTCCATCCATCCTTCCATCCTCCTCCAACATCACCACCTCCCTTCCTCTCCATCTCCTCACCCAATTCACCTACCATCATCATCGTCATCACCCAATCGATTAACCGACATCATCAATCACAATGCCATCCGACCAGATCTTCTTCGCCAGCATCCCACCCTACAAATCCCGGTCCAAGCTCTCCCCACCCACCGTTGACCGCTGTCTAACCCACTGGGCCACAGCTCTTCACACCCTACGTCACCTCCCCGACCCTCTATTCACACAGCAGATAACACCAACATCATCATTCACAAAATTCCTGTTATCTTACATCTCCAATGATGATTTATCCCACAACGATACCGACGATTGGGTATACCCCTCCACGTCAACAAGCTCCACAAAAAGTAGTACCCAACAAGGAAAAAAAGAAGAAGAAGAAACCATAATCACGAAAGTAAAATACATCAACCGATCTCTTCGACTATGTCTGAAACGGGCGATATCACTTGGGATCAATATTTCTGAGATATTCGGTTCGAATTATAGTTATTACATCAAACTGGGCGCATTGTTCTTCGTCGAAGGTGGTTCGAAACCACTATTACGTTCGATATGGAACCACGATAATTCGGTTCTTGTCAGCGCCACAAAGGAACATTTAAAATCCATATCAACGATGTTACAAGATCTGGCTTCTGGGAAGATAAATGTTGAAGATCAACATATTGCTGTTTTACAGGAACTTTGTTATTTTGTTATGACGATACCGGAGATATCGTTTGGGATATTGTCGGAAGAAACGGTATTTGAGGATCTTGCTGCTGCGTATTTTTCACTATCGTCGCAGCTGCAGCAGAAGAAAAAGAAGGATGCGGTTATACCTATATTGGAGGAAATTAGACGGTTGCAGTTTACTGTCATCATGGCGAGTACACAGGCAGATCCGAAACGATACTCCACCATCATCGACTTTTTATTCAACTTCATCGCTGGCGCAGATACAGACGTTCCGATGAACTCATACATCACCGCCATAATCTCACAAACACCTTTACTAGACCGATTAACATCCATCGATGCGGAAGGTTATACGAACCGCTGGTCTACGATCCTTACAAAACTTCAAAACTTCGATTCCCCTTCTTCAACATCCCAAGTATCAAAAAGAATAACAAAACTACCACGAAGGAAACAAAAATCCAAACATCCATCATCATCTTCAGTAGACACAACAACCATAGACGTCCCCCAAAAGATCCACGAACTCTCCCAACTCTTCCCTCACACTTCAAAATCAATCCTCCAAGCAACACTATCCTCCACAAACTACGACCTAGAAACAGCAACAATGCTCCTCCTCGACAACCCTTCCCTCGAATCCTCTTCCTCCCCGCTCCCACCACCACCACCATACGAAGAATACACCCCAAACAAACAATCCACAAACCCACCCGACGAACTCTCAACCCTCACAGTCCCAACCTCAAGACTCTACCTCGGAAAACGCGACATCTCAGGAACAGCAGACAACCTCCTAAAAGACCGTTCCACAGCCCCGACAAAATCTCAAATATTATCGGCATTACAAGCATTCGACTCCGATGACGATGAAAGGGATGATACCTACGACCACGAAGACGTCGGAGCCGTAGACCCCACTACGGCTACGGAATCTGAAGCTAATAATGCTAATAATAATAATATCACATCCGGTGGAACTGAAGAAAAAGCGTTATATAACGCTTTGGTACAGAATCCCGGGGTGTTTACTAGAGATGCGGTGACGAGACGTGGGAATGAAAGGAAGTTATTAAGAGAGGTTACGGGGATGAGTGATGAGGCTATTGAAGGGTGGAAGATAATGTTAGATAGAGATGGAGGGAAACGGTTACGACAGTTGGAGATTAGATTTTCGAGGGAATCTGAAGCTGCAGCCGCAGGAGGGAATAATCAAACGGGTTTACAAAGAACGGCGTATAGAAAGGGCGATGAAGATGAAGATGAATCCGGGGAAGCTAGTGGTAGTGGTACTAATTTTGGAAGAGGGGGTGGAGGAGGTCATAGAGGCGGGAATAGAGGAAGAGGGAGAGGTGGTAGGGGGTTTTCGGGACCGAATGATAGGAATGTTACGGGACAACAAAGGGATAATGCGCCGGTTGTTAATCAGGATGGGAAGGAACCTTATGTTGGGAAGAAGACGACGAAGGCTAGAGGGGAGCATAATAGGAAGATGCAGTCGGCGGCGAGGGATAGGCAGAGGTCGAAGAAGATGAGTAAAGGGATGGGTGGGGGGATGTAGATTTTGGAGGGGATACACTTACTTACTTACCTATTGATAGTAATATCTTTAGGGGGGATTGGTTTATTTTTTTTTTTTATTTTTTTTTCATTAATATGGGCGTTTGGGGGGAAAGGTTGAGGTTATATTAATCAAAGGCTTTTTTGATTTTCTTTTCTGAAAAGAGGATATTACAATTGAGGATCATTGAATAGGTCCGTGAATATTGAAAAAGCTGTTGTAATATATATATATATATATATTCAAAGGAGGCTTTACATGAGAAAAAAAGAAGAGTGAGGATTGATGAGCAAGCAAGCATAGAACTAACCACCGCCGCTAATTCAATTGAATTGAAAGGGTAACAAAGAGGTATCAAAAGCCTCCTAGAATATAATATAAGATTGAGTAGAGTCAAGTTAAAAAGGGAAGAGAAAAAATAAATAAATAAAGACGCCATGCTGTAATACGTGTAAATGTCGAATAAGAATGTAAATTACAAAAGTCGTAGATGAAAAAAGGTTACTATACCAAAATCTTTTTTTTGGGTATTAAGATGAAAAGGGAATCGATCAATAAGAGAGAAAGATGAAGAAAAAGCATAGATTAGTAACTCCCTCTCCCAAAAATCAGTCCCATACATAGCCATATATGCATATATGTATATGTATATGGAACTAGAATAAATGTAATTTATCTCATCAAGAGAATTAAATCATCCCCATCATCATCCAACTTCAAATAAATGCATCCAAAAAAAAAAGGAAAGTATAAGAAAAAATAAAACTCCACAATGGAAATAAAAAAACAAAACTAAAAGGCTATACATAACTAAAAACAATATATAAATAAAATAAAATATAAAAAACAACCATATGACCTTTTCCTAATGTTTTAGGCAGCATTATTATACCTCATCCTCTTCATCCTCGGATCATACTCATCATGAATCCCCGCATCCACCTGTCTCCTGATTCCTCCTCTAGGTGATGCCATCCCCCCAGGAGGTGGTCCTCCTAATCCCACAAGTCCAGGTGTATATATCCCTGCCGAAGCATTTAACATTTCACCTTCAACTCCGCCGGCGGCACCAGGACTAGGACCAGCACCAGCACTACCTCCCGGATTTCCATATCCACTTGGCGGACCGTTTGGTTCTCCAAATGTATAGTCTCCGCTTGGATGATGACCGTGATGGTGTGGATGATGGTGTGGATGTTGTTGCTGCTGTTGAGGATGTCCCGGGGGCGCGGCGTGTAGATGGTTTGCTGCGCCGCCGCCGCCGCCGCCGCCGCTCATTGTAGATGAAGTTACTCGACCGCCTACCGAACTATCCGGGGTATGTTGTCCGCCCCTATCATCTTCGTCGTCAGAAACATCATCCATGTGCGAAGCTGTGGTGTTATCGTATTCGGTTTTTAGAACCGGGGAATTAGATGCTTGTGGTGGCTGTTGCTGCTGAGGAGGTGCTGGGGTGGAGGTTGAGATTGGACTATTATTGTTGTTATTGTTGTTATTCTGTGGGAAGTTACTTGCTTTGGAGCTACCGGGTGTGGGGAAGGAGCTGCTGGATTTTGATGAGGATTCGGTTGGATTGGTTTGTAGATGGGGGAGCCATTTTTGAAGGGTTTGGAGGAGACCGTCGCGGGTGAAGGGTTTTGGGAGGACGTCGATCATGCCTATTATAGCTTGTTAGTTTATCATCCTCTCCTCATTCTCTGTTTCTCATTTTTTGTAGTTGGTTTTGGTTCCGGGGGGGGTGCGAACGTACCAGAGTTGAAGTATAGATTTATATCTGTAGTTCTGATATTCGATGTCATGGCGATAACAGGAGGATCTTTCATGTCCGGTCTTCCTTTTCGGATTTCACCACAAGCGCTGGCTCCGTCAAGATGGGGCATTACGATATCCATCAGGACTAAATCGTAGTGAGGCCCATTAAGATCTTGAAACTTTCGAATTCCTTCCAAACCGTCACACTACAAAAAATACATACCCAATTAGCTTCCTCATCCTCCCGCACAGTTCGAATATTATAATAAAAAAAGGGTATCACCAAGAAAAGACTTACAGCGTAAAACGGCAAACACCCTACCGCTTCGAGGAACTTAAGCCCAATCTTACGACAAGTAGGATCATCCTCCACCAGCAAAATCTTCGGCGGCCGTTTCCAATGCGGTACAACACCACTAGCACTCTTCTTCCGCGTCCCCATCGGTCGTCGAGTTTCTTGTCGGAATGTAGTTGAAATCTGTGGATCCGTAGCATGCAACGGGACTCCGGATTGTGCGGCTGTGTTTCCGAACCCACTGAGGTTTATAGCCGTGTTGTTGGCGTTATTCATATTATTAGCGTTTATATCTACGTATCCATTCTGATGATGGGGTGGCGGCGGCGGCGGGATATTTGAGTGCTGCTGTTGGTGTATGAATCTTTCGGCCTGTTGGAGGGGTGTGGAGGGGTGCATTTGCGGGGCGCCGTGCGGGGACATTTGGTGTGCCATCAATTGAGGGGAGACATGCATCGGTATCTCATGTTCTGGGTGGTGCGGGTGCATTTGAGGGGGCATATATCCACTATTTCATTATATCATTTTTTTCCCGGTTAGTATTCTATATCTCCTTATTTTAAAGATCTGCTAGGTTCTGATAGATAGAGTAGGGTAAGGGGTCATTGTTTATAAACTAACCTGCCATTCATGAACCTCATATGCGATACCGCCTTATGATATAAATCCTCCAGGTTATTAACCTGCGAGACCACCTGCTCCAACCTCGCCTGGAGCTTCGCAATGACCTCCCGTGTCTCATCCTGCTTCGGGGGCTCTTCTGAATCCTTTTTGTTTCTTTGAGTTGGCGCTTTCCTTTTGATTCCCTCGAGGTTACTGTCGTCCCCGAATCTGAAATTGGGATGCACGAATTCCCATGCCTGGTCCTGGATTTTGGTCAACAAAAATTAGTTAGTACTCGACGCCTTTTTTTTGAGGGTCTATGTTAGTTAATACTAACTCCATTCTGTATCAGCGATTCATCCGTAGCCCTGACTTTGTGAAAATCATATTTATTCAACTGTCGGACAAAACTAGCAAAATTGCTGTGCTTGAAATGCTGCGGAAGAACGTTCTTGGTAAATTCTGCGTTCTAAAAACAATGCATGTATCTCCATATTAGCACAAAAGCCTCATAACCATTGTAAGGGAGGGGATATATCAAACCCACATCAAAAACAATAAAACTTCCACCATTATCCGACCACCTGACCACATGCGAATGCTGTTTCTCCGATAACATGCTATAAAAAAATTCACCAAAAATCAACATTCCAAATTCCCCAAATAGTAAAATTCCAAAAAGATTTTTTTTATTAAACTTACCGATAGAGTTTCTTTACGAAATCTGATGTATTCCCTGTAGCTAGGGTGGAATTCCCACCTTTACCACCTTCCCCGTCCATTTTTGATAGGTATAATGAAAAGAACGAACAAAACCACTAGTTGTATGTGAAGGTCCCCGCAAAAGTCGAATATATATCGATCAAAAGATTATTCCTCCACTGTCACCGCCCGTCGTACTAAGCGGCTTCGTTTTGTATTTTCGGTAATGCAATGCACGCTATGATGTACACCCACGTTTTTTGAGGGGAGAGAATCTTAGTCGACCACGATCTCGAAAAGTAAAAAAAAGGCACGTGGTGAGCGAATGGTTGTCGAGAATATAAAATATACAGTCGTGGGGTTAAGTTGTCTCGGTTTCTTTAATATGTTCGTCGTTATATATTCCGTTCTGGAATGGGTCTCTTTCGGAAAACCCGGGTGTATCACGGGAAAAAGGCGAAAGGGAATAAAACGGTTCCCGAACGACACAAAAAGTGACAAAAGCTCGGGTACACTCGATCGATCGTTTCCAGGCCTTGTCCCGTTTGTACTTCAAGAGAAAACCCGGTGTGCTATCCCGCCCCGAAAAAAGTTCCAGAAGTCGTTAAATCTTTCGAAAAACGAAAAGATCCCAAGAAAATAAAAACCGGGGTAGTAGAGTATATATATAAAACCCCACAGTTTGCAAAATAGAATAGAAATGCAAACAACTTTTCGAAACTTCCTTGGAAGGGAATAGTAGTTCGGAAGCTTAAATCCCAGAAACCAAGAATATATGGTTTGGAGAAAGAGAAAAAGAGGCGATGGTGGCGGTAAATAGTTCTCGGAAGCTTAACTTTCTTCGAAGATGGCTTTTGAGGTTATCAGTGGCGTCCTTATTCTTATTCTTTTTTTTATTGTATTTTATTTTTATTTTTATTTTCCTTTCAAGGGAGGAGGGAAGGTTAGAAGAAGAAGTCGTTTCTTGTCTCGGTTTGATTTGACGATTAGTGGAGGAGGATGTGAGGAAGTGACGGGTAATATTGGCGACGACACACGTGTATGCGCGAACACTGGTCTTTGGAGGTAGGGTAGAAGCTGTGTATAATTGGATATAAGGAAGAATGAGTAACGGGAAAGAAGAAGAAGAGGAGGACCAGATCAGATCAGATCAAATCAAATCAAATCAGATCGGATCAGATGAGACCAGAAGATAGCAATATGCAGGTGAGGTATGTACGAAGGGAGGAAGTGTGGATTTAGCTTAGGCAGCTGCCCTGGCGAATTCGGATGGCTGGCTGGCTGGCTGGCTGTCGTTGAAATTGAAATTGAAATGCGTCGATCGTCGAAACACCTCTTCTTTTTCTTCTTTTCTCCCACTTGTTCTTTTCCAATAAAAAAAAATAATGATAAAAGTGAAGGGAAAGGTAAAAAGTGTCTAATCCAGCGTTTTCCGTCGAATGGACAAAAGAAGTCTTCGAGGGAAAGAAAGAGAGAGGTAGAGAAAAAAGAGCTCTCACGGAAGATGGAAATGATGCTTTTTCGTTGCCTCGTATGATTATGGTTCTTGGTCGACTTTGACCTGCCAAGCGAGATAGGATACTTTTCTTCTTTCTTTCTTTTCTTTTCAAATCTTCAGAAGGGACACACGAGCCAGCGAGGACAGAAAACCCGCTCCAACCGGCCAATCTTTCAGTGGTAGTTAAGTAAGTAGTTATAGTATATTCTTGTGTCAAATTCCCGTTGGAAGGAATCCAATCGAATCGATAATGCAACCGTTTCTCTGTTCACAAAAACGACGTTAGAAAAAAGTTGCATGGTCGTCAACCAAAACGGAACCTTCCAATCCAATCCAATCCAATCCAATCCAATCCGCAAAAAAAAAAAAAAAGAATATACAGCTAACATAACTGATTGTAAAAGATAATATTAAAATGGCGATAATAAAAAACAAAATAAAAAATAATAGTTGAAAAAAAAGGAATTATCGAAGCTGTAAAAACGAAACAGATAAAAAAAAAAAAAAGTGACGATATGACGGAATTGACAGTTCACCCGCACGCACACACCCTCACAGACATTTACTTGCTATTGACCCCCCCCCCCCCCAAGCTGTCCGTACATGCTTAGGTATGGTATGTATGTCTAAAATAAATCAAATCAAAAAAAAAGGCGTTCCGATACCGTGGGACAGCGGGGGAGGCAAGGCGCACGGTGGTCTGTCTGCTTCTCGGGATGACGAACAGACAGTTCCAGCGCAAATGCAGCAAACCAAAAACAAAAAAAAAAAAGAAGGTTTTCCAAGGGGTAATGTATTATGTATTATGTATTATGTATGGGACCACCATACATTAGACATTTAACATTAACATCAACGTTAATGTTTACGGGTATCGAAAACGAAAAGAAAAAGGTGGTGGCAAATCGTAGAGGGGGAAAAACAGGGACAGGTTAAAACCACGTTAATAATGATAATAAAATAATCAAAAGAAGTAAGAGAACGTTAATGTTTCTTACTTCGATCTTCTATCTTTCTATCTGTCTATCTTTCTATCGTTCCCCCCAGACGAAACAGGAGTTCGAAGGGTCAAAGGAATGTAGAATTCAACGTGTGGATGTATATCCCTTTCGTACGAACGGGTAAAAAACTGGTAAGGGAAAGACACGAAGGAGGATCAAGGGAAACTCGGCAAGTAAGCCCTCTCGCTTGGTTCGAAGAATCCGGTAGTAGTAGTACTCCTTCGATGTCAAGGGATCGATACCAGTAGGAAAATGTAATCCGTGACGAGATACCTTGGAAACAAAAAGCAGAAAGATATAAAATAAAATGAAATAAAATAAAATAAAATAAAATAAAATAAAATAAAATAAAATAAAAATAAAAAATACCTTAAAAAGAAATGATCACGGGAGAGTATTTGTATGTATGTATGATACGATATGATATGATATGAATATGTCGTAAAATAAAAATAAAAATAATGAAAATAAAGATAAAAGATAAAGAATGCGGATACCTGTCGAATATCGCGAACTGCCAGCTTATTCCACCGGTTCAATTTCAGCAGCTTAGCAGAGCGTGGCCGTGGATTATGTGAGTTGAGAGAAGATGGGAAGAAAAGGACCAGATTCGAAGGCGAGGCCGGTCTAGAAGCGGCCCTTTTTAATACAGAAACAGACCCTTTCCAGAGTAAAAGCCCACAATCAGGAAATCTGCAAGGAAAGGAGATTTCGACGCCAACGGAAAACCTACCGCGAAGGGTTCGCAAGAAAAAAGAACAAGAACAAGCCAGGGATGGCCAGTACATGAAGTGAGCATGGGTTCAAGCGGTGGGGTGGGGAACACCAAGACATCCCGGACGTAACCACTACCACGTACAGAGAGTAGACTCGTTATATTCCTTTTTTTGGGTTTCTCTTCTCTTCTCTTCCTTTTTTTTCTCTTTCCCTCCCGAAAAAAAATAAAATAAGGAATATGAATGTAGGAATAAGAATAAGAATAAGAATAAGAATACAAAAAAAGGAAATAATGGCTTTAGTGTACCAAGATCTGAAGCTTGCTTCGAACATTAACTACTTTATCTTCTCATATGCATCTGGCGTATGTATGGATGTATGTATTCGAATTAACCCATTCTCGTCATATTTCTTCCCTCTTTCGTCCCTCAGCTCCGAGAGACGCCGCCTCGTCATTTTTTTTGGGTGAAGGATTCTGTCCCTTTCCATACACTTTTTTAGTATTATGTTATTGTACTACCCGTTCCCGTCTATCCCAGTCGGTCTTGCAAAGGGAGAGAAAAAGAGAGAAAACGTAAAGGACCTTAAGGCAGGTACACCATTGTGATCCAGGTACAAGAAGGATGGGGGGAACGGACCAACCGACAAGTAGTATAGTATGATACACTTGTTCATCCCAACCAGATATGAAGCCATCCTTCCCGATCGCTGGGAAAAGAAAGGGGTGTACTTACTTACTTACTTACTTACTTACTTACATAGTACATAAAATGCAAATGATCGAAGGGAGGGGGAGAAGAAAAGAGGTCACGAATCCGGGGTGGAGAATGTCCCGTTTAACGCTCGAATCCAGGAGTTTCGAACTTCCACAGGCATCTTCCTAGTCGAAGAGGGCGTTTTTTTTTTTTATTTATTTTATTTTATTTTATTTTTGTGAATCTGTAAAAGTATGTACTTTGTATGTATGTATGTACCCCTTGCAGTGGTTCTCAATTACACTGCGGCTAACGAGTATTCACGAACTAAATCACCAGCAACATGACGGGAATTAATGTGCATAGGACATAGTAGATAGGTATATCTACAACCGTATTAACCATGAGACAACTAACATTCACATCGATAAGACGGGATGGAATTGCTCAATCAATCAATCAATCAATCAATCAAAATTCCAATCCCCAAACGCGATCTTCCTACACATGCACACGCCCACATTCTACAAAACTCCCCTCGTTCAGATAGAATAGATTAGAAAATAAAATAAAAATAATAAAAATACAATAAAGTCGCAAATATCAATATACCCGCGTACAGGTACAAACTGTGTATGTACTTACATATACAATTAGCGTACACCTCATGACAAGTTCGCCCGGGAATGCTATACCTTTTTTTTTTTTTCTTCTCAAATAGCAAATTACAGATGTATATTCTTTAGGGAACTCCGTTCATTCCTGATTCCCCGACCAATGAAGGGTCAGGTGTGGTCCCATCAAATCCCGATCTAATCGATTGGTTCCCTTTCCATTTCCACTTCGGATCCTCTCTCTCTCTCTCCCCCTCCACCTTAGGCTTCAACAAAACCCATCTGCGCTCGGAGATAAGTTGGCAGCTAGCTGCGGGGTGGTTTGATCGCCTTGTGTACAAGTCGTAGGTAACAGGGTCTGTGTCTGTCTACAGGAAAAAAAACTCGTACCACTATTGTACCATTATATCGCCGGGTGTTTTTTTTGTTTTCTAGTTCCATTACCCATCGTACCGTGACATTTCCCTAAAACCCTTTTTTTTTTTTTTATGACATATCACTTTTGAAAAGAAAACAAAGTTTATTCTAAACTTAAGAGAAGAAGAATTAAGAAGAACCCGGGTTTGTTGTTCCGAGGATATGTTCCATGTTCCACATGAGATCTTACCGACTTCCTTCGTATCTCAAATATCAGAATACTTAACTTACTTACCTCTTACTTACTTAATTGGTAACTATCTGTATTCGCTATATGGATCGATCCGATCTTCGTTCAATAACAAGTTTTTTTTCTCTAAGAATTATTCTTTCTTCTTCTCCTTCTCGGTATCATGATCATATGAAAAGGTCTCCCGCATCGTCGCGGACACTCGCTTATCGATCAGTCAGTATCGAAACATACATAAAGTATTATATCATATCATTATCAAAATCATAGTATCGATATCTCCAGTTTCTTTTACTTTTATTTACTTTTATTTTATTTTTGTTTCTTTTGTCAAAATACCGATCCAATCTTCTACCCCGACCCGACAAGCGGGGGGGATAATGTAAGTATCATATGCCAATGCAATGGATACCAAACATCCCTCGCATCAGTATGCAAAGCTAGTAGTCTTCCCTCCAAATTATTTCTAAAGATGAATTCATATGATCATAGAAATTTTTTTTAAAAAAAAAGATAAAAATAAAAAATAAATAAAAACGTAATGCATACCGTGATCAAACGGGATCCCGATAAACCAATATCCGACCAATCAATCAATCAATCAAATGAATTGTATATAATCGTGTCAAAATATGTAGAGTGGAGATCACAATCCAATCTTTCTTTAGCTTCGATTGCCGCCACGATGACAAGTGGGGACAGAGAGAGAGAGAGAGAGAGCTTTCTTGGAAGAAAAAGAGAGGTCTCCACTTTATTCTTTCTTTTCTTTGATGTATGTAGTGTAATGTATTGTACATACATGTACATATTGACTTACATACATCAAACCGTCCCCCGTGAACTACTTACCTACGTTGCTTCGAAACCTCCTAAAGAATAGCATGTATACCCACACTCCTTTGCAAATCTCACCCGGTTTTAAGCTTAGCACTTTAAATTTTTTCAAGCATCAAGCATCTTGAAGAAAAAAAAGGGTACACTATTAACGCATAATCACACCCTTCCCTTTCCCTTTCCCTTCCCTTTAATTTTTTTTCTTTCTCTCTTTTTCCCCCAAAAGAAGTGGAGACAGAACAGCCGGGGCGCCGTGGATGGAACCGGCATCGATGACGTCGATCGGCATGGACAGCCCCTTGTCCGCCTGGCCCAGCCGCGTCTTGGCTGTCCCGGTTGTGTCTTGGGATTTTTCTTTTTTTTTCTTCTTTTTCAATCCTTTTATTATGAAACGGAGAGAGAGATATTAATTATGAAAGAACCAGGGGTCTGGTTTACATTTGGAGGTATTGAATTTTTGTGTAGATTGTAATATATAATATATTACTTTGAATATTTTGCAGTTGATATCGATATTGATTATTCAAAAGCTCTACTTCAGCGTACTTACTTACTTACAGATACCCAGGTATATCTCCAACCTCATAGTTGAGGAGTCTGGCGACGAGACAACTCCAACCTGTATGTAATGAGTACATACATACATACATAACCGCTAACCGTGAATATAAATGCAAATGCAAATGCAAATGCAAAAGATCGAAAGACATACATACCTCAAACCTCTCCCGCCGTCACCAGACTCACAAATATTAAAATAAAAGAAGAAGAATCAACTAAGTAAGCCTTCACGTTCCTGCCAGAAGTGGAACCCAGACGCACGCTCTACCTGCACGGCGTATTTTAAGCTTATGAATAGGCGAGAACAATCGGAAAAAGGGCTCCGTGTTCCTTTTTTTTGTTTCATCCCAATTATATACCATTACATATTTACATATATACTTCAAGCACTTACCCTTATATGTATAAACAACTGTAGCTTAACTGTCCTGATATGTATGTAGTTACCGTATCCACTTTACTTCCAGAGAGGGGTAACTCTTTTGCTAAAACTTGCATGATATCTGGGCTTGCAGGTTTTTTAAATTTTTACACATTTGCAATGTATTGTACTTACATTACACCCCGATATAGGTAGCTATATCCTATTATAGGGTTACAGATGTACGATGATGTAGTCGTGTATCAGAAATCCTCCAAAAAAGGTTTTAACAAAAAACTAAAAGGATTCATTCGAAAAATAATCTTAAATTCGAAAAAAAAAAAAGAGGTAGGTATATTCTTTTTTATTCTTAGAGTATCCATCCATCTGCATTATCACACCTGACGCAAAGTTTAAAAAAAAAAAGTGAAGAATCCTATACAAGAGAAAGAGAGAGAGAGAAAAAAGCCACACCGCTCAAACTTTCCCCTCCAGCCAATAAACTACACCTTCCAACAAAAACTTCCCCAATTCGAAATACCGCCTTTTTGTTTTATCCCATTCAAAACAATCCTAGAATATCTTCATTCTTCATCTGTGATCTCTGCTGTTGTCCTCCTTGCTGAGGTGGTGGTGGCGGTGGGCTCGTCGTTCCTCCCAAGCTCATCCCCCCAAATCCTCCCAAAATATCCATCTCGGAACCTCCCGTATTTCCTCCTCCGTTCTGCACACTACCATCACTACCAAAAACTCCTAGTAGATCATCCAAATTATTGGCAGGTTGCTGAATCCCGCCAGGATTCGCGGATAGTCCCGAAATTGGACTGGCGACCCTACTAGTCTCCGCCGAGTCTGCTCCGAACAGATCGTTCGATGGCGTGGATGCACTTGCAGGTGCTCCGCCATCGAAATCGATATCCAACAGGTTATCCACATTGGTGACTTTGCCGCCTGATACGGCGGCTGCTTGAATAGGATTTTCGCGCGCGTTTTGTTGTGCTTCCCTGTTGTTTTCGGACAATTTTTTAAAATTATTTTCGTATTTAGCAATCTGCTTTCTTTTAAAAAAGAAAAAGAAAGAAAGAAAGAGAGAAAAAATGTTCTCGTGATAGAGAAAAAAGAGGGGGAAGGGCATATGCTTACTCTAATGCTCTCTTCTGCAGAGCATCTGCACCCGTCCTTCCATGTCCAACAAATGTCTCTGGCGGCTTGTGGTACACCGATGCGAGCGTAGAAATTTCCGAAAGTAGCTGTTCCAACAGCCCAGGTGGTAACGACTTGATGGTTGAAGTAATTGGTGGCTTATCAGCAAGAATGATTGTCTATTTTTTCGGATCCCACCAGATATGTTAGTTATTCTATTATCCCACACGGAATATCCTGACCAAACCGGTTGCAAATACCTTCGCCAAAGCCGGATCGTTCGACAACAATCTCCAATAAATGAACGCCCGATCTCTCAAATCCGGGTTATCGCTCTTGGTAGTTACGGATTGTAACACTTTCTGTACCAACGCCTGTGTTTGTGGTTTCTTCAGGAACAACTTAACACCGGCGGTCAAAAGTTGGAGCTGCACTTGTGTCTCCTCTTCTTCTAATCCGTCAATGAATGTTGATAGGATCTCATCGGCGTTGTCGATCTTTTCGGCGTATTCTCCCACGATCCATATTAACGATCCTCGTGCGCCGGGCTCGTCGAGTTCGTCGAGGGATTGGCAGAGTTGTGGTATTATACCTTCGTATCCGGGGTATTTCCGCAAAATGTCCTGTTCGCAAATTAGCCAATCAATCCCCACTTACCACGGAGTGTGACAGAACATGAAGATACCTTGATAACAACAATAGCTTCTTGGACTACGTAGTTGACCTTTGTGTTAATCAAGTCCATAAGGACATTCACACATTTATCCTTCGCACTCTCGATTTTAATAGCACACTGCCCAATAGCCTTAACCGCTCTCCTTACGAAGTCCATATCAACTTCCAATGCGTACTCTTTAAGTTCCATCAGGAGTTGATCCACATTTGAGTCATTTGCTATCCGGATCATAATTTCAAGCTTCTCAAGTTTGACGTACGGCGGGTCGTTGAATTTGCAGAAAAAGACCCTCATTTCTTTGGAAAGAATGTCCGGTTGCTTTTGGAGGAGGAGGTTGATATTTCTAAGGGCGACGTACTGAACTTCGGGGGCGGAGGAGAGGAGAGTGACTGTCCCACATTAGTTAATACATCAATCCCAATTATTAGTATATATGGGGTCAAGAGCATACCAAGTGGTGGCGCCATCTTCCTCATATATGTCTTGACGACCTCATAATTCAAGCCTTTCATATGCGCAAAGACGACCTTGATAGCAGAGATAACAACACTAGGGTTCACGTGCTGGAACTGTGGAACGACTCTTTCGCAAATATGCTCCATCTCCTTAAGATCTGTAGTCTTGTACTCGGCCAATTGTGTCAAGATCGTAATTCGACCCCATCTATATCACCACATTAGCATCACACAAACCCAATAACCTTTCACAAAGAGTCCACTCACTCAGTACACTCATTCAGCGCCAACAATAGCTTCTTCAAAACCGCAGGTGTAATAGCCAACGCCCCGGTCTCCGGCGCAGAATGCATGATCTCTGCCAGAGCTGTTACGGAATTGGCAACAACCATTGGATTCGAATCTGCAATCATTTCCTGTAGTTGCTCTAGGAATCCGTTTTCAAGGCAGAGTTGAGGGTTTAGATCGAATAACTTGGCTACACAGATCGCAGCCGTTTTTCGCACGTAGGGACTTTCGTCCTATAGTCCCTCCATATTAGAACCCGCATCCAATTTAAGACTAGGGCCGGACGTCATACCTTCAACGTCTTCTTTAACGGCTCCTCCATATAATCCACCATCTTATCCACTCTAATACACCCCATAGTCCGTATCGCCAGCGCTCTCACAAGTGGATTCGGATCTTCGGAGTCCTACATCGCACGCACATCAGCCCTCCCTCCCGTCTCATTCCCATGATTTCCCCCTCTCCAATCCATGCCCAAATCAAAACCTACCTGAACAAAAGTATTCACCGCCAAAATACAAAGATCGGGATGACTCTTCGCATAATTCATCAGATAGAGGTACACGAGTTTCTTCTGGTCGAGATCCGGAGTAGCGATATTCTTTAATACGTCAGGAAACAGCGCCGAGACATCCTTGCCGAGTGTCATGGCCATGATTGTTCGTTGAATTGCATCTTTTCTGTTTATTTTTGTATAAAAACAGGGCGGGTTAATTAATGTTATTCAGGTTTTACTTCGTATGGATAGGAGGGTTTGTGATATCGTGGGTATATGTGTGCGTGTGGGGGGTAAATATGTACCTCTCGTGGGCGTATTGGGATACCTATATGTATCGTAACTATTAGCTCTGCGAACGAATATTATAACCATTAAGGCAAGAAAAAAAGGAAGGAGTTAATTTACCAATCCGCTTCGTAACTCGAATGTTTCTCCTTTCCTTGGAACTTGGAATACATTTCGAATCCGATTAACCGCCATCATTTCAGCTATGCCCGGCGAAGCTGAGTCGCTAGGCGGTTCAAAAAAAGGGGGGGTCTCTTTCGGTAATCTACAAAAAAGATGGCAAGGCTATTTCAAAAAGTATCGTGATAACGGTTTGTGAAAATGGATTGGAAAACTGATGGGGGGTTGTTGAAGGGTAGATGGAAGGTGATTATGTGGCGTGGGATTGTGCACTTGTGGAAATCGAGACAGGTTGTGAAAGGTGTGGTTCGCGAAGCTGGCTGGGCTGGGCTTGCTGGTCGGAGCTGGGAGCTCTATTGGACTGATTAGATTAGATTAGATCTTGGCTGACCAACAAAAATCCAACACACGTAACTCGGTCCACGGTGGTGGTGGTTTTCTCAATTTCTTTCGATTTCGATGCTTCTACAACGGTCTGGAAAGTTGGATTTGATTAGTCTCATAACCAAACTGTGACTGCACTCGGGGGCCTCTGCTTACTGAGTGTTACGGGATGGTATGTGCTATTGATGACGAGGCAAATGTATTATGAACCAAGCTATAGGTTGGTGATATCATCTACTTGGTGCTTGCTAACGCGTATTTTTTGTCGTCATCACTTAGGCGTCCCTTCCAAACCTACGACGTCTCTTCGCAAATGCAAGAACAGAGCCCGAAGAGAGTTCTTACTCTAGATCTGCTGTAAGGTTCTCCCTTATCTCTGATATAAACAACTTTCTTTCTTCGAGCTTGCATTACTAAGAAAGATCGATGAAACGCAGTTTTGGAATTTAATCCTTTTTGCCTCATCTATTGCGGTGTTTAGTGTCGCTGCACAACGGCTGTCCGGCAGAATTACGGGCGGCGGAGGTGGTGGGAGGTAGCTTTGGTGGTTCCTTGTGGGCTATATATTACATTCATGAGGCTTAATAATATTGTCTCGTACACAGCCCTGGAAGGGTTTAATACATATGGGAGGGTGTAATGATGGCTTCTAGTTTTCGGTTATAGCGACAAAATGGTGTTAATAAAATCTGTTTTCAATATCAGAATTGAAAACTGCTGGCTCGTTTTGAATGATTTTATCTACATTGTGGTCGAAATATATATTGTGTCTAATACACACCATCGTGAGACCTGCCTCACGAAGACTATATGTCATACCAATGCACAGGCTGACATTTCCTGGGGAAGCCAAAGCCGGTAATAAGCCACTGTGAACCCCACCACTCGGCCACTAGCTGCTGTGCGGTAGCTTTTATTATAACGCCGGGTACTCCTGTCAAGTGCATATATCCTTCCTGCACATGCAAAACTCCTGCTTGCTTCCCATAGGCATAAAATACGCCAAAACAAGAACACAGTGATCATAATCTCCCTGTAGTGAAATGACCTCCAGATCATCTCGTGAAGGAATCCCATGTTCCCTTCAAAAGCCGCGAGTATATGGTGATTGTTGAGCATCACACTCCCCTACCAAAGTACTCCAACCACCCCTCACCTACTACTTAACACCTCTTCTCCCCTTTCTAACAGCCCCTTAACCTCCCCATCCACTCCCTTCCACCTTTTCACATACCCCTTAACGACTTCCCACTCTTTCACAGCTTCTTCTTTCCTCCCATCCTTCACAAGTTTCTCCATCCTCTCAGGTGCTTCCATGATATACCTCACCGCCTCCTGCTTCTTCCTCAACCGTTCCTTCCTCATCGCTTCCGGTGTAGTCGAGGGATCATGAGCGTGTACATTTTCCACAAGTGATGAAGAAACAGATGCTATATGCGATATTGCGGGTAATAGTGTCGTAGTAGCTGGCGAGAGTGGTTCCATATTCGATCTCATCTACAAAAAAGCATTCCCATGAGTTAAGCCATTATAAAGAGAGAGAGAGAAGGGGAGTGGAAGGGGGGGGGCTCACACTACGGATAGTATCAGTAGCAGCAATCAACTTATTATAATTATCATAAACCAAACTCTTCCTCTCCCCATCAAACCCTCTAATATCATGAACCAACCCATTCTCAACTTTTAATAACGCCTTGACTCCCTGCGACCCCACAAGTCTATCCACACACCCCTTAGCATCAAACCCAGGTCCGTCTAGCTCCGAAGCGGGAAGAAGTGTAGAATAACTATCCCCAGCAATAGTATTCACTGTAGTAGTGCTACTTCCAATGCCTAATCCATCTCCGTCGCCTAAATCTCCAGGAATGGATGAAGGAGTAACAGCACCGGGATTAGGCGACTCTTCGTCCCGTCGTTTTAAACCATAGAATTCTCGGAGTGCAGAGCGGTTGCGACGTTGGGTTGCGCCGCCGGGGGGTTGGCGGATCGAGTTCCCGGCTAGCGGTGTGCTCGCGTGGGATGGGAGTGAGGCGAGGGAGTGGAGGGAGTCGGAGGAGAGGCGGGAGTGGGCGACTGAGGAGTCTAGAGAGGGTCGGGAGGAGGTTGGAGGGGAGTTTATGGAAATGGTGGGGGTGGAGGTCATGGTTTGTGGTTGATGTGGTTTGGATTGGGAAGCGTGTCGAGGGTTCGTGGAGCTGGGGTTGGGTTGGAGAGCTTGGGAGCTATAGCTACTACTTATTTGAACTACACCAAGTACGTATATGCAGCTGGTCTCGTAAACCACACGTAACCGCATCGGAAACTTCGCAAATTAAGTCAATTCACGGATCACGACAAATTATACAAACTACCGGGTATTATCTTAGGAAAGTAATGGTAAAAAATGATATGTATTCGTTCTCATAAACGCCATATGAACAAGGCTCGCTAGACCACACCCGTAGCTGTGTCGCAAACAAGATTATTCATGCTTCGCTTCGAAATACATTAAGGGAAAAGAAAAACGAATAAATCAGTACAATGATAGGCTATCCCAAAAACACCGTGTATTTACACCATTCAAGATGCTGGAAAAACAGTCCAGATATGAAAAACCAAGAATGTAACAGATAGGTACTTAGGTTAGGAGGTTTTAAAAAAGATTGTGGTGAGGATGGAAGTGAGTTATGAAGGTAGAAGGTAGATGGTTTAAGATGAGGGTTCGGTTGGTCGGCTTGCTGGCCTGCTAGTCTCAACGTCCGACCAGTCTCCCTCTTCGCTCTTCTTGCTCTTGCTATCGTCCGCGGCTTCGGTCTTAATCTCCGGAACAGCGGCCTCCTTGCCCTCAGAGATTGTGCCCTCTTTAGCTTCCGTTTTATCGTCACCATTTTCCTTCTCGGCGTCTTCGCCTTCTTCCTTCTTGTTTTCTTCATCCTCTTCAGTAATGCCTTCAAGGAAATCCTTACTGCGTCTCTTCTTCCTGTTGCCATAGTCTTCACTCTCGTCGTCGCTGTCACCGAATGCTGGCATCTTCAATTGCTTCCTCTGCTTCAACCATTTCTGGCGACGTTGTAGGAACTTGGTGCGCTTTCTCTTCTCCTTCTCCTCGGACTTCTTAAGGGTGTCGAGTTGGATATCAAGCCATTCTCGAAGTTCCTTAATAGCGAGCCTGGGATCTCTCTTGCGTGGCAACAAGAAGTTTTGAACTTCAGCGGGTGTGAAAGTACCTTCAGGAACCATGGCAGCGAACTCTTTAGCTAATTCTTCGATTTCCTGCTTGTGGGTGGCCTCTTCAGCGATTTCTTTTTCAGTCTTCTTCTTTTCAGCTTCAAGGGCGAGCGATGAGACGTTTTGCTTCTTGCCGGAGTACAATTGGATAAAGATCTGTTCCAAAACTTCATGATTGGCTCGGCCAAATTCGATTTCCATGTCAACTCTGCCTGGTCTGATAAGTGCGCCATCCAAGGATTCTCGTCGATTGGTGGTCATGATGAGAACACGTCCTTCAGCGGAACCAACACCGTCAATAGCATTCAAAAGACCGGAGAGGGAGACATTAGATGGACGTCGGGTATTCTGGCCTCGGTTTAGAGCTTTGTCAACTTCCTCGTCATCTTCGGAATCGATATCTTCGTCGTGGTTCATGCCGTATCCGTAATCTCTGTCGACATTTGCGGAGTCTACGTCTTCCAACAAGACAATGGCGCGGGGAGGAAGTGACATGAAAAGTTCTTGGACGTAGTTATCGTGAAGGTTCTGGGAACCGAGGGAAAGAATGAAAAGCTTCAAATTGAAAGCACCAGCGATAGCAGTGGTCAAGGATGTTTTACCGGTTCCGGGGAGACCATAAAAGAGATATCCACGACGGTATGGAAGGCCTTGTTCTTGGTACCAAGCCTTTGTCTTTGGGCTCAAGTATTCAGCGATGTCGGTAAGAAGACGGTTCTTGTCCTTGAAGGTCATAACAACGGAGTCAAGGGAACGGATTGGACGGGTTTGGGATGCAGACCAGCGCATATCATAAGTATCGCAGGTGTGGAGAACGGTCTTGTATTGCTGTTGTTTCATGAAAAGAACACGGCAATGGGAGAGGAACCGGCGGAGGGCGACTGGGTTTCGGCCAACAGTCCAGATGTCAACAGTTTCATCATCAGCACGAGCACCCCCATTGTTGTTATGGGTTGGAGTATGTTCGATGGTTCGTTCGATGATGAAGAGAGTCCTTTCAAAGAAAAAGTAGTGTTTCTTCGCAGATGCTGGGATGAACTTGAGCTTTGGACCGTATTCATCGGCTTGAACGTATTCACTGTCCGGACGGTTGATGCCCTTGAATGTGGCACCGTCGTAGAACATGGCCTTGTGCTTGCGTGGGATGGTATCTTGCTGGGTGCTGACATGGAACAGACGAGAATCCGTAGAGATCTCGTTTCGGGACAGATATTCCATAACATAATCGAAAGATTCATCATTAGACCGAATGTGGGCTTTGGAGAGGAAGTAGGCAGCAAAGAAATTCATTGCCTGGTAGACCATGCTGAGGAAAAAAGTGTAGAGACCGGTGAACGAATTGAAGATGGTGAGAAGCATACCGACAGTGATAAGCATGGAAGAGTCGATTCCATATTGATCGAGCAGACGCTTCACCATCTCCGCTCCCGGGATGGAAGCTAGAGCTTCATCGTTTTGGACGGGTTGACCGCCAGCCCCACCGAGGGGGATTTGGCTGTAGAGACCAGCGTTAAGGGCCATGGCTGCAGGATCCCCACCGAGACCTGGCATAAACACCATATCGAAAGAGACCGTGTGATTTAGATTCTCAAATTAATATGAGAACAGGAATAGAAGTTATAATAAAAATAGGGAGAAAGGAGGGGTGGTATGTCAATTATGTAGATTGGGTGTGGGCGTATATGTGTTTTTGAGGGTGTTAAGAGAGTGAATTTTTTTGGGGGTGCGACAGACGACGGGCGACGGAGAGATATCCACGGGGTCGATGTCAAAGTTCTGTAGACGGAAAGTACAACCAGTTAAATAATTTTCCAATTGGACAAAAAGGATCCAAGCTGATGTAGCTATGTTTCTTACTTTGGAGGCGGATCCTTGCAGGGAACGAGGATTATGGACGGTGAGGGAGGACAGGGAGGATGTAGGCGAGTCAAGAGCGGATGGGTAAGCTTAAGCTCGCTAGCCAGCTAAGTTGGTTAACTCTGATAACCTTCCTAGATGAGAGACGATGATGATGATTTAGAAGAAAGGAAGAAGGAGAAGAAGAAGAAGAAGCCAGAAAAGATGTAGGGGGGGGAACTGGAGGTTGTTAAATACAGAGGGATCTAGACACATGCGCATACCAGATATGCATATGCACAGGGTGTGTGGTGTATGGTGTGTGGTGTATGGTGTATGGTGTATGGTGTATGGTGTATGGTATAATAGAGTGAGTGTTAGCTAGTTCGTGATAGCTTGTAAGAGGTCCAGGCCACATTGCCCAAGGCCACTCAGACAGGTAGACAGATCCGAACTTGTCAAACACTCTCGATAGTGACCATCATTCATCAAATCGGCCTTCCAATGTAACTTTGACGTTGATGTTCCTGATCATGTAAGTTGGTATCAGTAGGCATGGAGTCATTCAAACTCTGATCAGACTGGTGGTGTGCCTTAATCAAGCCCAAAGCTTTACGGGATCCACTCCAAAACTGCAGGTTCAGTTGAACGAAACCTCCCCCACCCGCTGCCCCCCTGCTCGATGCACATATGTACCCTGCCAGGAAGAAAAAAAAAAAAAGAGAGAACCAAAATCTGACCGTCCATTCCGTTTCTAGGTCTGTGACTCAAGGGAGACTGCCGGATGACGATGCATATGGCGAAGACAAAAAATGTCTTTTGATTCGATTGATTAATGAACATCAATTGCAACAACTCTGAGTAACAGCGGGATATATCGAATTCGAACCATCCGTCGTACAGATTATTAAACCCCACAATATGACAATTACGGCCAGTTATCTGTTATGATCTTTTATCGATCCCGATTGTCTATTAATTGTCCATCTAGCCCAGCAGGGGTCTGTAATATATACTACGTAGATTCAAGGCCCATCCTAGCCGTTCCAACTTTTTTTTTTAACCTTCTCGGTGACTCTTTTTTTCATTTTCAGCCTCGCAGCCAAGCCACTCTCGCTTCTGGTGTTCCAACATGTCGCCAATGCAATGCAAGATCCATGAGGCCTTGATTCTGAAATAGTATTCGGGAGGGCGTTAACATTCCCGATGTTGATACCGTGTTCGACTGGGCTTATCGGCTGGGAACTATGTATGTACGAAGTGATCTCTTTTGTCAGTTAGCCGGTCGAGTCAGACTTCGAGACGAGATTCGGATCTTGCCGACATCCCTTCTGTGTTGTGGATGTGTTGTGTATCACGTGACCAGGTGACTTTGTCAACAACAACACGTCCCACCTCTGCGACTCATCCCCTCAACACGCGTTCATTACAATTGACCTCAGCTCCACTTACAAGCTATCAACCTCAAACTCCACCTTAGCTCCCCTCTTCTCCCTCCCTCCACGTACCTTTCTGGCTATCCAGATCGCGGAATCAATTGATTACCAATCAACTACCTATATTTGGTAGTTTCTTTTGTGATACCAACTCGACTTCATACCCGGTTCCTTGACGGTTCGCCTGCTGTCTGCCTTCTTCATCAAACGGTCGATCACCATGAGCAAACCACTCCCCGCCTTCCGCTCGCCGCTGACCCAACTTTCCGAAAACCAACGTCCCTCGACCGCCCAACCGCCCTCAAAAAAACTCCATCGGATAAACTCCACCCCCTCTCAGTCTCCCATCTTCAAACCCTTCAAGTGTCCCGGTTCTGCAGCTCCAAAGAGAGAATCCGCTTTGCCACCTCGTAAGCGCCGAAAGGTCAATTATGCAGGTGCTGATGGAGATAACGAAGACGGCGAGGTATCCTGGACGGCTCCTGGTGCCGTTCTTGCTCTCCGTGAAGCGAACAAGCTTCCGATATTCAAAGTAAAAGACGCAGAATCTACTTTCCGTTCAAGGTTTGCTATTCCGTTCATCGATAAGTCTCGTATCAACAATGATCGTCCGACTATTGCTTTGGGTATGCGTCGGGGTGCGAATTTTGTAGCAAAGGCGCTTCATGATCCTGCCGGTGAATTTGCAATCGTTCTCTATGATCCTACTATCGATGATAAGAAGGAGGAACCTGAAGAGGCACCTAGTGCCCCGGAACCTGAATCATCGGATAAGTCTTCGAAAGGGCGACCGAACAAAAGTTTGAATGAAATCCTGGGAATCAAGAAGCAAGATGTTAGTGAAATTCCTAGAGTCGCCGTAGTCATCGATCCGAGGTTGGCAAAGGTGCTCAGACCCCATCAGATCGAGGGTGTCAAGGTACGAAATAGTAACTCCGAAGCTTGATGAGATGAGTCTAACAGCAAGTAGTTTCTGTATCGGGCAACAACAGGCCTTATTGACTCCAAGGCGCATGGATGTATCATGGCCGATGAAATGGGTCTCGGTAAAACGGTAAGAATATATTAATACTATCTGGTGCGTTTTTGGTCGAGAGAAGCTGCTGACGTGGATGATAGCTCCAATGCATCACCCTTATGTGGACGCTTCTTAAACAATCTCCAGAAGCTGGAAGGCCTACAATTAGGAAATGTGTCATTGCGTGTCCTTCAAGTTTGGTTCGCAACTGGGCTAATGAACTTGTAAAATGGCTGGGAGAGGGCACCATCCACCCGTTCGCCGTGGACGGCAAGGCCACCAAAGAAGAACTTATCAGCCAGCTCAAACAATGGGCTATCGCCTCCGGAAATCAGGTCGTTCGCCCGGTCCTAATCGTCTCGTATGAAACCCTTCGTCTATACGCCAAAGAGCTAGGGAGTACCGAGATCGGCCTCATGCTGTGTGACGAGGGCCACAGACTAAAGAATGGTGAGAGTTTGACTTTCACCGCTCTGACAGAGTTGAACGTCAAGCGTCGTGTCATCTTATCAGGAACACCAATCCAAAACGACTTGACGGAATATTTCTCATTGCTCAATTTTGCAAACCCTGACTACCTTGGAAGTCGTGCCGACTTCCGCAAGAAGTACGAAATGCCAATTCTGCGGGGTCGTGATGCAAATAGTGATGAGAAAACACGGGAGAAGGGTGACGAACGTCTGAAAGAACTCTTCGGACTTGTCAACAAGTTCATTATTCGACGCACCAACGACATTCTTTCGAAATATCTACCGGTCAAATACGAACACGTTGTCTTTTGTGGGCTTGCACCTTTCCAGAGAGACCTCTACAATCATTTTGTTACTAGCTCCGAAGTCAGGAAACTGCTTCGTGGTGTTGGATGCAAACCTCTCAAGGCTATCAATGTTCTGAAGAAACTGTGCAATCACCCAGATCTGTTGGAGCTCCCGGACGATCTCCATGGAAGTGAACAGTTCTTCCCAAGCGATTTTGTTCCGAAAGCAGCGAGAGGGCGGGATGGGAGATATGTCAACGTCTGCTACTCTGGGAAGATGCTTGTTTTGGACAGGATGTTGGCTAGAATTCGCCAGGACACCAATGATAAGATTGTTTTGATCAGTAATTACACACAGACTTTGGATGTGTTTGAGAAATTGGCACGTTCGAAAGGGTGAGCATTCCTATCTTGATATTGGTGGTTAACCCAAACTAATAATGACGGCAGATACGGCTTCCTTCGGCTAGACGGAACGATGAACGTCAACAAGCGTCAGAAGTTGGTGGACAAGTTCAATAACCCGGACGGAGACGAGTTTATCTTCCTGCTGAGCAGCAAGGCTGGTGGTTGCGGTCTCAATCTTATTGGAGCCAATCGTCTAGTTTTGTTTGATCCGGATTGGAATCCTGCAGCTGATCAGCAGGCTCTTGCTCGTGTGTGGCGTGATGGCCAGAAGAAGGATTGTAAGTTTTTTTACTCCCAAATTTACGGAAGATGAATAATATAGTTTGGTCGCTAACTGAAATATCATAGGCTTTGTGTACCGTTTCATCGCTACCGGTACGATCGAAGAGAAGATTTTCCAACGACAATCTCACAAGCAGTCGCTCTCTTCGTGTGTCGTAGACGAGGCGCAGGACGTGGAACGACATTTCGGATCCGAAGATCTCAGAAAGTTATTTGAGTACAACACTAATACTCGTAGTGATACACACGATACATTCAAGTGTAAGAGATGCAAGCCAGATGGAAGACAGTATGTGAAGGCGCCGGCGATATTATACGGTGATACTAGCACATGGAATCATTTTGCAGGAGACGGTATGGGGAAGATTGAGGATCTATTGTTGAGACAAGAGGGGGAGTATGGTGGGGACGAGAGGGTTGTCAGTGAGGTTTTCCAGTATATAAGCCACTGATTAGATGGGGTGGTAGCGGCGGCTTTCTGCATTTTCGTTTCTTTTTTGTATATGACTTTTGTTCTACATAATTTTTTCCCCTTCTTTTTTTTTCCTTTTTGGCCATTGCGTTACAATTTGCATGATTTGGGGTTCGGTTTTCTGGAAACGGCGAGCGAATGAGGTTTTATTGATAAATACTTGCTTAGGCCTGTCTTGTTTTTTTCTTTCTAGTTCTATGTATTTTTTAAAAAACCCGCCTTTACCATGATGTTTTTTTGTCTGCATGCATGATATGATGGAGGATTTTCTTTTGGCTGTCAGCACATACAGAACCAGCATACATACATGTACCTCGTGCATGTATGTAAGTATGTACATGTCTCTTAAGGCATTAAGGGCTTTTCCGAAAATATAATTTCGACGCCGCCCGACGGAACATCATACCAGCACGTACTGCATAGCGTAGTAGCTACCTAGGTAATATATCTAAATTACCTATACTATGTATATGAGCAGGATCCGATGTGCGAAAGAAGATGGGGAATAGCTCGTAAGACGGAAGAATGCCTAGCTGGCAGACAGCTCTGTGAGGCGTCACGCTGGGAGTCATCGATCCTGGCCAAGCCTGAGACCCTTGCGCCTGCTGGCAGCGGGATTCCCCAACTTGGCTTGCGAATTAACAACTGACTGGCTGTGACAAAGCGAGCTCCAAGCCTGAGGTACTTACCTCATATCAGCCAGTACATACATAGGGTGGAGGGGCCATTTCATTTATAATCGTCTGAGCAGGCTGCTGTTTTTCTTGTAGTTTTTAAGTCAGAATAGGATTTTTTGATTCGAAGTTACACTTACTTAGGTAGTGACAGTACAGTGCTGTGAGTAGCAAGCAACCAATTCATTACCAACCAAAAACACCATCACCACTTCCATCCCCCCCCCTTCCCACCAGACATCTCCACCTCACTACCTCTACATCGCCATCATCGTCCTTCCTCCCATCTGCAAAGTACCTTCACACGATCGATTCCCTGTTGTTGATTTTTAAAGTATTGTTGCTCTGCGTTCTTTGTCTATCGGTATCTATCTCATCCAGCATCCCTACGCTCCGTTGCTCACTCGTGGATCCGCTCCCCACTCTGTTTCCAAGACTTCACGTGGTCTCCACGGGAATCCCATCTAAACCTGGGAACCTGGCCCTACTTGCTCTAAACTTATAAACTTACTTCCTTCGTTCCTCCACTTCCACCTCTACTTCTATCTTCATCTTCATCTTCAACTTTATCTTCATTTACATACATCTTCATATCTATATTCATCTTCACCTCCATCTCCATCTCCACCCTCGCCTCGCCTCGCCTCGTCTCCCTTCCATTTTCACCCCCCTCCTCCAATCTACTCATCACACCTACCTATCCATATCATTTTCATCCTCTCTTACCCTTTCTCCTTTATATATCCTGCTCCTTCTTCTTGCTTTGACGATACAAGGTTCTTCCATTCTCTCGGAACGGAACAACCTTGTCTTTCGTCTCCTAACCATCCACCACGTTCCCTCCTACCCGGAAACGAAAAACCTCCTCGGCAGCAGCTAATCAACACGACCTACCCTTAGACGGAGCCGCCGACTCCTCTACAGAACAACAACCTCCCTCACCAACATCTTCCCAACCGTTACCCACCCTACCCACCAATCTTACTGTAGCCGAAGAGCGACCAGCTAAACGCTCACACTCTTCCACCGCTACACACCCACATCTTGCCGGTGACTACGAAACCGACGAAGACGCCGCTTTCTCGCCAGCATACGACGCTCTTATTGAGAACGAACCGAAAGGGAAAATGTCCGAAATGAGTGATGACGATTTTCTCTCTGGGGGTTCTGACGAGGACTTCATGGACGAGAGCATGGATAGCGGTAGGTTGTCCCGGTTTAACAACGGGTTCTTCCAACAATCACAAAAACTAGCTTACTAATGTATACTCACAGACTTCGAGGAAGAAGATGGCACCCAGTACCTCGATGATAAGGACGATAAACCTCAGAAGAAAGCTTACGAAGTTGATTTCACTGTTCTCACAGAAGCCGAAATAAAAAAGGCACAAAGTGACGCAATAGAAGAATCTTGTAATATCTTGGCCATGAGCCCGGAAAATTGCGCCGTTCTCCTTCGTCACTTCAAATGGAACAAGGATCGCATGATTGAACAATATATGGATGGCTCGCAGAAGCTGCTCGAGGAGGCTGGAGTCGATTTAACAGGATTCAACAAGCCGGAACTGAAGACGGTGCCCGGTTTCGCGTGTGATATCTGCTGTGAGGATGAAAATGGACTTCCAACATTCAGTTTGAGGTGTAATCACCGATACTGTGCCGATTGCTATAGACATTATTTAAGTCAAAAGATAAAGGAAGAAGGAGAAGCGATAAGGATACAGTGCCCGTCGGATGGATGTAAGGTTTTGGTTGATCCAAAGTCGATTGTCATGTTGGCAGGTGTCGGTGTGCTCTCTCGGTAAGTTTTTCTCTCTTTTCCCCGCTCGAGGTTGACGGAACAGATTTTTTAACATGTCTTATTTTTCTAGATACTATGAGCTTCTTAATAGGACTTATGTAGAGGATAGAGAAAATCTGCGCTGGTGCCCTGCGCCAAACTGCGAATATGTTGTGGACTGTCCTGTCTCGCAGAAACAGTTGCAGGAAATCGTCCCGACAGTGCTCTGCGACTGCGGGCACCACTTCTGCTTCGGCTGTGGCTCCAACGACCATCAGCCCTGTCCTTGCGGCCTTGTTAAGAAATGGTTGAAGAAGTGCGAAGATGATTCCGAGACTGCAAACTGGATTTCGGCGAACACAAAGGAGTGTCCCAAATGCCAGAGCACGATCGAGAAGAACGGTGGATGCAACCATATGACATGCCGAAAGTGCAAGCATGAATTTTGTTGGGTTTGCATGGGGCCGTGGAACGAGCACGGAACAAGCTGGTACAACTGTAACAGATACGAGGAGAAGAGCGGTATTGATGCCCGAGATACTCAGGCTAAGAGCCGAGCTAGCTTGGAGAGGTACCTTCATGTGAGTATATTCTCTATTTTCTTTAATGGGCTTACGGATGAGATGGCTAATGGGGCGGTCACCATTTTAGTACTACAACCGCTACGCAAACCACGAACAATCAGGGAAGCTGGACAAGGACCTCTACATTAAGACCGAGAAGAAAATGACCATGCTTCAGTCTGCTTCGGGCATGTCATGGATCGAGGTCCAGTACCTCGACGCCGCCTCCAAAGTTCTTCAGCAATGCAGACAAACACTCAAGTGGACTTACGCCTTCGCCTTCTACTTACAGCGAAACCATTTGACCACTATATTTGAAGACAATCAGAAGGACTTGGAAATGGCGGTCGAAGCTCTCAGTGAGCTGTTTGAGAAGCCCACCGATCAGTTGGCGAATATCAAGGTTGAGATGATGGATAAGACAGCTTATGTGAGCAACCGACGAGTGATCCTGCTAGATACCACAGCAAAAGGTTTGCAGGATGGCACTTGGGAGTTTACTGTTGAGTTTTAAAAGAGACGGTTGGCAGGCATATCGGGTATATGAGATCAACGACGAATGAATGAGGAGGCAGGCTTTGTGAGCGGGCTTTATTTTTGGTTTGTTTTAGAACGCGGTACTTCCTATCCTCTTTTTTATTTTATTTTTTACAGTATGGAAACAGTGATGCCGGTGTGGACATGGACGTTTTGATCTTTTTTGTCACCGTGGGCCTCTTTCTTCATTTCTCTCCCACGCAGCTACTTTCTGCTTTGTATTTTTTCACGACCGCTTTTCCTCTCCTTTTCATTTTCCTTAACTTGTTATATATAGCTCTTTAGCTTCGGCGGGATATCAGGACGGCTAGTATTACTATTACTATTACAATTATGATGACCTATGGTTCTTTCGTTCGATACATTTAGTCGTGAAGTATAAGCCGGATCGCCAGAGCAAACGTGTTGGCCGCGTGGTAATTTCCCACCAACAAAATAAAACAGCGACCAACGAAAAACCTAAACTTTTCAACTTCAAATTCCCATTTTCGATATAAACCGGCTTCTTTCAACGTGATTAACGTTCAAACTCTCACCAAACCTGCTACCGACCCACTTTGGTCAATTAACCCAAAAAAATCAAAAATTTTTTACTCTACTCATTGCCATATTTGACGATTATTTATAAGTCGCATGAACACCGTTAAATCGTCCGTCACCCGGTGCGCCGGCCGTACCCTCAGATCGCGGGGCGCTTCTCATCACCCCACCGCTATCGAAACATCGATATCGACATCGTCGTATACGCCATATCCCACCACAATGCTTTCGTTCCTATACCCTGCTAGTGCCCGTCGTCATATAATCACATACTCTCGTTCGATTCCAACCCTTCTTGCAAAAACAACAACATCATCATCATCATCATCTCAGAGGATTTCTACAAGACGGTGTTACTCTACCCAACCACCACCATCGTCGTCATCGTCATCACCAACATCACCATCATCAAAGTATAACCTCGAACCTTCGAACGAACCATGGCAATACCTTCTTGGCGAATCCACGGAGGAAGAGGAAGCTAGTCTACGGCCTCAGAGGATTGAATCGCCATCGTTAGAACCAAACCATGGACGGTCGTTCAAACCCCGAAACAACGATTCACAGGGTTCATACCGTCCTCCCTTCCGAAACGACCGTGCAGGAGGAGGGGGTGGTGGAGGAGGAGGAGGAGGAAGAAACAGTAGACACCGTTCAAACAGCCAATCATTCCCCGAATCCCCACAATCCTTCTCCCACCGTCGCTCAACCCATCAAAACTACGAACGCGGAGTCTACACAAAACCGGAATACAAAACCTCCCCGAAAGACGGAGTAGCCGAAGACCCCTCCCTATCCCTCCTCAACCTCTCCAGTTCACCGCGTACAAATATGACAGAAAGAGAAAAAGTCATTTTCGATATGATATTTGATAAATTACTACAAAAGTCATCTTACGCTACCCCGGCTAAAAGGTTACAACATAATCGACCTTCACCTATGGTTTCTGCACTTTTTGAATCTGCTGTGGGACCTCAGAGTGGAGTTGATGATGAAGTTAGTTTTGGACCGGAAAGGAATGGGGTTGATGAAAAGAGTAGTATGGAGGCTTTACTCAGTCGTGGGGATTTCCCCGCTTCTTTAAGATCTGCTGCTGCTGGGAAATTGGGATTGAGTAGGAAAGCTGTTGGGTTGGATGCTATCGATGAAGAAATGGAGAGTCCTGAAAGAAAAGCAGAGTATGAGAAACTTTCTGGGATGTTGGAGTTATGTGGTAATGATCTGGAAGTATGGGAATGGCTTGATGGTTATATCTTTACCATGCCGTTTTCTCCGGAAGGGTTAACAGGTAACTATCCGAAGTTACTGAAAGAAGCTATAAAACTTCTGAGAACGGAATACAACGATTTTTCGGCTTGCACCGCCGTATTTGAAAAAGTTAAGCAGTTGGGAACTGAGAGTTATATTATCGGTTGCTCTGTGGGCGTTTATAATGAAATGTTGGAAGTTAAGTGGAGGGGTTATAGGGATATGAGTGCGGTTTTGGATCTGTTGGAGGAGATGAGGGTTAATGGTGTCGATGGCGATGAGATTACGGCTGGGATTGTGGCGGATGTGCTGAGTGATGTTAGGGTGTTTGAGAGTAATAGCTTCTTACCGGGGACGGTGATGGTTTGGAGGACTGAGGGGGTCTTGGAGGGGAAGGAACGGTTGAGGGAGATGATGGGGGCTTTGGTGAGGGAAGGGGATCAGAGGATGTTAGGTGGTGAGGTGGTGATGTGAAGATTGATGCATTGGACATACAAACATATTGTATTATGTATATTATATTGTAAATACTTCATACTTTTACCTCTTAGAAAATTAGCTACTTATATGAGGGCTTATAGCTTAAGGGGCATGTATATATCAAGACTGTTATGAAATCGGGTATGATTCATATCATACAACGTTAGCTAAGTACCTATAAATTCATAAACCAGCGGACGCATGTGTAAAAGTATATATCTAAAGAACCGCCTGACGCCTAAAACAATTTTATACCCGCCGCTAAAACCAGTAAAAAATATATCCCACGATCGTGTAAAATAAACCATATCCTTTCCAAAGAGATCCCAAACCCCACTTACCTGCCCACTTGTATACCTTATCCATTGCTGCTAGCCCTAGGCCTCAACTTCGTAAACGCCTCATACAAAGCCCTCTGTTGGTGCTGTCCACTCCCCTGCTGCTGCCCTTGCCCCATCTGCTGCATCTGCTGTCCTTGCATCAAAACCGGTAACCCACCACCGTGCATACTCCCCACACTCCCCACGCTCGCATAACTGCTAACACTCCCCGCCGCACTATGTCTTCCGCCATCTGCCCTCCCTTCTCTTTCACCCCCCCCTCTACCAGCAAGTGGACTAGAAAACTCCCTTTCCCCCATATTGCTGCTATAAGTGCTCTGCGGCGTCCCAGGTCTTGCCGTCATACTGCCTCTATCCATTCTTGAGAACTCCACCATCGATGCAGCGGATTTTAGAACTCGTGAGGGGGGGGGAGGGAGCTCGTAGTCCATTGGTGTTGCGGTGCCGGAGTTTGAGATCAATGTAACCGTAGAACCCAGTTGTCCCATCGCTGGTGCGAAGTGAGGGAGCATAGGTGTTCCACCGCCACCACCAGTATTACTAGGAACAAGAGTAGCCGTACTACCACCCATAATCGAATGTGAACCATAAGAAAAACTTCCAGCGGTATTAGGTCGTTTACTTCCATCCCTACTACTAGGTGCCGTTTGCGCTCCCCCCATTCCTCCCATTCCAAATCCACCGCTAGGGATGAAATTCCCTGCTGTTCGAACGCTACTACTTATACCCCCTGGACCCATTAATCCAGCGAATGGGTTCGAAGCCGTGGGGGTGTATTGTCCCATCGTATTCACGTTTTTGATGGTGACGCCGTCGATCAGTGTTTTGAAGTAGGTTTCTGCGGCTTTGGAGTAGGAGTAGTCTTTTGGATACCAGCCTTCGCGATTGCGGACGTCGAAATTTGCGCCGCGGTCCATGAGGGTTCGCATTGCTTTTAGGTGGCCGTAGGCGGATGCGTACTGAATGGATGGGTTTTGTTAGTGGTGGGGTGTTCCTGAGAATGGGGGAGACGATAAAGAAGAGAGGTGCTCACGTGAAGAGGGGTATTTCCTAAAGGATCGACGGCGTTTATGTCGGCTCCGGCGTCGAGGAGGATCTGGTGATCGTTAGTCTTTGCGATCGGTGGTAGAAGGGTATGAATTGGAAGCCATACATTGATACTAGCATCATTACCAGCTTTCGCCGCAACAGCAAGCTATACACCAACCCCCAAAAACACCAATTAGCACCCCCCCTAAGCCCTCACTTATTCCACCATTAAAATAGATGAAAAAGAAAGAAAGAAAGCCTCACCGCCGTCATCCCACTTTTATCCCTCCATTCCACACAATTCTCAAACTCTCCGACCAAATAAAACACCACATCATCCGCATTCTCATCATTACTCCCACTAGCAACTATCAACGGCGTCTGTCCGTCAAAGTTCCTCGATACCCCATCTTTTTCATGTCCCGCTTGGACTAGGAACGTTACGATCGAGGTCTGTCCTCGTGAAGCGGCGAGGTGGAGTGGTGTGTTCCCATGATCGGTTGGGTCGCAAAAGTTTAGACTGTTTGGGTGGGATTGGATGAGGCGTTTTAGGACTAGGAGGTCCGGGGTTATGATGCACCGTTGTAGACGGCGGCGGATATCGATCCTGTGGGTTTGGATTGGAGGGTGGTGGTTAGTGGTCAGTGAATGAGTGGATTAAGGGTGGATTGAGGGTTGTTAGAAGCGTAGGGAGAATTTACATGGTGAGATGTATATGTACATAAGTATGTCAAGGTAGTTGGTAGAATTAGTTCATGATTGTTTTGTGGAGTTGGTTGATACGAGAGGGGATGGTGGTGATGGTGATGGTGATGTGGAGATTCTGGGGATGGGATGGAGCTATAGCTTGGAGGTTTAATGGCCGTTTGTGGGTCGCGCTTAGTAACACCACATTAACATCCACTCTTCGATCCCTCAACGTGATAGCTACCCTTGTAAAATAGCCCAGTTAATTCGACTCAAAGAGAGGGGAGAAAAATCACATGAAAGATGACATCTAGAATTAATACTTCTTGTATCTTTTTCTCTCTTTGATCATTTGAATTTCTTGATAATAATAATAAACCAGAGCAGAACAGCCGCTAACTAAAGTATACTAAAGGTAAAAAAAAAGAGTAATATAAAGATACACAGAATTCAAAAAAGAGAGAAAGGCGTCATCATCACGAGGGAAATGAAGAACAATGAGTCGTCCAAGGAAACTTTTTTCTTTCTCATAAACTCGGAGAAGTGGTGGTTGTAGCAGGAGTTTCAGATAGTATGAAGAGAAGCTACACATGAGGGGATGGGGAGTTGATAGAAACTGATGTTTTTTGGGGGTTTCTCATGAATGATACTCATTGTAAGAGTAGGATAGAATGGAATAGTCACATTAAATATAGACCCGCTCATTGAAGGAAAAGGTTCATAAGGATGGGATATCAACCAAGTATCGCCTTCTTGTTTCCTCCAAAAGGAAAAGAAAGAAAAACTGTAGTGTAAGTAGAGAGAAAAAGAGAGAAAGAGAGTAAGTAATTTAGGCTTCAAGGGTAGTTCGTAGATTAGAGTAGACTGTCAAGTCTTGTGAACACGCTTAGGCATGCAGCGACAACCTATATCCCAGTCAGTAATAGCTCTATGATTTTCATATCTGAATCCGTAGTGCAGGCGTGCAAATTCGATGCTTACCTCCAACTGCAGTTCCTTATCCTTATTACTATTGACCTCCTCTAGGGTTATCTGTCCCAGATTCTGTCCCACACTCCCCGAAGTATTTGTTGGCCTTCCAAACGGCCATTGCGAGAAAAGCGCAAGTAACTCCTCCACATACGCAAAAGCCCGTTCTCTAGCGTCGTACCCCAGAGTAGAGAGCGCGTTTTCGAGTACGTTGGCGGCGTAGGCCGCACATACCATTGCCACGGTTCTCAGATACCTGAATTCCATGTCTTCTGGCAAAAACTCGGTGGGTGGGAGGACTATTGTTCTAGCTGTAAGCATTGTTTTGGCGCGCAACCGGATTTCGGTTTTGGCGCCGCCGTCGGCGACAGGATGGGTGGCCATGTCGAAAAGAAGGAAGTTGCGCTTTTCGGTGCGGAGGATGCCCTTGTCGACTAGGCCTTTGGCCAGACGTTCGCGGACTTGTTTAAGTTGGTAGCCGATCTTCATGAGGTTCCATGTTTCGCCTATATGTAGAATGGTATTCACTTAGTTTATCGGTCTATCGAGTAGGGAAATCGCGGTGCGAATCGCGAAAAAAAAGGGATCCGGTCGGGACGAAGAGGTGTTATTACCGCTCATAAGGTCTATCCAAGAGCTGACACTCATCTTTTCGCTGGATTTCATCATCTTAAGAGCCTCGTCCAGTAGTACCTCCCCGGTAAGCGCATCATCAACGACCTCGATCAATCGGTCTGCCAATGGGAACCGCCGTCTGGACGCATCTTTTTGCATAGCGATTCTTCCGCGGAAGGCGAGTTCTATCACGATACAGCCGCGTAGCGCATACGATATGTTGTCGTTCCAGAAAGATAGGTATCCCTGTAAGTTCCACGCAGCACACCCCAGCATTCCATTAATATTCTGTAGATTGCATTCCATTTACTATATCGGGAAGGGCTTTTTAAGGCTGAAAATAAGGGACAAAAAATGAGACTAACCTGCTTGTCTTTCAAACCCAAAAGCAATACCTCCTCCATCAATGTCAGCTTAGGCTGCTTGCTCCTCTCCTTGCTCTCGCTGATATCCCTGGGATCGAACACGACCTTTCCGCCATCTTCGGAGGTATAGCTGGTGGCCGACGTGCCTTCACCAGAAGCCGGAATAGGCGTCCTGGTCGATGACCCTTCGCCACCATCACCGTTGGCATTGGGTGTGCTAGAGCTGGAGGCTCCTGCACCACCGCCGGCGCCGCGTCTTCGCACGACAGAGGACGACATTAAGAATTAGATTATTATCGGGAAAAATGGTGGCCGGGTCGTTTTGGGTTGTTTGGTGATGGTGATGGTGAGATTGTAGATTGTGGTGGGTATGTTGTAGTGGTGGTGGTGGTGGAAGGTGTCGGTTGTTTTTGAGCTGGGTGGGTGTAATTAAAGGTGAGGTAAGTTCAGTTGGAAAGGGGAAGCACGACTGCGGTACTGATCTGATATGTGCAGCTGCAGTACTGGGCCCCGTTTTATGTCCGCGAATTATTATACAACCTCAACAGATGGGCTAAAACAATAAAATAAAATACGATATATAGTTTGCTATCGTGTATTAACCTATAACACCGTTGATTTTAAACCTGAAGATAAAGGTTGTGTATGTGGACTGGTGTGTAAGTAGTACCGGGATAAATTGAAAAAGATCAATTATAATTAAGAGAGTTAACTTGGACGACGTACGACCAGGACTGAACTTTAGATTAAATATATGCTACTTCTCCAGTGACTTAAGTACTTTACTTAACTTCCTCAGTGTATACGTAAGGAAGAGCGGTAAAAAAGAGAGATAAGATGACCAGGCAGGTGCGTTTTTTCTCTCATTTATTTAGCCTAGTCTTCAGTTCTTCCCATGCAGTAAAAAAGCGTTAGTGCTAGTGGCTTTTTTTGCACCGCCGCCATAACAGCGCAACCAGGTTGCTTCAAACGTAAGCTTGCTCCAATGACCCCTGGTGGGTACTCTGATCCGAGAGACATAACTGGTTTTGACAGGTGTGGTCGGAGGGGGCGCCTGAAACTGCCATTCGGAAGCGATGCTAAGAGGCGGAGAACTTATGCGCCTCAACTAGATCTAGAGATTGTAAGGAATGGTGTAAGAGGGAAAAGAATACAAGTAATCTGTCGCGTGGGGTAGAGAAAGAAGAAGAAGAAGAAGCAAAAGAAGAAGGAACTTGAGGAGGAGGAGAAAGGAAGAGAAGTCAAGGAAGAGTTCAAAAAAACAAAAAAGTGATATTCGTTATGTACACAGGCTGACCGCAATTATATCGCAACCTCTTCACCAAACATACATCCCATCTTATTTTATAGAAGGAAGAGAGGGGTGTGGTTTCTTGTCCTTCTCTTCATCATTATCGTGTCAAGTAAAAAGAAAGACATTCATATCCCGTTTCGTATTGAATCTAATATGGATTTCAATTGAACAAAACCTGGATGTTTTTTGTACACTTCAACGACACCCTCTCAACTGTAGCGCTATTTTCGGAGGGAAGTAGTCCGTTTAGACGGCTATATAGGAAGTGGCGGCGACAGCGGTTAGTCTAGGTTCACCACATATAGAAGAATTCAAATCATGAAGAATAAACTCACCTCCGGGTTGGGCGGCAATATAATCAACGGCTTGACCAACTATATTGAAAACTTATTAGATATTTCTCGGACTGATATGCTGTAGTATCTACGTCATGCACATACCACTCTGGATAGCATCGGCCTCCTTGTCTGGGATCTCGACGCTGAATTCCTATTTGCGAAAAGAACAATTATCAATCCATTGGCCCAATAACCATGAATACTAGATATATTGAGTATCTTACTTCTTCAATGGCCATCACGACCTCAACGGTATCAAGACTATCCAATCCGAGGTCATTCGAGAAATGAGAAGTCGTCGAGATCTTCACTCCATATTAGCATCTCCCCAAACCAAACCATCCAATCCAATAGATCAAACCATGTATACCTTAGAAGGATCAGTAATCTGTCCGAACACACACACCGATAAGTTAGTTATAAGAAATTCTTGTGATATAAAGTATCCAGAGTAACCCCGCCAAAAACCCTTCGGGAGCAACGGCAACCCACCTTATCGAATCCCTTCAACAATTCCACTATTCTACCCTCAATATCCGTCTTGGATGGTGGACCACCCGACGAGTAGAATCGTCCACCAAAGACCATCTGCGGCGCCACCGACATCGAGGGGAGGACACGGACGCCGGTGAATACCGCTGGTCTCATTGACGAGGTCAATAGACGGGAAGACTGTCGGAGAGCTGTTCGGAACATTTTGATAAAAATTGTCGAGAATGATGAACCCTTGACGGTATTTCCTAGGATGGACGATGAGGTAATTGGAGGGGTGTATGTATATGTGTGCGGGTCTGTTCGCAGTCTGGTAGATAGGGAAGAGGAAGAAGAGTAAAGGAATTAGAGCTATTCCAATTCGTTCGTGTTAAAGTCCGAGTTTTAAGCAACGACGGACCGGGCGTTGTGACCAACAAAATTTCACAGAACTGTGGCGGTGCACATACCAGTTACCTCATCAGCCACATTCTCAGATCTCAGGCGGCTTAAATGCCAAGAATTGTGGCGTCTAAATTTATACGCGCGGCTGAACTGAAGAAGATTCGTTGAAAAAAAACGACGATCAAAAAATGTGTTGTTTCCAAAACGGGCGAGCAAGAGAGAACGAAAAAATTTCTGGGGTTGATTTTATTTTTTCTTTCTTCATTTCGATATCACCCTCGACTTCATCAACGTTCATTGGACGGCAACCAACCTACCGACCAACCAACCCCAGGCGCGTTTGAATAACGACCGGTTCGGTAATCGCGATACCTACTTGTATTTTATTTTGTCACATCTAATTCCTTTCGTTTTTCTTATTACCTATTAATCGTAATATAACCTGGCGACCATACTGCGCCTGCTACCATCATCATGAGTGAGAAGGACATTGAGGTACGGCGCTATTCGGGCGCTTTAGGTCGCCGGTCATATACAATTGTCTTTCTAAAGTCTAATACCCTTTTAGGACCGATTAGTCAAGCATGCTCGAGCATTCGACAGTCTTCTTAACTTAATACCTGCAAAGCTGTATTTTACTCAGGATAATTCCGTATGAAACTACTCACTCGCTCACTCACTCCTTTTTTTCTTGAATATATATATGTATGTATGTATATGTTATGTGTGTGTATAGATGACTAACAAAACTCTTGATTAAAATGAAAACAGGACCAGTGGAAAAAGCGTAAACAGACAAAGGAAGAATCTCAAGCGGCAAAACGTGCAAAGCTAGATCCAGATCAGGCTGTTACAGTTAAAGAAGTCGAAGATGAAAGGTCTAGAGAACGTACTGCGAGGGAGGAGAAGAGGCGGAAGCTGAATGAAGACGGTTTACCTTATGAGACAAAGTCGCAGATGAAGGCTAGGAAGAAGGAAGAAAAACGAAGGGAAAGGAGGCAGAATAAGGAATCAGGTGGAGGGAAGAAGAAGGACGGCGAGAAGCAGGCTCAGGCGGAGGCTCAAGGGGATGATGAGGACGATGACATGGTCGAAGTTGACGAAGAGGAAGAGAAGCCGACACCAAAGAAGGCCAGTCATCCACCGAAGAGTCCATCGAAACAATCTACATCTCCAAAGAAGGAACAGCATCACCCCGCCAAACGGAAAGATGTGAAACCGAACGGCGTTCAAATTAAGGTTAATGGTACGGAAAAAACTGGCAAAGCCTCAATTATTCAAAAGCCTACAGTCGAGTCTTCAGACTCCAGCGACGACGACGAAGACGAAGATGAAGACGAAGATGAAGACGAAGACGAAGGAGAGGAAGAAGAAGAGGGAGATATCACAGCAGAGATGGACAAAATGGCACAAGACTCCGAGGGCTCAGGAGACGATTCAGAGGATTCAGACTCAGAAGGCGAAACGATCCAACGAATCCCAGGTCTAGCAGCAGAACCTACCACCACCACTACATCATCCCCCTCTCCCGCTCCTTCAAACACAACAGATACCTCTACCACCCAAAAAACCCTCGCCGAAAAGCTTAAGACTTCAAAAGACCCCCTCGTCCAACAGCAGCTTAAGGAGCGACTAGCAAAGCGCATCGAAGAACTCCGTCATGCCCGCAAAGCCGATGGTGGCGAGGTACCCCGTACCCGCACAGAACTCATGGACCAGCGAAGAAAACGTGATGAACAACGTAAAGAGAGAAAGAAGCAGATGAGATTACAAGCTAAAGTTGAAGCCGAAAAGGCGGCGGAATCTACGGATGGAAAAAAGAAGCCGGAATCTAAAAAGCATAATGGGGTATCTACGGCACCGGCGAACTATACTTTTGGAAACGTCGATTTCGAGGATGGTGCTAAGTTAACTGCGAACCTGGAGGGTATCAAGGTAGCTGGCAAGAAGAGGGGTCCATCGGATGTGCTTGGAGCCCTAAAACATGCTGAGGCAAAGAAGGCAAGGTTAGCGGGAATGAGTGATGAGAAACGGGCGGGTATTCAAGAGAAGGATCGATGGAGTAAGGCGTTGAAGATGGCGAGTGGAGAGAAGTTACAAGACGACGAGGGATTGTTGAAGAAGTCGCTAAAGAGGCAGGATAAAGCTAAGAAGAAGAGCGAGAGGGAATGGTGAGTGTTTGCCCGTCAATCTTATGTTATGGTGACACAAAGTTTGGATTGCTGACTATAAATTATCGGAATGAGCAGGAAGGAACGCAATGACAACGTCGAAAAGGGTAAAGTCATGCGGCAGAAGAAGCGTGAAGCCAACCTTGCAGCACGGAGGGAGCAGAAGAAGGCCGGTAAAGGTGGAAAGAAAGCGAGGAAGGTGCCGTCAAAGAAGTCGAAGGGTAGGGCGGGCTTCGAGGGGGCAGGCTTCGGGGGTGCAGGAAAGAAGAAGAGGTAGTCGGCTAGCAGCATTTTGATGCTGACTGATTACGGTACATAGGAGATTCATATTGCGCACCCCCCCCTTCGCATTTCTCCTACGATTTTGGCGGGTACGTTTTTTCTTTTTTGTATTATTTTTTTCTTTATCAATCATCAAATGTGTAAAATAGAAAGGGATACCCTTCGTTTCTGTTTTATTTTTATAGTTTCAATGAAAGGGGATTTTGCATCGGAGGAACTTGCAATTAGTACCTTCGGATTCACCAATTCATGAATTCAATCGCAAATTGTATTAATTGATGCGGTTCGAGAGATCTTTTCTACAGTGTACACGGGCGTATACATAATCTCGCAAGTCAGACGGGTCCGGGTCCGAATCACCAAGAAACCACATTTTAATATATTATATGTCGCAAGGTTAAGATGCATGGTTTCTCATGCATGCTCGAAGTCATCTACTAGTACCAGCGATATTGATAAGTAATAGTTGATAAATCACTGAGTAACATATATAGCTAGGTATATCATAGCGTGATAATATTTAACCCACCGATAATGTTCCTATCAATCTCTACTCAAGCTTTACAGCCTGGTATGGAGAGGGGTAAGGGGGGGTTAGGCGAGTCGTTCAGGCATGATTTAATCGGTATGTCCCGTCCCTTGAGACGAAATATTTGACTGATAACGGTGGAGCGTACAGTATGTATTTTACTTTAACATCTGATCCGGAGCTGCCGGTGTAATATATTTTGATACATCGATACGATATGAGCTCAGGAATGGAGTCTTTGATATGATAGTGATCGACGGTGTTTCTGACGGCTGCTAGCTGCGCGGATGGATGCAACCAGAGGGTATAGTCATGCACATTATACTAACTGTGAGCTGAAGCTGGGGAGCATATAGTAGGTATGCGGTATGCATATGGACTTTTTGATATCTGAAGCAACCGAGCCGTTTGCAAGCTGTAGCTCTTAAGTCTCTCCGATTCCGAAAAGACGGAAGGAGTAATAAATCATCCAAAAGAAGTATAGCTATCCGGTATAGTAGTGGTTTCTTATTACATTTTATTTATTTATTTTGGTTTTTATAATGGTGGGGTGTGGTGGGTGGTTCAGTGATGTTGGTTGGTGGTTGAATATATTTTGTGTGTGGGTTATTTTTTGGGGAGAGAGAAGGGGGTGGTTGGGCTGGGACCGTGGAGTGTATGTATGGTTAACAGCTGTCAACAGAGCACACCATATCATTCACACGTACCCCCTAGCAGCCTCCGCGAAAACCTGCGCTCATGCATGAAAGGCTGAAGTCATTTGTTTTTCTTTTTCAGATGGTGGTCTTTTTTTGAAAAAAAAAAATGTTTTTTGTGATACAACGCTCGCTCCCGAGGTCAAGCACGAGCACGAGGTGCCATTTTTTCCTTTCTGACAACTGTCTCAACTCAGTCGTTGCATGTTGCATATGCACATTCCAGTCAATATGCCCACATATGGAGAAGCAGAAACGGCGGTTTTGCATGCTGTTTTCTTTGTGAAATGGGAGAGAAAAGTATTAAACGTGTAAGGGGGGTGGTTTCTGGGCCATGAGGGGGGGTGAGAAGGTAGGTATATGGTTGTGTAAAAAGATAAGAATCCAGGTTAGAGTCGAAGGATGGTGTGGGGGGCCTACGAGAAAGAGCAAGTCAAGAGCTAGAGAGCAAGTAAGAAGACCGGGGTATATTTGGCTTAGAAGTGTGATGGAGATGAGAAGGTAGGTACAGCGTACAGATGGCATCGAACTTTTCCACACCCTCAATGTGCTGCATATCCGACTGTGACAAGGTAATTGCAGCAAACAGACAGGATAGACGGAACAGGTAGCCTATCCAATGGCAAGGCTTTAAGTCGGGAAGATATGAGGAGGGTTGCCCTTGTATTGGTGGACAAGCGGTATTTAGTTTCTAGAGACAAGTCATCAGTTAGACATCATCAAGGATTGTATCTTTTTTTTTTCCAGATCTTTTTACTCTCTCTTTCTTTTGGCTTGCGCCGAGTATGTGATTTAGCTGGGCCCTCAGAACAGACTTTCGGAATGCAAGAGATGGATGGTTACAGTTTATCGGGATTGACGAAGTGGCAACTGCACAATGTAGCGTTTTTTGATCCCGAGTTCGAACCGGGCTGGGCGGTAGGAGAATAAGTAAAAACGACTGCAGGAAGCCACTCACGAGCTAGCGGAGGGCGATAATAGGTCATTCTCTCTGTGGTAGTAGCGGTGGGTCGGTTAGATCTTAACACCTTTGCTTCTCAGAACATTGACGACGTTGTAACGGGCGTAGTCAAGGTACTGTCCCACCCGGCCGACAGTAGATCCCACAGATGCGCTATCGGCTAGCCTCTCGTCAAGGAAAGCCCAAGTATTTGTGAAACGATCCGACTTGTCTTGGGTCATGTAAACTTCTGTGTGAGTTTTCTTGTGTTAGCCGTCGTTCCGACCATTGATTGGTTCCGCAGCAACTAATATTTCCTTAGAATGGTTATATATTCTAGAAGGAATTAAGAGAAAATGTTTGCCGACGCCCGCATCACATAACCAAGACGGTAGTACATCTGAGTCTACCCTCGTAAGTGCGTACATCCGCACACAGGAATGCATGGGCTGATAACCCATTCGCTGTGCTAAGTTCGAGGATGGGATTGGCTGGGGCAAACGGAATGCAGCGAGGGTTGGAATAAGATAAAGGGGAGATATAATATGCAAGTCATAAAGTAGCCGAAAGTATAAGCCACGGTCGTTACGAGCGAACACGCTCTTGTGGATACTTAAAAGTACTTTTAACGAACAAGAGAAAAGTCACACTTACCAGTTGCTGCATAGATGCCTGACAAGATACCTCGTTTAGTATACCAAGATACATCGACTTCTTTGTCTCCCGCGATATTCCACATGGTATCTGCTAGGCTAAATAGTTCGGATGTAGACGATTGTAGATTGGTTGGATATTTCATAAGAGCAACTGCCTATGCCGGTTGAAGAGAAATCATCGAGAAAATATGCATGTTAGCTTTAGTTGATGTTTGCAATAACGAAAAGGTGTTAGCAAGTTTGCCTGGGGTGAGACACTACCTCTGGCCAACGACGTATAACATCTTTGTTCTGTTTTAATCGTTCGATGCAAAGGGCTCTGATTTTGCTGGTGGTCCCAAATCTTGGGTTTGTAGCTTGTAAATCTTTCCATTCCTCGGATCCTGCATATTTGCTTAATCCCTCTCTTTGAGTGACTAGATGATACTTGACGATATCAAAGGGGCCTTGAGGAAATAAATTAGTGGTAACATCCAAGTACCCCGCTTCCTTGACCCCGGAGAGTAAAGCGGAATCAGTGAAACCCTGTGAGGGTACATGGCTCAGGGCAGCCGATAATATCGCGGCTTGCTCGGGCGTATATGAAGTACTGGAGACGGCAGAACCTTGACCATGGCTCAGTCGGTGGCCGTTCAAATTATTCCTCAGAATTTGGAAAGCGGACGGTTGTTTCCATCGGGCATTAAATCCCAGAAGACTTTGCCGAAGGGCACGGTGAGATGATTTCGAGGCCATCTTCCTTAATCTAAAAGGAAAGTAAGAACGAAAGGAAGAAATAATCAGCTTTGAACAGAGCAATCAATATGAAATCTATTAGACCAAGGAGAGATACTAACCACTCGACTTGTCGCTTTGTTTAGAGAGCAAAACGAGAATTAATTCGTTTAATTCCTTGTTTTTCTTATGTCTTGATATTATTTCAAGCGTGGGGCTGATTTGATATCAAAAGAAAGTAAGAAAGATGTCTCGAATGCGATTATTGTGTTTGCAATTGTGGAATCTCATGCGGCAGGGTTTGATGGCACTCGGAGATGAAGCGGATAAGGTCCTTGGTAATCTCCCGGCTTGATACACACGGATATATCACTTCTATCGTAATTGGCGATGTCCAGCTACATGGCAGGTCGACAAGCGGCAGATTGGTAGTTTTCAACGGCAGCTGTCGAGTCCTTCTAGCCCGGTGGTTGTTGTTGCCTATGAAGTTTGAAGCTAAGTTCGAACGTTCGCGACGTCTTTTTCGGCAACATCAAACTGAAATTTTTTGGTGTTGCGCTGAACGTTGTACAGCCGGCAACCTACAACCTGCATCTGCATCCAACCTTAAAGTCTAGGACGAGAAGGGAAGTCTAGACCGGGACCTTGCAATCAATTGATTGATGGAGTTGGGCTTCAAATCATACGATAATTATCATGAAGGAAAGGATAATCCACGGTGAGCATAATATAGCTAGACGGCACGCTATCATGACATGTTAGACAGGCAATCCAACCAATGATCTTTGAACTAGGGTGAGAAATATACCGCAAAACTAAGTATGTAAGATACTTAATGTCGAGAGATATTCCATCCAGGCTAACTTTTGTCTGGCTTCAAAGATAGTATTGAACTAATTAGCGACTATAGGATGGTATACAGACCCGGCCTAGGGTACAAGTAAGTTCAAAGCCACGACCCGGAAGGACGGATGAGACGAGACCCTAGATACAATGGTATCCATGCCATGCATTCATTTCATGCCAATTTCTAAAGGGGCCGCTATCCGTCCAATCAGAGCATCGATCCCGCAAAGTTTAGCTCTTGAAATTCAAAAAACCCCACGGGCTTTATAATATCAACCACCTTCGTTACTTATCTTGGTTCGGCTATCGATATTGCAAATACCTAATATGGCCATGGGAGAAACACACGGTCTATCGTTGATGCGATTTCGTTAAAACTTTACGCTATACAATACGTAATAAGTCTGCTTGCTCGAAATCTTCTTTGAGTGGCCAAGGGTTCAGTTTCTTTAAATTTCCGGCAGCGTCGAGGTCGCTAATTGGCCTGGCATAGGCTATCAGACAAACATGTCAGACGCACGTTCCTAATCCCGGCCTGTCGATGTGCTGCCATGTTTCAACGTTTCATTCCTGTGGATCGAGTTCTTCTCTATCCGACTACGATCTGCTCGGTCCGAGCTTTGATATCATGTTCATCTCAACGCTGGCCAATTGGGCCTCTGATTTCTTGGTTCAGCTGACCATGGTTAGGCAAAGTGGTCTGTTGCAAATACGATCAGGCCTAGTCAACTGCACTTCGCGACTGAATTGCGCACATGTTACGTCTTAGGAACAATGGAGTTTAATCACAAAACGACGAACGCACTGACTTCTTTTTCCCTTTCTTCTCACCTCTTGGTTGTTTCTTCTTTTTCCTTTCTTTTTCCGGACTATGGGTCCTTGGATCCATATAATCCTTGAGAAAATCTTGTGCTGTGGGTCTTCGAAATGTGTGATGCACGTGTGATCACACAAGTCACAAAATGTTATCCGCCCCAACCTCGATGGCTTTATATTGGTTCCCTTTCGATCCATTTCAATAATTCCTTTGAGATAGACGCCTGCAAGCCACCAACACTAGTCATGTCGAGCCATTTGGCGCATCAGGAAAAGGTCCAGATGGAGTATGTGTGTAGATGTAACAGGGGTCATGGGGGCTTTGTGGTTGCAGGCATCGGGTCCGCTTTGTCCTACCAAGGCCAGTGTAGCCGCCGATTGAGAACATGGAACCCTACTTGTAGAGCTCGAATCCAAATCCTTTTTTTTTTTCAAATCGGACCGAATATCACATTTTTTCTTCCTGGGAAATCTGTTAGGCATCTGAGCTCAAGTGCTCGGATGTGAGATTTGAGACATGTCTGTGAAAGAACTATCCATCCACAACTTCCCTCGGCTAAATAAGGTTGAAAGTGTAAACTGAATGTCAGATATTGGTGTAACATAAGGGCTTTTCGAACCTCAGTTTCTTCGTGAGATCAATTATATCTTCAAACCGGAAAACATTTACCGGAGGGTACGTGTGTAACGTAACATAATCGAAGGTCTAGACAAGTCCGAATGATTGCGGGTTGGCTTTCAGCCACGGCTCTCTTATTAGGCAAATGATGGCTTGATAGGTATCATTCTAATCAGTGCATTAGCTTGAGTCTTCGTCAATTTGATTCCCCACGGTCCGTGATGTGGGTCAGCTTCTGTCAAGAATAGGCAGGACGGAACGGCAGTAGATTTAGACTGGAATTGGGTCACAATTATATTATAATTGCTAATACTCGGAAATATCGAGGTGAACATCTCCGAAATAAGGACTGTGAGTTTGCCGATTTGCCTCTAGAAAAATAAAATAAAATAGATCAAAGAAGCAGGAACGCCAGTATTGATCGATACAAAAAAACCTTTTTTGGTGTTTGAAGTTTTAGTATGGTTCTGGTTGCTGAACGTTTTTAGCCTAGTTGGTTTAAAACATATACCGCGAATTCTGTCGCTGCGACGGAGCCTTATATCTGAAGGCATGTTTTCTTTTATCTATTCTGTGGTAGACCATATGCATGCATATTGACTGCATGTGTACAGGGATAATCGTTTATTCGGAGGAGGTTGGCTGAATTTCTTATTTGAAGCCGGAAAGCTTTTTGAGAATGAATAAATGAATGGATGGATGGATGAATGAATGAATATATGCGGTGCAGCGATGGGAAACGGATGTGGTCTCCAATAGGGCCAATTTCCAGCACCCTCACTTCTGAGCATGGGCACACCACCCTTCCCATCGCACCCCCGTCCACCCGCACACCCACACACCACACCCCCTCCCCCCCATGATCGTTGAACTAGCCATCGAGAGAGCAGCACGATTGCATAGCTTACCTCCTTGTACTGTACTCCGCACAACCGACCTGACTAAACACTGACCTGGTTCGACTCAACTTCCCGGCGCACCACCTTGTTCCATCCAAAACAGAAAGGACGATAATGCTGATGCATACTGCTGTATGGATACTAACCCCCTGTTCCCCACACACGTCGACAGTCAACGTGCTGGTTCTTGCTGCTTAGGCTTACATCTCGTCGAGCCATCACGCTCTCCCTAGTCTTGAAAATCTCTACATGTGCATCAGATACACGCATCTAGAACCAAGCTGTCAAGTCAGTGATCAATTTGTATGGTCCCACGCCAACGGTTAGCCCTTTTGCCTTCGAAAAAAAAAAAAAAGCAGAGAGCAGAAAACCCCCCGTGTAGTGCTTTGACTTCGCTCGTCCATTGCCGCGACAGCCGTCCTTTGGATCCGAGTTCTCGTTCCTTCGGCTTGGCCTACAGTGCATGTTACATGAAAAAACTGCAAGTGCGCAGAAGGGAATATCTCCACCTCCTAAAGACGAATAGTTTTGCCGTTTCGTCATCGAATCCTCAACCTTAGGAATCCTGTCCCTAATTGGTTATCACCTTTGGTCCACTAAACTCGAAGGCGAAGAAAGGCAGCTGAGAAACGATATTCGATTTTGTCAAGTCATTAATCCTTGACCTAGGTGGTATCGGTCAACAAATTTTAGACCCGAGACAGAGGTTCGCCCGGCATTTTGATACAACCACCCAACCGGCCAGGGAAAGCAAGTCCAACAAGAAAGCACCGCACAAACTTCTCTTCGAAATAACCATCCTTCATCGGGCGTAATTCCACTTTTTAATCTTTCCCCTTCAATTTGCTGGAGAGATCGAGACGAAAGCAATTTAGCTTATATTGGCATTGAACTAATCAAGCATCTTTCCTTTAGTATCTGATATACATACTTCCCGAAATCACTGATGCAGTAAACCTCGAAGCGAGATAGCTAAGGGTTAGTCGTTCAAAGGCTCCCGGGTCAATAGCCAGAATTACGTACCTTAAAGGAAGACTCTCGGGGTAAATTGTGCCTGCTGCAGCTCTCTTCTACACTTATAGCACCTTCAACCTAGCTGCATAAGTACCTACTATTGATTGGTTTGGAATTGAGCCCGAAACTTGCTCTCCCATTCTCCTCGGTCTCAATCTTTTGCATAACACCCAGAGCCCCTCGCACCTGAAGAAATTTCCCGAAACATATCATTCTTAGGTACCAGTACTTTACAAAACCCGATATTTCTTCTATCGAAAAAGAAAAGCCGGAGACAGCAAACGGGGGAAGTACAGACCGATACGAGCCGTATACCCTTGTCGCATCGTGTTACATGCACATGTAGAGACAAAAACAAGGATTTGTCCATCCTGCTACTTCTCTCTCTGAAAACCTATTTCTTTTGGAGGCAGAGGAACTTCACCAGGGATAATTTCGATAGGTTTTTAACTGGAGAACGGCAATTCTGTCAACCGAAATCCTACACTTCAAACAATACCTCGCGTCTCCTAACGGTCCTCTCCACCGGTCTCCTCTGAACAGCGAACCCCCCGAACACTACCAATAATTCCCCGGAACGATCACAGATCTTAATCGAAGGAGCGTAAAATTTTTTTAGGGTGGTGTCCATATACTTTATTTTTATTTTTCATTGACTAAGTGTTTAAAAGGCACACAAAATGGGTTTGCGTCCCCCTTCCTTCCAATTGCATCTTACATAAAAGAGAGCCCACAGATATATACCCTTGACGCCTTTTGTCTCTCTTGTTCCTGCGCGATGCAGAGCTTAATCTGCTAACATATCTTTTCTTGTTTGATCTTTTGCAGATACCTCAAGTAGCGGAGATCATAAGGCCGCACGCCGAAGTGTAAGTCACCAAGAAGGAAAAAATCTCTTCACCAACATTTTGGTACTTTGAAACCAAGCACCTACGCCTCACTGTTCCACGTTTCCTATTAAGACTGCGTTTGCTTTGATATTGCATATGCTTCCCACACCCGTAAATCCGACTTGACCACAAGACCTCATTCACAAGACCTTTATGTCAGGTACCACCTTGCATTCCCAATGGTCAGTGTATATTCAAACAAAAGAAGAAACACAGGCTGCAAGAGGGCTGTTGCTGGGATGAAAGGCGTCTCCCGTTCCCGATACCACAATCTGGGTCACGTTATTCCTAGAAGCAGGCATGGCGTTTACTCGCTGGCTTGCTGTGGTAAGAGACCTGTGGACGCGGAGAGTTGCGCTTCAGATGATTGGACTCGGTCTTTTGAGAAGTTGTCTCCTTCATTTCTCGTCGGCTTTATCATATCATATTCTATCCTTCCTCTATTTTCTGGCGAGTCTTTTCTTTTTACGTCTGTGTATCCCTTACCACACCAGGCTGCGCTGTCAGTGCTCGCCAGGTGCCCTGAACCAGAGCTTTTCGCCTATGGGCCTTTACCCTTTAAGTTGGTACCTGTCCGCGGTGCCTGCCGTTTCGCATGTCGTTCCCTTTGCTCTACCCTTCAACAAATATATAAGCCCTATCTTTTTTTTCTTCTTTCGAGTGAAGCCCTTGAGCAAATAGCACGTTCGTACTACGTAGCTTTTAACGTAGCTACTATAAAGCTCTGCCAAAAGGGAAAATTTTTTCCTCGTCTACTCCCATTCTCTTCAAAATTTCTGGTCTCCCATTTCATTGCTTACGATTCCACAGCCAAAACGCCTAAACGGGTATCTTCCACAGCTCCTTGGTGAGACAGATACCAGGAAACTCAGAGACAAATCCTAGGGAAGGGGACTGGACGTTATCGCCTCTTTATCCTCGCGTATTTCTCAAGGTGTCCTTTGCATTCTCTGGTTTTGTGGTTCGGCTGTGAGGACTAAGTGGTTGGGAGCTTACTTGATCACATTGGTATTATACCCGCCCCTCTTTCTTTGCTATCATCCGAACACTGCATGATATTATATCTACGATGTCTCGACCCCTCTCAAGCTTCCCTATTACACGTCATGTATGTTTCATCCACAGAGACGCCACTTTTTGTGTCTTAGTTGGAGAATTCCTCGATATTTCAATACTCCGAGATAGTATCACGACTTGAGGAGCCAGCAGTCACGAGCTTTGAAGCCAGATTTCAACATCAGCTATACGGTTTGTGACGGCGGTTTTTTTTTTTGCTCCCTTCGGCTGCATACGCCTTACAAGCTTTCTGCCCCATATACAGCTTTCATACAATTTTGAGGCGTGGCCTGGGGGAGAAATGTGGTTTGGGGTATCTTGATATCAGTTTCTTCCTATTTTTGGTTCTATTCCGATCCTTCTTTCGGAATGGAAAATTTCCGAGAATGCAGTCTCCCGTTTTTATGACATATATCTGGGGTTATATTTAAAATGGTACGATGACGGTTTCGCATGGCCTATCCCGAGCGGGCGGTTAGGATGAGGCGAGCGAGCTGGAGTTCGAGAACAACGGAAGCAAGCTGCAGGATACGGAACGCCAATGTGCCTGTCCCACTTCTTTCATTTTAACTCTTTAATTCCCTTGAACACACACCCTCTTCCCCCAATTTCTTTTAACCAGACGTGTCTGTTCACTCTTGGAACCGTGGTACCTTGGAGTAGATGGTAGTCTAGCATTTAGACAACTGAATAAGTGTCTCGAACTCCTTCGTTCTGTTTCATGCAGGGCCCTTCGGCGGTTGGTGAACCAACATGAACAATTACTTTACCTTCTTTACTTTACCTTCCTGGATTGGGAGCAGAAAACCAACCGATAAGAAAGGAAGATGGCAAGGGCACTGAGCGACTTTGGAGGGGGATACCTTGGACAGGGCCATCCATTCACGGTGCTCATTGCATTGTTCGAATTGTCTACGCCTAGGCAACACCCCAAACTGCGCTTACGAAACTACGCACTGCTAGCCCGCTACCCGCATTACACGTTTATCGAGACTTCTATTTGGGAAAGTTTGACAGGAGGCACGTTTCGACGAAGCAATGCAAGACGATCCAGAGGTTTCTATATAAGCTTTATGTGGCAGAGCAGCAAAGAAGTGTGTTGGTGTTGTGTGGTGGTTGGCTGTAAGTTCGGCGCTTTGTGGGGTCCCAAGCTGGCGCGAGACAGAATGGAATCAATCCGAACCCACTTCACTAGTTCTCCGCCTCTTTGTTTCTGTTTCTGATGACGATTGACAGGCTCTTTTTTTGGGGAGAACCTATCATTCCGTGGTTTATTGGAACCGTCAACTGTCATGTCATCAGACGCACGGTACTCAATTGGGCGTCGAATGGAAAGTTCGAGAGATGGAACCCGCACCGGCTAGTAGCTAGTAGCACAGCGGCGGGAACCTGTCCACCGAAGTTCGAGCCTTCTCTTTTTCCGATTCAGTCTTACCCATTCCGTTCAGTTCTTGCCTGTTCTCTACTTATTTAGTGTCATCGCTCTTTAGCGCAGTTGCTGAAGTGTTTGCTCCTTCCTGAGAACAATACTCTGTTATATTCTCGGTCTCGCGCCAAACGACCTCGGAGGAAAAGGGAAAAAGCCAAAAGCCAACAGTGCTGCGGGCTTATTCTTTCTTCTATACGAGAGGCACAGCAAGACACAACAGAACAGAACAGAACGGAACAGGAAAGCTGGCTTCAATTTTCCCTTTATTTCCAGACTGGGCTTCTTCTTTTTCACTTTCTCTTTCGTCTTTGTCCCCATTCACATTGCCGTTCCTGGATCCTTTTCTTTTCTTTTTTTTTTTTGGTTGTGTCCTACTTTTGCGGCGGAAAAATAAATAAAACAAAAAAAAATAAAAATTGCCTAAAAAAACCAACAGCCAATTTGCTGGGGCGTTTTTCTACTTCCGCTGATTCATCTCACTGCCATCTCTTCTTTCTCCATCCTCCTGGACACATCCCTTGAACCTCAACCCTCCCCATTCTTCCTCGTTTTTTGTTATTCTGTTCTTATTCGCACCGTCGCGTGTCTTTTTCTGAGGAAACTAAATTACACAAAAGTTATCTTCTTCATAAATGCCAACCATGCTGATTGAAGGTGGTTCTACGTACCGACAGCGCGACAGATCTCGCTCGCCATATCGCGAACGCAGCGCTCGGAGCCCAAGACACCGCCGACGCTCTTATTCACCTCGAAGCCGGTCTCGCAGTCGGGATAGAGACGAGTACCGGAACCAGCGGAGAGACAATAGGTCACGGAGCCCTATGACCGGGAGCGGAAACCAAGGAGGGTATTCTGGTCATCACGGTGGAAGAGGAGGTCCACCACGCTCATTCGAGGATCGCGCTGCGGCAAAGGAAGCAATGATGCAAAGCGTTCGCGAAAGCTCTCAACAGGACCGACGCGTCTACGTCGGCAACCTTTCTTACGACGTCAAATGGCACCATTTGAAAGACTTCATGCGACAAGGTACGGACTCATCTCTCTGACGGGAACGGTGCTATATAGTCTGGAAAAAATCTGAAATATGTCCTTTCTTTTGTTTTTCTTTCCACGTGATTGTTCTTTTTGGGTTTTGGTTCGACTTTCACGATTGCTAATTGGTCTCGTGCCACTCTACAGCCGGCGAAGTCCTTTTCGCTGATGTTCTCTTATTACCGAATGGAATGTCGAAGGTGGGCACTTGAAAGAACGCGGGTGTTCTTTTCTTTCACAATGGTTTTCTTGGTTATATTACATATTTGGATGTGGATTTTGGATTGACGGGGTCGGACTGGACGTCCATGGGTATTTGTAGGGATGCGGGTAAGCCAGCACTTCTTTAGCATATAACCACACCTTAATTTCAATCGTGGCTAACATTTTTATTCCTAGAATTGTGGAATACGCTACGAGAGACCAGGCTCAAAACGCTGTCAACACCCTCAGCAACCAAAACCTTATGGGTAGACTAGTATATGTTCGAGAGGTATGGAGGAACTTTCTCTCTAGCCGGATAATCAGTGGACGACGAGAAAGGAGGCGCTTTTTTATTGTCCTAATGATGAATCCGGAGGTCCGAAGTGATGTGAAGGGGATATGATGGTTAAGGCTAAGCTATGTTGGATTAGGATCGCGAGGCAGAACCGAGATTCACTGGGCCTCCCGGCGCCGCAAGAGCTGGAGGGCCCGGTGGTGGTGGCGGCGGCGGATATAACGGCGGCGGATACGGCGGCGGCAGCGGAGGGGGTGGTTACAACTCGAACAACTCGATTGGTGCCTCATCCGGTGGAGCTGGTGCCGCTAGCGGCGGAGCTGGCGGTCGCCAAATCTTCGTATCAAACGTGAGATATCTGTCCGATTTGGTAGTGTGCTTTTGGTAGGCTAACGGGGGAGTTTAGTTGCCCTTCCATGTCGGGTGGCAAGACCTCAAGGACATGTTTAGGCAAGCTGGTAGGTTGCCTGATGACATCCTTCATAGAGAACCGCCTTGTCCCCTTGGAGGGTTTGGGGTCCCCCCGAAATTGAAGCTAATCTTTGACTAGGTTCCGTGGTTCGAGCCGATGTACATGTGGGACACGACGGACGACCAAAGGGCAGCGGTATTGTCGCTTTCGAAACTCCTGAAGACGCCCGAAATGCTATTCAACAATTCAACGGTCATGATTGGCAAGGTCGTACCCTCGAAGTTAGAGAGGATCGATTTGCTGGAAGCACTCCATTCGGTGGCGGTGGTGGTGGCGGTGGCGGTTTCGGTGGTGGACGTGGTGGCTTCGGAGGCGGGCGTGGTGGCTTCGGAGGCGGTCGCGGCGGCTTTGGAGGCGGTTTTGGAGGCGGCCGTGGTGGATTCGGCGGAGGACGTGGCGGATTCGGAGGAGGAGGCTACGGCGCTGGCTCAACTGGCGGTGCTAGTGGAGGGGACTTCAACACCCCAGCTGCTCAACCAAACCCATTTACAGACTTCGCTACCGGCGGCGGCGATAGGGCTCCAACCATCTTTGTCCGAAATGTACGATGACGGTTCCTATTTTTATTGGAAGAAAGATTTTTATGACTGACTTGGTGAAACACAGCTCCCATGGTCTACGAGCAACGACGACTTGGTGGAACTATTCACCACGATCGGTAAGGTCGAACGTGCTGAGATTCAGTATGAGCCAAGCGGACGCTCTCGTGGAACCGGCGTCGTCCAATTTGATACAGCCGAAAATGCCGAGACGGCCATTTGTAAGTTTTATCTGGGCATTTTTTCTTTTGGAAATCAACTAACGTGGCTGCTCCCTAGCCAAATTCACTGGTTACCAATATGGTGGCCGTCCACTAGGACTTAGCTTCGTTAAATATACCAATGTTAAGGGCGGCGATGCTATGGAGGGTACGGAACAAACTATATCACAGGATCAGATGCTTTGAAGAGGTTTTCTTGGAGTTTTTCTTGAGGGGGTGCACTGAAGGAAGAAACTGGAAAAGATGGTCTAACGGGTATATTTAGGGGTATCGACGGAAGTTTTATCAGATTTGTAAAGAGATGGGAAAGTCCATACACATACACCTTATGCACAGGAGGGGCAAGGAGAGGTACCTAATTAAGCTTTGCTCACGCTTCGTCCTTAGCTGTATGCACTGGCCTTAATATCCATTCGTGTCACTTTTTTTTTTTTCGCTACAGAATGTCGAATGTCGTCTCTTCTTTTCCTATCTCTGTTCTATCAACGCTACTCACACTGTATTGCTTGCATCATTTTCGGAGGCTTCGATTCCTTTCGGCAATTTGCATGTCTTTCACACTCTTCCTCTGCTTTCAAACACAGAGAGAGAGGTGTCTTTCCTTTGATTTTTCTTCTAGATAAAATGAACGAAAGGCTGCGAGAACGAGAGCGAGAACGCAGCTTTCTTCTTTCTTCAACCACCTCTTCTTTTCATCCTCTTCTTCCTTTTTTTTTTTTTTCAAAATTGGCCGTTATTTTTCAAGTTCCCGTTTTTGTTTATGTTATGGATGCTCGTCCTATGCTTTTCCTCTCCTCGTATAAGTACGTTTAGTTAGTCCTCAAGCTTCGCTAGCTGGGCTGGTATAATATCATTTTTATGCTCATAGAATAATTCGTTCGCGGTGCGTATGCATATGAAAGCCAATTCAGCTTAAGTCTCGGGCACTGGTTATTGGATAGAATTCTAGAACTGCATCCTGGCCATTCTATTACTATTTAAGAAAGTTGGTACCGTACATACTCAAGAACCCAGGCTTAGCAGTTCTCAAGATTGATAAGCTATAAAGGCAGTCTACCTTCCGTTTATAAATCAACCTGCGTTGGTCTCTTGTCGTCAAACCTGCATCCTCAGCTGTCTTTCAGTTATCAATCAATCAATCGATCAAACCTTCGATCTGATAAACCCTTTTCCCTTTACATTGCAACCAGAAACCCCACGGTTTTGCTATATCAACCCGCAACCATGGCCGAAAACTCAGGAATAACCGCCGAAACCCTCGAGCAAACGATTCGTAGCAAGTTGGAGGCTACTTATGTTTCTGTTATCGATAATTCGGGTTCGTCATTTCTTCCTCCCTAATTTTTTTTTGATTTTTTTTTGGGGTATCTCGTGAGCGAGATCGGAATTTTGTTTGGGTGTGTGCGATATGATGCAATTATCTCTGTTTGTTATCTTATCAGATCCAATGTTTTTCCGAGTCTACATGTTACATTGGTTACACGACAGTGCAAGGTAGACGAGTCTGATGATTTGACGTTTGCTGACTTTAAAATCTTCGGTATTTTCTTCTCTTTGAATTGATTAGGTGGATGCGGACAAATATTCGAAGCCGTTATTGTGTAAGACCCTTTTTCTCCCCTCCTTTCCTCTCTTTTTCCATTCGTCTTAGTTCTCTTTTTTGTTTGGTATATTGACTCTTAGATTTCGACTCCAGATCCCCTCAGTTCGAAGGCAAGACGAGCTTGGCAAAGAGTCGGTTGGTGAATACAAACTTAAAGGAAGAGATTGCGCAGATACATGCTTGGTCGAACAAGACTTATACGCCGGCGCAGTGGGAGAAGCTGAAGGAGAAAGAGGCGGGGGAGGCGTGATGGGTTTGAAAGCTTTTGCGGGAACAGCTGCAGCTATAGATGTTGGATTCGGGGACACATGATACCAAGGAACGGGAACGGGTCAGGCGAATTAAACGACGATTTCAACTTCACGGGGTCGACTGATCGTGATATATCTTTTTATTTTTATATTTTTATATTTTTATATTTTTATATTTTTATATTTTTATATCTTTGGAAGCGCGCAGAATATTCGAATATCTGACATTCGTTTTAGAAAGTCGAATTAATATCGTTTATCTAGAGCTATGGTACGGCACTACTTCTTTCACAGGCTAGTATCTATTCGTTAATTAACGAGCTCTTCCCGATGTCCCCACGAAAGGATGAGCAAAAGAGAGAGAGAGAGCCCCACTATCCCCACGATTCCTTACGTTAGACTTTTATAGATTCTTGCTTTCTCGTTTATTAGTTCCTTTTTCTGCGATGGGATTTCCGGGGCGAAACGGCAATGACTTAATTAATTAACTTGCACAGTCAGTCCCCTGTTACTGTCACGAGGTAGTTTGGAAGGACAAGAAAGTATGGTTTAGTGAATTAGTGTCGCAAAATGCGCGCCGTTGATTTAAATGTTAGACTGGGGTAGCTTCTTTTACTCTCTCTCTCTTTTTTTTTTTCATTTTCGAAATTTCGTGAACTTCCGAGCTTGCTTGTTTCTTTCTGAGGTTGAAAGTCTCTGTCTCTTCTTTTTTTTCCCTTTGTCCGAAGCTAGATTTTTTTGGAGGTTTTAGTTGAATAACTTTCGAAAAGGAAGCTTAAATTAACGTCGTTCCCTCGAAGTCTTTAAATCTACACCGTTAAATATTATATTCCCTTTTCAATTAAATTATCGTTTCTTTTCGACGGGCACATCGCCTCCTTATACCTTCCTTTTTCTTTTTTTTCTCTTAATATTCTTCTTCTCCTTCTTGGATTTTCGGATTTCGGCTTCTTTCCATCGGATTGTGCGGGCACAAACGAGTCAGTGTGGTTTTTTTCCTCCAAAAAAAAAACGGGGTGCAGTTGTCCGAGGTCGTGCAAGGGTTCTTAGCATACATACATGCAAAGTTGAACCCGAAATTCGTCTTGTTCGAGCTTGCTGCCGCTGCTAGCTGCCAAAAGGGAAGCCGATGAATCTGTTTGGCCCGAGTACCCGAGTTGTCCGATAGCTCCATCCTCGAGCTCTCAAGCTCCAATTACGATTACAATTACAAGTTCGAATTTCGAGTTTCGAGGACGATAATTATTTCGACGCCACCAATTGAGCTTAAACTTTTTTTTAAATAGACAAGCAAGCTCCTTGAAGAAAGAAAAAGAAGAAGAAAGGAATATTTTCTGGAGGAAACTAGTATATATACTTTTTTTTTTGAAGTTTGGGAGGGAGAAATGGCAGACTTCATTGCCAGTTCTATTGCTGGGAGTGCTGCCATTGTGCTGGGGAATCCGATTGATGGTACGAAAACAGTTAATTGATTGATTCCCTTACATAAAAAAACCCAGCCCGCAAATTTAAACGGTTATGCAGGGTCCTTTCCGTGGAATTTGGGACTCGATGCACTACGGGAAAAATGCAACAATGAGGTTTAACTAACACCGCGTTGAATACTGTTTTTTGAATATGTCTAGTTATCAAGGTCCGTCTACAGACCGGAATTACGAATACTCGATCTACCGCAGCTAGATTCGAGACTTGGACGTCATTATTTCGAGGTACGTACCTGCTTATTCTATTTCAGTTCTCCAGAATTAGCTCTAATATTACTGTTACTTAGGAGCCGCAGCCCCAGTCCTCGGTAACGGCGCCCTAACCGCTCTCCTCTTCGTCGGCTACAACCGTACATTAGAATACCTCGAATCGACTCCATACCAACAAATCAAATCCCCTTCTCTCACGAACGTTTGGCTGGCAGGTGCAGCCTCAGGTCTAGCCTGTTTCATAATCTCCGCTCCAACAGAGGTAATAAAATGTCGAGCACAGATCTATCCATCCCATCTACACGACATAGCCACCCGTGGAACCTCGACCACGAGTGGTATACAACCCCCCAGTGGCACCGGAAACGCACCGTCGAGTTGGAGAGTTGCTCGACAGGTCTTTGCGACGAGTGGGGTTAGGGGATTGTATCATGGTGGGGTTATTACCAGTTTGAGAGATAGTATTGGGTACGGATGGTATTTTTGGGCGTACGAGGCTACGAAGAATGCATTGGGATTGGAGAGTGAGATGGCTACTTCGTTGGTGGCTGGAGGGATTGCTGGGTGTGTTACTTGGGCTAGTATCTATCCCTTGGATGTGGTGAAGACTAGAGTTCAAACCCAGAGTTTGATGGGGCCGGTTATTAATGGTGGTTCTTGTGGAGAGAGGGATGGGTTATTGGGCGGGAATGGTGGTGGTGGTGCGGCGAGAAGGTATGAGATGGGGGCTTGGGATCATACGAAGGCGATTTGGAGGACTGAAGGGGTCAGAGGCTATTTTTCGGGCTTTTGGTGGTGTATGGGACGTTCGTTTTTTGTTAATGCGGTTCAGGTATGTATCGATTCTTGTTCCTTTTTGCAATTGATCACTGGGGTTTCTACATATACTAATAGATGTATGGTGGGTTTAGTGGGCGTTATATGAATATATTATGAGGGCATTGAAATCTGAATCGGCGGATAAGTCGTTCGAAACTCGTGAGCAGGAATACAGTTATTGAATCTATAGTACCTGCTGAACCTCCGACGGATGGTGAAGATTCCTACTTTTTTGTTTATAATTATTCTTTTCTTTTTAAAAGGTGGGTGGTTTTGATTGCAGCGCTTTGGAGGTCGGCTTTGTGATATTTTATGTTTTAGATTTGGGAGGTACCCTTTGTTACTCTTGAATCGATACCCCATTTTGCAAATATACTTTTTTTTCCCTTCTTTACTTCGTTCTTTCCGGTCTTTTTGACAAGAGAAACGAAAATGCATGTATACCGGTGGCTGTGTGGAAATATGAGATGCATCTCGGTTGACTAGTTCCAATTAGCCAATTGATCGCAATTAGATAACATTATTTTCTATTTTTTTTGACTGAACGCATGCCTCAACCTGATCTAAAACGCCAAAAATATACTTACAAGGCTGATATTACAAACGTCTACAAGCTAGTATAATACACAATCGTAAAGAATAAATGGGACCACAAGCGGCCTGGGATTGTACCAAACTATTGGCTGAGAAACTTCTTACTAACCTTCACTACGGCTTATGTCCAAAGAGAGACCTTGCCACTCGCTGTACCACCGACAACCCAGTCCTGTGTCGGGTGGAATACGGTGACTGCGGGTACGGCAGTGACTAAATCCCCACCTAGTTGTGCGAGCATGTCTCCATTCTCGGTGTAGATATCGACGAATCTATTCATGTTCCCTATGCAGAATTTTTGTACCCCGGTAGGAGATTGTTGCCATTGAGCTCGAAGACTTTTTTTTTTTCAAACTGTTAGTATATCGCATTCATGACTTGAAAGTATAAGGGAGGAAATACTCACATCGTAACCCATCTCCCCGTTTGGTTATTATGTTTAATAACCGCGCTCGGATCCACACTAGCCACTTCATGTCCCTTCTCCCATCCTTTGCTTTCTCCAAAGTCGAATACTTTGACCGTATCGTCGTAACTCGTCGTTACAACTTTACCGTTCGAGCTCCAAATCGCGCTGCTGACCGATAACTTCGACTCATATTCCGCCACCATGTGTGGTTTTGCTTCATCCCCCTTCCCCACCATTTTTCTCAAATCCCATATCTTCATCGTCCGGTCCAAACTCGCTGTAGCGGCGAACCAGGGATTCCGAGGGTTTAATGTAAACCCTCCTATCTTCTTCTCATGACATTCCCAGATCGTGGCTACCGTCGACCTTTCACGTAGGTCTTTACGGCCCAAGAAACCGGTTAATGTCGAGAAGTAGATAACATTGGGATCGTAGAAGTCTAGACCTGATATCGCGGCGTCCTTGTGGAGTGGTTCGTTGGGATCCTCGGCGGCGAAGACTTCATCGGACTTTTGGGCTACTAGATCTAATTTTCGGATGGAACCGTCGTATGAGGTGGAGTATATACTTTCAGCACTATCTGGAGCGAATGAAAGGGTTGCGATGGAGCGGGAGTGGAGTTTGAAGGTTGAGATGTTGGGGATGTGGGATAGAGCTTCTTCGTCTTCTGATGGGTCGTAGTCTGGGTTTGGAAGGGGGTTCGAGGCGTCGAAGATACCGAGGTTGCCGATTTTGTCGCCTGCGAAGACGAGGTTTTTGGAGGTTGTAGGGTGGAAGGACATGCAGTATATTCTTTCTGGGGTGATTTTTATATCTAATACAAGCAACAGTGAGGGAGGGTTTGGTTAGCAAAATAGGTTGTATAGCAATTGAAAGTATCAATTGTGACGATTGGTTTTTAACTTACCCACTGGATCGAACCTTTCATGCAACTTCAATCCCATCATCTTCCTCCTAACAGCCCTAAGATCTGAATCTGTAGTCTTGGCCACATCTTCGTCTGAAAACGTTCGGGCATATCGTTCCCCTTTAACATCGGACAAGAAATTTGTAGTCCGATCCCATTCCTTCCCAGGAGTTACAATATCCGATAATGATAATTCCCCAGCGACCCTCTGCCTCTTCGCTTTTTCAACCTGCTTGAATGCAGCGTCTTCCGCCTCCGCCTTACGTTTTGCGACCTCGGAGTCTGCAGGTATACCCTTTAATCGGGAGGAAGTACGACGTGGAAGGAATTCATCCGGAACCTCCTTTTTTATAGTCGCAGCACGGGAACGTTTTTTAGATGATGATGATGATGAAGTAGATTTTGAAGCTGAAGCTAAAGCTGCTGCTTTCTTTTCCGAGGCGGCGCGGAAGGCACTTGCTGCTTGGGTTAGGTCGAGCTCCTGGAGGAGTTTTCGGTTTTTTTCGATGTTTTCCAGACGTTGGCGTTCGTAATCGTTTTCCATGATTGGGAAGGGTTATAAGGAAGTGTTATTCTGTGATTGTTAGGGAGGGGGGGTGTTTATGGGGAGAGTGTGTGTGGTGGGAAGGAGAGAAGAGGGTGAGGGTGGAAGGTGACAAGATGGGATGCAATACAAAATGGCTTGGAGGGATGAGGCAAAGGCCGTGTAGCTGTGGATTTCAATCAACGCGGTTTAAACGTTATTCAACACGCGTTGGTGGTGGGACCACGCGTTAAACGACTGGTGCTCTCCTGAGCTTAGCTGCTTATCCCATCCCATGGCTGGAACGAGACTAAGAAAAGACCACAAAAACTGTATAGATTATACATCGTCTGAATGGTTGATTTGCACTCAAAATCAAAAGAATTAGGTTGAGTGTATATAAGCAGATTAATGACTACTAAGAGAGAAGGTGACATGTAGCTGGGTGAGCGTCTGGCCTCGAGACTACTTCCAACACATATCGAAATGTTGGATTTTTGGCCTTTCCTTCAGATCAATTGAACCCACCATGTGATGTGATTGAATTCACGAAAGCCGTTAACCGTTAACCGTAGGCCGAAGTCAACTCTTTTAAAGCAAACTTTGACAATGGAAGGATATAACTTGGGGGTCGCTCCGGAGTCGAAAGATATATTATGGGGGTTATACTACTCAACCCTGTCTGTGGAACCTCGGATTCTAGACTCGCCGCTTCAAGCATGGTCGGGAGTACACGGCGACGCTGGCGTCTGGGCCCGAGACTAGGTCGGGAGCTTAATTAAATTAACACTCGCCTGAATTATCATGTGAACATAATGCAAGCAGGGACGTTTTCTGGAGGGCGGATTTGAGGGGTCCTATAACTAACGCCTACTGATTATGCAAGCTACAGTAAGTTTTTTTGGTTCTTGTTTTTTTTGTTTTCCCACACAAGAAACTGTAGAATTAAACGACATGATATCGATATCCCGTTTTTTCGCCATAACCAATAATAATTTGGGGATTAAAAACCTTGCTGCTGTGGTCGCACATAGATTTCTAGATCGGTTTGATCTCGCAGGTCGTGGTGCCTAACTAGCGCGGTTACATTAAGTTTTTCAGTTTGAATTTTTGTGATAGGTCATAAGTGCGAGTGCTCTTCAGCCTTCTTTGTACTCATATTCCACATTATTCGCCGAAATTTTGAATAGTACAACCCGAATTACAGAAACTTAAGGTTTATAGAAGGTTTGCCTCAGTAGAAGGCTAAGATCCTGTAGATTTTGGAGCTGCCCGGGCCAGATTAATAAAAGAACGCACCTACATATGTCCCTCGAAAATCAAATATTATCTTATCTGGAATATATTTCCTGCGGCTAATCTTGCCATCCTTTTTTCTTTTTTCTTTTTGGTTTTTGGTTTTTGAACAATAGAGTTAAGTTCCTATCAGGCGTGGCGGTCCAGCTCGATATTACCCCCCATGCATGCATGCATGTTCAAACAACCTGCAACCTGCGAATGCACATTCGCGGCACAGCGCCATATACAATATCCATTTTATTGGATTCTCAACTGAGACCTTCCCCTCCCCCCTCCCCCCTTTTCGCCCATTCATTTCGCAAAAACTATCCTACGATAAAAGAGCATTGAAGACTATGTATGTACGCCGAATGAATATATATATATATGTAATGACACGGGTGGGGGGCAACGTTGAACAATGGATGGAGGTTTGAGGAAAGGTCCTTGCGCTGCATTGCATTGCATTGTCACGATTGTGGATACTGGGACAGCGAAGTTGAAGATATATCTGCAGCATGTTATTACCGATTGGATGTTTATCAGCTGGTTGAGAATATGGCTTGTTTGAAATATGTTTTTTGAATGGATACTGAGGGTTATTTTGTCACTCAAGCATAGTATGTATAAATTGGGGTGGCCGCGCCTTCGGTCCATTGACCGTTTGATGTACTGGACGATTCTCCGATTTCTCGAGATCTAGAGGAGGGATTTATAAATCCATTCCAATCTTTGTCGCATTCCAAAGTCCCAGGCTGGGTTTACGGTATCAACTTAATTGATCGCGCTCTCTCTCTCTCTCTTTTTCTTCTTTTTTTCTTTCCCCTAAAGAGGAAGAGGAGAAGGATGATAATTATCCCCTTCCATCCCCTCAAGATCATAGCGGGTCTTTTAGGCTCCTGGATTGCCTTTGTGATATGTCGCTGGATATACCGTCTGTCGCCTCTCCATCCTCTCGCGAAGTTTCCTACCCCGAGTCGGTGGGGATGCATATCCGAATGGTATCATTTCTATTGGAACGCCATTCATGATGGTCAACTTGTGGTTAGGTGTGAAGAATGGCATAGGAAGTTTGGTGAGTGGGTTTGTTCGAATTCTCTATATTATATGTATTTGGGTACCTAGTAGTAGGAGGCCAGTATCTGCTTGAGCTATATCGCTGCTGCGATATCCGGCTTGGCAACGCATTGGGTTGGGTACAACGCACAAATTGCAACAAAAGATTATCGATTATGATGCCATATTAGTGATCTATGCTGTTTTCGTTCTGGAATTTGGTCAATTAATTGGACGCCGGATTTAAAATTCAAAGAGTTCCTTAAGAAAGGGTTGCGGGTTTTAGTTATTGGATTAAGGCAACCGTGCTTTGCAAATGATATACATATGGCTTCACGGTATCGTTCTAACAATATTACAATGGCTTTTAGGTCCGATAATTCGCATCGGCCCCAACGAACTTCATATCAATGACCCTTCCTTCTATAACACCATTTTCTGTACAACTTACAAATTCCCCGTTCATACCCCTAACTATGACTGGCAAGGCCCCGTAGACATGAACATGGCGAACCCGAATGTTGCCGCACACCGAGCCCGCCGCGGTCTCGTCAGTCCTTTCCTCTCAAAAGCAAGTATCCAAAAGCTCGACAAAAACATTATGAAGCACGTAAAAAACTTTGTGGAAATAATAAGTCCGACACCGAAGACCCTGGGTAAGGACTGTGAAAGGCTCAAAATGGAAGTTGTTATAAAACCAGGCGACGGAGTCAATGTGACAAAGTTATTGAGAAGGCTTACTGGGGATGTGATTAGTGAGTATGGGTATAGCGAAAGTTTTGGGCTATTGTCCTCGGATAAGAATATTTGGTTTATTCAACCGATTGCGGACTCTTTGGAGATATTTCATTATTTGCAATTTGCGTGGCCGGTTACGTATGCTATGTCTGCTATTCCGAATTTTCTTTTGAAGACGGTGGTGCCTAGGGAGTTCAGGGGGTTCGCGGAACTTGAATGGGTAGGTCTATTTCTCTCTCTCTCTTCCTCTCTTCTTTTTTTTCTCTCCTTTGGGTCTTCTTTTTTGGTCATCCTTGGTTCGTTGTCGATAACAGCTTCTGTTTCATTGGCTAGACACTTGAAGAACAAATCGATGGGTTTCTTCGAAACCCTGATACTGCGAAGGCAAAAACAACTCACAAAACGATATTCGAAACTCTCGTTGAAGGTGATTCGGAAATTAAGCTATCGAAACGTGCATTAGTGGGCGACTCAATGGTTCTCATTGGTGCTGGAACAGAGACCACGGCGACTACAATAGCAGAGGCAATGTACAGAGCATGCATCTACCCGGAGCTGCAAGCACGACTTCACGAGGAGCTAGTCAAGGCATTTCCGAACAAAACCGATGAAGTAACTCTCGCGAAAGCAGAGAAGGTGCAATATATCATTGCATTTCTGAAAGAAACACTGAGAATAGCGGCGCCGATACCGGGCAGAATTGCGAGACAGACCCCTATTGAAGGCGCAATGTGCAAAGAGACATTTCTACCTGGTCGTGTAAGTCTACAATCCGCAAATGGCGTTAATCAGAAACTACTAGATACTTTTACTGATAGCTAGGGATTGTTTTCAATCGGTCTTTGCCGTTTCCGCTAGACTGTTGTTTCGATGTCTATACATTTGATGCATATGAATGCCGAGATATATCCGAATCCGCATAAGTTCGACCCAGAACGCTGGGTGAACAGTGATCCCGCTTCATTACAGGAGAAATATTTCGTCCCGTTTAGTAAAGGCTCACGAGGGTGCATTGGAACAAAGTAAGTGCCCAACATTCCCGTCAGTTCTGCTGCAGCGAAGATATTCTGCAGATAATTCTCTAGCTAGCTTGACTAAGATAAGCAAAACGAAGCCTTGCATGGGCGGAAATGATAACAGTAATGGCAGCGACGTTTAGAAGGTATAAACTGAGTCTGCATCCGGACAATAAGAGGACAGAGGAGTGGGTAGACCGGGTTGCAAGGTTTGCGATTGGCGATTTTCTGGCCACGGCCGAAGAGTATGAATAGATGTTGATGAGGTGGCAATTGCATTAATTGTATCTGCATCTGATTTAGCTTGCCTGACATGTATTGATTAACAGTTCATGTCAACTATTGTATGCAGGTATGGTACATCATTCATGAGGTTTCGTAGTGAACTAGGATACCCGCCAGAAGGATGCTTGTGGTTCGATGTGGTGTGCAGCTGCAGCTACGACTAGTCTGGAGGCGCGAGTACGGAGATGGCGCTAGCTCTGCGACCCGTCGACGTTGCGAGCCAATCAAACAAAAAAAAAAAACGTTAGCTACTATATCTATGGTGGTGGTTATGCCTACTCTAGTATGCCTTTGAAGATCTAGGGTCCTTTTTAATAAGGAATATTGATTTAGCTTATATATATTCTTTATTTTGACTCTAATCTAGTCGCAAATAGCCTAAGTTAGCGATACTCAAAACCCGAAGCTGCCTTTTCAACAATTAAGAATACGATATTACATTTTCAAAACGGTTGGAAGGGTCAGATCTCGATCTTAGTCAATAATATGGCAATTGCCTATTCATCGCGATCGGTCCGGCTAGGATGCTATTATGGTTTTATCTCAAGTTAGGATATTCCACGAATGTATGAGGATAAACCGAAAGGGGCTATGATATCATGATTTTATAGATTCCTCACAGATAAGCAAGCGTGGCCGTTACGTATATGCGACAGAGAGCTCAGCAGCTGTCCTGTAGTAATATGTGTATCATGATTTTATATAGATTCCTCACAGATAAGCAAGCGTGGCCGCATATGCGACAGAGAGCTCAGCAGCTGTCATGTAGTCATATTTGTATCAACCACTGCATGCTATGGCTGCATCAGATCTAGATCTCCTTTGGTGCCGTATACCTGTGAGGTTTCAATCCTCCTGCACATGCCCCGAAAAGAATGTTTCCCAAAACAAGCTTAAATTTACCTGCAGAAACCTTCTTACGCCATGCAATTCTATCTGTCGAAATATAAGGAGTGCATTGTACAATATTTTGATGCGGGTTTATGATTTTACCGACTGGAATGAAACTTCAATATCGATTCTTATATAGGACATCGAGCATTACTCTTAAGCTCTTGAGACTCATTCTTGAAGACCTACCTATCGGATATCCGGAAATGACAGGTCTAGGTTTTTCTAGATTTTTAGATATATATATCCATCGAGATATGTGCCCCGTCGGAATACTAAAGCTTGGTCATTGGCTATTTTCAAATAAAGTTTATAATTTAGGCATTCCAGGGTCTGCGTGATATGATTGCAATTGTCTGCATCATCGGCAGGATGCTTGCGGGGCGGTCCATCGAGTGTCACCCGAGACAAAAAAATTAGCTCCCGCCCCCCTCCAAGGAACAAGACTTCAAATACTCCGAATCGAGGTAGAAGGAAGTGAGGGGTGATACAGCGGGACCAGTTGCTTCCGACCAGACCGGAATGCTTGCCAACATGCAGGATGCAAACTTAGGCCCAGATAGGCGAGGTCGCATGGCCATGGGAACTCAACCAGCTTATGGAGGAGAAGCCTCTGGATCTAGTCTGTTCGGGTGCTGCGGTTGACGGGTTGACCAACCGGTGGCCCCCGCTCTCTGAGGCTGAAGCTGAGCTGCGTACCTCTCTGAATTTACATTCAGTCTCAAGGGAAAAAGCGAGACGGTGGCAAATCGGACAAGCTGCAGCGGGTAAGCCTTGCACGCAGCTGCGCAGCTACTTAATGTTTATACAGGAAGTATCGTGTGGAGGAGACTACAGTTAACGGTTTACGTTTAATTCGGTATAATCTGATTGCCTCCGAACTAAGATGAACTACTCGCCATCGTAGCGCTCACGGGGTTTGAACTTAGAGGGAATGGAAGGGGGAAAAAAAAAAAAAAAAAAAAAAGGAGAGTGAATTTCTTGGTATAACTTGTGTATGTACGTATTAGTCTCGAAGCTCAGAGCCGCTGCAGAACTTTGAGGAAGGTATTCGAAACTTGGGATTATTTTCGACGTCACTGTATTGTTCGTTCTATCATGAAACTTTAGGCGTATACACAGAAGCTTAGAAGCTGCAAGCATGTCTTTACGATCTAGTTGAATTCCATTCAATGCAATACCAGCCGGTGGCTTCCTCCTGTCAATCTGGTTACCAAATCAATTGCAAAACGGCTATCGGAAGCCAAAGTCGGGCTGCCTTGCGACTGTAAATAATACCTGTGCCCGTTGTCGGCTGTACATGTCCCTACGTTGGCATGCGTAGTGCATAATGTGTCTCGGACGTACAATGTACGGGTTCACGGCTTTAAACGAGAGCACCCATGTCCTCGATTGCGACTAACGTTTCGGCTCAAAGAAGATACTTTCACATCGACCGATCGAGAGGACAGTGCAGGGACACTTGGCCTGGGTTCGCGGACCTCTATGTTCTGTTGATATGTCCAGCTCGAACGGAACGGTAATATAATGCATGCTGCACTATTGCATTAGCTTTAGCTATCGACTGAAGCGAGAATTGAGCATTGTTATTCAGAAGACGAGGACGAATCGGTAGATGTCGTCTCATTGAATTCGAATTCATGTGCATGCCATGGCACTCTCGGAGAATGATGGCTTTCCGGGTTGACGAGACCTCCTGACCCTGTTAACGTCAAAAGATAATTAAAAGAAGAAAATAACATAAGATAAGATAAAATAAAAAATAAAAAATAAAAAAAAAAGAGAGAGAGAGAGAATAAGCAATAGGAAATAAAATAAAATAAAGTTAAATAGAATGGAAATAAAATAAAATAAAATGTGTCTGGCCAGGCTCTCGATCGGTGTTAAATCCAATGGTTTCCCTCGATCGAGTCAGTTCGGCTTACCAAACAAATATTCCAACAACCGACCAGACTTCCAGCATGCGCACAAAAACCGTTTAATCATTTGAACGTTCCCATAATTCAGACCCTATAGTATGCCAGTCTATAAGATTCGTATAAAAACATGCACTGGGGCGTACGCGGATTTTAAATACTCAAAAGGTATGTTTTTTTTCCTTTTTCACACGCAAAACGGGTGGTGGCTACTTCATATATCAAATTTGAGCGCCCGATCTCTGTGCCCTTTTTTCGTTTCGCAACTTCCTCGCTGAATCGGTGGCAGATTTCGTGTTAATCTTATCACTGTCCCTGACTACTTTCTTCTAGTCCACCACCGGGCATCCCTTTGACCCGAATCTTTGGCTCTCCCCTCAAACGAGACAGCCGCCTGATCGTTCTCTCAAGTTCTGGATCCGAGAATCGATCCCACGTTCCAGCGTTCTAGAGGAATTCAACTCGGCATAATTTGCCGCATAGGAAAAAAAAAAAAAAAAGAAAAAGAGAGTTATTAGGAGAGGATACAATACGACAAATCTTGTATCATTATTGCAGCTCGTAGTAGCTCCAACTACCTACCAGACGGCTTCCGTCTAGTCCCGCAAAAAAGGGTCTTCGTTTGTACGTCTTTCAGTCTGAGGCTTGTACCCAGGCGTACTCGGTCTCTCCTCGGAACCCCTCCTTTCTGGTGCATTCCTTTCATTGGGCCGCTAGTTCTCATAGTGAGCGTTCTTAGATCTATGTGCTACTCTATGAGCTGTACATACTGCCGCCAATAAAAATTGCAGAGTCCTGAGCTTGGAAACCATCTCAGATCGGATACCATTACAAGCGCACGAGGGGCTTGCATCGGACGACATATCAGTTTTTGGATTTCAGGGCTAAGGCGTTGCATCCACACCCGTAGCTTTAGCTCGGTAGGCCTATAGGTTGTCTATCGTCTGACTCTGTCCAATAGGTGCTCTTTGGATAGTTGGGGAGTGCGTGCGTGGCATAATTGCATATCCATCCCTTACCTGTTTCTCTTAAGGTTGGCCTCTTGCGTCTCCCGAGTCTCGCCGTTTCAATTCATATCTTTCCTCATCCGAAACATTCCCTCTGATTTGCCTTCAGAGATCGGTGGACCCCCCTGAGATCCATTTCCTTGACTAAACTTGCCTAGTCTAGAACCTTTGGGCATCCTCTGCCAAACAACCATTCGATAGCTCTTTATCCATTACTCTGATCTTAGGAATCCTGCAAGGCTAGGCTTCTATAAAAATAAGATAGCTTCGTCTACCCTGGTCAGCCGTACCGCTCGTCCCGCGGAGCGAACTAATCGGTTCCGTTCGAGGTGCATATACGGGCGACCCTCGTCGAAGGACCCTTCTATCACGCAAAGAAAGGAGTGGAAGGAGAGAAATAGAAGTAAGAGGGGGAGGGGATCCCAACCTTGTGATTATAGCTTGTCTTGTTTGCCCAGGACACGTAGCTGGAGGCTTCATAACTTGCATTGAGTATATACGCTAGGGGCAGCCACCAAGGATTTTTTGTTTCCCCTCGAGACCCTTCTGCGATACTATGCCCTTAACACCTACAATGCCACCCACAAGGAATTCGACACTTAGAACGGAGCGGACCCATGAAGAGAATCAAGAACGGTAAGGGATATCACTACATTTCTTGGCTGGATACCACTTGTGGCCATGCATACCATGTTTTACCCTCTTCTTCGTTGAGCCGTATCACGTATGCCGCACAAGATTAGGCTCCTATCTTTTTTTATGCTTCACAGACTTGCATATTGTTTGCATGGGTTCGCCAATAGTTTGCTGTCATTTGACTAACATGTATCCACATCTGCGGTTCATAGTGCCTATATTGCGGCCTCCCACCGGACAGACAGAAGTCTCGAGGCCCGTATGGAATCGGCGCGAAGGGCGTCTGAAATCCATAAACAACGGACGGGGAAATTCTTCAAGATAACGGAGAAAGCTGTACTAGCAGGGGAGGTGTATATGGACGACGACGACGAAATCCCAGCACCATACTACCAACTTGACCAACAACTCAAACCAGATGCCCCCAATCGAGAGGAATTCTTCAAAAGATTCGTGGATTACCTCACCGTCAATGTTGGTCTACGGCGTAGGTTAGAATCAGCTATCGGAGAAGCAAAAGTTCAGAGTGCTGGCAATGGGGATCCAGCTGCAGCACACAAAAGAGGGCCTGCTTCGGCATCATCAGGGCTTCAAGAAGGGTCAGCACTTGAGCAAGGCCAGGGCCCGAGTAGGGGCATCCATATACCATCTTTCTCTTCAACCGTCTTCATCCCGCCATATCAGGGCCAGTTACAGTCTACTACTCCAGAACCATCAAATTCGCCTAGTCCACCTGCTATGGTAACACATACTCACCCACAAGTCGCTACGGGCCAATTTCAACCTCCAATATCCGCTAATGGGACACAATTTCACATGGGCCCAGTAGGTCTAGGAACTCTTCCTCCACATTATTTCGAAGGCACATATCTAGGTCGAAGACAAACGGTACCTGCAATAAGGATACCTCAACAAATTTCTCCCCCTTCTGCTAGTGCGCCAGTATCAGGCTTGTCTCAAAATCCATACTATTCCGCTGTTCTAACACCCGAACAATATCAAGTTCTAAGCCAAAACTTTTCTACTGGGCGTTCATCTGCCAGCGCTGCAGAGGCTGTAGGAAGCCCTATGAGCGACATATCAATGGCATCTTTTCGGACGCCATTAAATCCCACGACACCATCAGTGGGTAGTGGATCTCCTGAATGTTTACTAGTGAGGAGACCTTCAGCTCCTGGTAGAATCTCAGAATCCCCTTTACGAACATCAACATTTAGTCCACATTTAAAGCAGCAACAGAAACTCTCTACCAACTCTGAAAATTTTAATATGAATACAAATCTCAGCATACGTCGTCAAACTCCAAATATAGCAACCCAGGATTTAAACAGTCCAATTATATCAGTAACACCGACATCAAGGGAAGGAACTAAAAGCATACCTCAATCTCCTGCCACAAAACGTAAGGCAACAGACATAAGCGGGGAAGAACGACCTGCAAAGTCTTCTAGATCAGATGATAGCCCCACTAGGACCTCGTATTCGCCAGTTCAAAACCAGGCTGCTCAAAATCCCATCTTAGACACAGACTTCGGTCTCTTTGATTTCTCCTTACCGCAAAACTATAAAGATATCCTCTACGGCCCTGGCATGTTCATGCCTGGAGACGCAGCTCTATCTTTCGCTGGTCTCACAGCCCGGGACTTTAATTGTGCAGGAATCTCTACGACATGCCCTACAGAAACACCTGGTATATCTCTGCCAGTTTATGATATCTCAGATTCGGAATCGGGCCATAATAATGCAACACAAAACCAAAGTCTCCCCATCAATCCGCCATTAACATTTAACATGAGTTTTTCAAAACATAACAACGATTCCTTCGAAAACTTCGAAGAGATGTGGCGGAAATACTTCTTAGACAGGGGGGTACAACCTCATACAGCAAATACGGGTTATCCGGCGGGGCAACATGGTATAGATCCTGGGGGGTCATTCCCTTCTTGATAAACTGAAACGATACCGTTTTGTTATATTATTTTTATTCCCTTTCGGATTATTCCGTCCTTACGTATACATGTTATTTCATTTCCCCCGCTTTCCCTTCCTCTTTTGAATTGCGGAAATGTAAATTCAATTATTCTCGAAATTTCATGGGCGAATCCGCATGCATCACATTTTTTCCCTGGCCGTGATATCTTCCCAACCCCCACCACCATCACCGGCTGACGGAGATCTGTCTTTTCATGCAGTCGGATACACGTGCGGGGAAACTGTGTGCTTAACTTCATTTCCTCCTCTCCCTTTCTAGTTAGCCCATGCATGCGGTAACATGTCAAGAGAACTTACGAAAGATTCAACCTTTCGTACTTCGTCCTTCAACTCAACTCGTGAACCCTTCTTTCTTCAACCCTTCTTTCTTCAACCCTTCGAAATTTTCTTTCGTTTTTTTTACTTTTTTACTTTATATTTTTTCGGTTTCCTGCTTTCTTTACTTTGTGCTTTTGCTATCTTGTCTTACATTTGCATATTTTAGCTAAGCTATTGCACTTAATGCATATTTTAGCTAAGCTCTCGCATCTTCATCTGCACCACAGTGGATACATATCATCGAGAATCGGAGATTTGAATCGCATCTAGATCTGGGGAGAAGGAAAATACAATTTAGCAAAGGCGTAAAAACCCGCCTGTGGGATTCCCCTCCCCTCCCTTTCGTTGAGAGAGGGGTTCGGTCGAGATTTTGAATATGATTAATAATTACATGTACATTAAACATGTATAACGTATATACAGCTTGGGGTATAATACTCCAAAATTTTATTATTTTTTCTTGAACACCCCTCTTTTTAAGTTTCTCTTATTAATACATATTAATATTGCCTTCTTTGTTTGCATGATTTGTAAAAATTGGAGGATCATGTATAGATTTACGGGTTGGCCGAATAGGATGTCTTCGTGTATAAAAATAAAGTAAGGTAGCTTGGGTAAGTAAGCAAGTCTGTCAGTAAATAACCATATTAGTCTTACGGCACATGACGAGACTAGTCTTATAAACCGAGAAAGCTGATATTAGTCTATAACAATAAAAGCGCTAAGTACCTAAGTAGTAGTATGTAAGTATACGATAAAGGTTGAGTCATGTATCAAAACGCTAACCCAGCTCGCGGCTGAGGTAAAATCATATTGTTCTATCAATCAAAGTTATACTACTAGTTAGAGAAAGGAAAAAAGAACCTCGTGAGCTCCACACCCGCCCCCTCTCTCGGAAGAAGATGGTTGCTGATACATCAGCTGAAAAGCTTCAGCTCATTGTAGCTAAACTACATGCAATTCATTCTTCTTCTTCAACTCTCGATCGATCTCTTGCTTTGCATTGCCCCACCTTTCCCCACTACTGCAGCATGCACCCTACCTCCGCTTCTGGGCCCCCTGTCCCCGCCAATGCCTTGGATCCCGCAGTACCCTTTTCTATCGACGGCGGAACCCCACTACTTTATTTTTTTTTTAAATTTCTTTTTAATTTCTTTAACTTTTTATTTAATTTTTTTTTGTTCTTTGTCACAATTTCTCATTCGTTTCTGTGACGTCTTGGAATGAGACCGGTCTTATCCATAACTGGCTAATGTACTTTTTCCTTATCTATAGCTACCCCTCTGGTCTCGGGCCGCTGGCACGTGTACACAGTACACCGATTGATTCGAAGTCCCCCCTATGCCCCTTCCGTATTAGACGATCTTCCTTACATTTTTCCCCTTCTCTTTTCCTTTACTTTCCTTTCCTTCTTTAGTTCAAGTCGTATATATAATAGCACTCCTGTAGCCTATAGGCCTAGCGTGTATATATAGTAAACGTTAATAAATATGTATATCACATATAGAATCTTCAACGATATCCAAAGGGTCAATTCGAAAGTAAAAAAAAATTAAAAAATAAAAAACA